CCCAGCTTGTGCGCTAGCATCAACGTCACCTCTCATGGCAGCCTCCAGGTCGAAGAGAGAGACATCGTCATCGTCATTTTCCGCAGTGACCGTGGCTCCCTTTTCAGGATCGGATGACGACTGATGTTTATTCTTGCGGCTGGCTCGAGAAACACCGGTAAACTCTCGCTGCAGAATAGCAAACTGAGCTTCGGCCTGCTCAACAGAGACTCCCGTTTGCACTCTGGCAAGTTCGTTGGATGAGCGCTGGCCCTCAACTCGAGTCTCAACAGAATTAGAATCCAGCTGTTCGCTGAGCTCCTTTGTTGTTTCTGAGTTTGCCGTACTGGGCAGTTTCTCCCCGTCAGGGAGCTTCTCCCCCGACATGTTGATCGACTTGGTGAAGTGTTGTATCGTTGGATAATGTATGATGTGATGGATGTTGTTATCGAGTTGCTGAAGGGTGACTGATCAGGATACCTCGAGGGTCCTTGCGTCGCCAAAAACGAATAGCAAATGAAGATGCAGCGAAGAAGAAAACTTGAAAAATGCCAAAAGATTTTGATAGCGAATATTAATTAAGGTGTTGATGGCAAGTGAATGCAATTATGGCTTCAATCCGTTTGTATATGCCGAATCGAGCAAGCGGTGGGTCAAAGCGGTGTGATTCTACCAGACGAATCTGCCAGCCAGATAAACAAAGAATTAGACTAGTATGAAGAAGATATAAAACAGCCCCAACCGCAGAAACCTCTACTGACAACCAAAGCTGGTTATCAAGTAATGGCCAGAATCACCGGCTGAGCAAAACCAGGCGGCCCAGAGCTTTGTATTCGTTTTCTCTCCCACGGCTAGAAGACAAAAAGGAAAAAAAAAAAATCGGGCCGGCGGAGCAACCAAAGGGGCTGTTAGCCTGCCAAGGTGTGCTGGGGCCTGATAACGACATACAAACTCGCCTCACAGCTGGCATTACAAAGTTCTTCTCGGCATCTCTCCAGCCAGCAGATCCACCGGCAGGGCGGTTGGCAGCAGCCCAAGTTTGGCCAGCACAGCTCAGCCGCCAAAAGTCCGAGCGCGAGGGGAGAGGGCCGGAGCTACAGCTGCCCACAATGTAAAGCCCGGCGTTGAAGCATCCACTGAGACGCACAAATTGGGGGTTGCCGGGGACGGTGGAGCCACAGGAGAGCTACGAATAATACGCCGTACTTGCCTAGATAAAGTAGGCATGGGAAGTGGCAGGCCGAAGATCCATATGAGGACCCAGTAACATTGAAGGTATGTGCTATAAACTTTGAATGTGACTGACAAAGGCTGACACAAACGGGCAGATTCCCTGCTTCAGGCCCCCCTGACTTATGGAACCGGTCTCTGGACGCCTACAAACAAAGTACATGTACACTCTGAGCGGCACTTTGGGCGGGACATCTTATAAATACACGTAGCAAGGCCACTTTCCGAAGCGGAAATACGGAATTAGAGTCGCCAGATGCAGTTTCCCATTTCCCATCACGGGCAGGTATTGGTGTTGGCATTGGATCCAGTCCAACCAAAGTTTGCGTTTGCAAAGGGCAATTTGCTGACTGCCTGCCAGAAAACCAGTTTGTTCCCGTGCTGTCGCCGCATTGGCTCTGCTTGCAGTGACACCTTGGCCGTCGATGAGACGCTCCAAGTGCTACCAAAACTCAAAGACGTGGTACCGAAAACGGCTGCAAGCCTGTAGGGATTGATGGCACAGCTGGTGGCGCTGCGACATGGTCAGAAACCGTGGGGCGTTTAGCGCTGGGGCGACTCAGCAGCTCCGACTATTTGCCGGCATCAGCTGGGGCAGAGTTTTCAAGTCGATGCTGCTACAGCGCATCAGATCTGTGGTGGAACGAGTACGATGCGGTCTAATACGCCCCGGATGTGTTCAACACGCACTCGGAACTCCGTGAGAAAAGCGGTGCTCGATTGACCCGTTGCTACACTCAAAGTACAGTACACTCCAGGCCAGGCAGAAGAAGCGTTTTCACATACGCCGCCGGTGCAAATTGGAATCAATCCATTTGTCAAGCCCAGCCCCCAATGCCATGCAGGGGCCAAGACGAGATATCCACAGCCCTCTCTGGTTACAAAGCAACCGCATCCTACATGTATCTACTTATCTTCGCTGTTGCATACCTGACTTGTCACAGAATTAACCCACTTTGATCTCCGAGGACCGCATTACCTCTTGGACGCGAAGTAAGCCAAGATTTACACGTATACCTTAGATGTATACCTACTTTTCGCAACAGGACCACTTACCACTTGCAGACACGCGCAGAACTAGCAGTTAGCACGGATCGCAAACTCTATGCTACAGTAACTTGCTCAGTTGTCCGGCGTGGAGAGCGGCGCTCGGCGCTCGATGCTCGCTGTTTGCTCTTTTCTCCCCCTTCCTAGTTGGATTAGTATACATTAGTATACCGGGAATTGAGGCGGGCCGCGGGCTACCCCATTTCGGTCAATCTCCTTGCTCTGCTTCGTTGGTGTTGATGGTGGTTAAAAACCGTTAGTAATGCCTAGCAAAACTTCACGAGAAGGCTGAGACATTCCTTCAGCTGTTCCACGTGCGCTGCAACGTAATCTATTGTAGCATTTGATATCAATGCTTGGCTCGTTCAGCCCGCTGGGTAATCCTTGGCACATGTTGTTCCATTATTCTACTGTAGCACTCGTATTCCGCATCTTACTTGTACAAAAGTATTCTAATCCAATCCACCCGGTCATGCTTGAATATTTCGGTCTCCTCCGATGGATGTGCTACTGTAGGCTCAAGACCCATCGACTACTGACAGCGCGCGGCACCCCGCCGAGCCTTTGCCGATCTTGGTGAAATCTTTGAAAATATCAAGTGAGAGAGGCAAATGACCTTTTTTTTCCCTTTGCCCATGTGGGGTTACAATTGTGAGATGCCGTTTACTGCCGCCTCTGCCCTGCATAAAGGATTCAGATCAGCCCGAGAAAAGACTGCTATTAACGTTCTTTTCAACAAACGTGCTCGCTCGGGAGAAATCCCCAGCCTGCTATTACCGTAAAAGCGTGGAGAAGTTATCAAAGCTAGGCTTGACTCTGATTAGCTGGCACTCCACCAGCCATTGGATCAGGAGTATCCGAACTTGTTCGCCGGATGACTCCTCCCCTAGCACCAAACTAAATACTTGGGTTTACCCGCCATGGAGGGAGCTTCCGGCGTACAGTAGCGTCGCCTTTCGCCAATAGCAGTGTTGAAACCATCATACGAGGATCGCCAACTCCCTTTTGCTATTTTGGAGGGAGGTAGGACATTGACTACTTGGTACAATACCACCATCGGACCTCCTTCACTTGTGAATACCTAACTCTCTGACATCAAGATTCCAAATGTCACCAGCAAGGGGAATTTATTCACAATATCTATGACGTGCATGTATCTCCAGAAAGAGACGATCCAAACCTACTTTCGATCAGAGCAAGCTGTGACTCAAAGGGGGAATGAAGACAACCAGTAACATCTCGGCGCATACAAGAGCACGCATATGGGGCGGCATCTACCAATATGGGTACAGAGTACCGACATGTGCTTTGCACATGAAAACTCCGCCATCTAACTCCTAATTCCGACAGCCAACGAAGTACTGAGGGCGCGCCCAACCTCTGCCGTTACATTGGCCTTATCAGCTCCAGCCCAGCACAATCATGCAAGGAGTACTGTAGTAGAGCGTAGCCTCAATGCTTGGTACCGACGGCTAATCTTTGGCATCTGCACGGAATACTTGAAACGCTACATAGGTATGTGCCATCTACTAGTAGTACAAGTAGTTTACACGTTGGCAAAACACACATTGCCTACAAGTATCGAGTAATTAGTCTCTCGCTAAAGGACCTATCCTGACTCAAAGACTTACTAGGCGATGCAATGGGCTTTCCGTCTCGTGTGTAAGTACGGTACAAAGACGGAAATACAAAAGTCAAAAAAAAAAACCAATATCAACACCACCAAACCCCAACAGCTACAAGCATTACAGAATATAGGTAGCATACTAATATTACTACTGTAATATTTCAATTTTACGTATTTTCATTTTTAACCATATGATTATGCAAGGTGTCTCGTAAAATTAAGAGGCAAAAAGGCAGAAGAGGCGCGCCAAGTGCAAACTGACAACACAGCCTCGCACAGACATGCGTCGGTGGTACCATTTCACATTTGTCATATCTATACCCTCATCCATCGCTTGATCATCCTGACCATCCTGACAACATCTGTTTGCTCTGTAATCAAATCCTCAAACTCCGCCGTTTGCTCCAGCCCAGTGGATCAGATATTCCGCAAATACGGAGACGATGGTTGCATCGTCGCTCATCGTTACTGCAGCCTGAGACCCCATGTACAAGTAATTGCCAAATTGCCATGATAAACATGCTAGCCGGCACAACATGTGTTCAAAGTTTGGTCTGCTCTTCCGTACTCATCAGGCTGAAGGAATGGTAAATGTTATTGGGCATTACTACTGGTGCTTTACCCCTATGCTGGTTGCTTTATTAGGTATATACATGGTATGACACTTCGACCTGCCGTCTCAGGAAGAGTAAATGCTTAGTTTCTACGCCTTATTGCGATAACTATAGCAACACAGTCTCCTTTATCCTGCAATAGGTTGGGCTACATATCGCGGAATGGGTCTTGTAGCCCATAGTGGCATCAATCCCACGTTTTGGCGTCTTTGATCTGACCGATACTCTGTCGTAAATACATGCTCAATCGTAAGACTCTGCAGTTATATCAAGTCGATCTTCGCATGGTTCATGGGAAATTCCTGACAGCCCAGAAACCTTTGTAATGGCATTTACCGATTTGCAAACACGAGTCCTATACAAGGACAGTTGGAGTGAAACCCCCCTGATGAGAGCGGAAAGACCCAAAGAGCAAATATCCCACTAGCGGCATGTCGAGTCGTGTCTCTGGAAGTAGCATCGGCATAATGCAATGCGCCAAGACGCTAGATGCTGCTCCCATTCCTCTACTGCAGTTTCTCGTAGAGATACAGTTCCACAGATTGCGTCTCTGCGCCAAGGACGGGCAGTGGCAAAGTCTGTCTATGTAGCTCAGTCCATCCCTCTTGCGATAACAGGTCAAACAAGGCCTCTTCCGAAGCGTGCCGCGGCTTTGTGGCCAAGAAGACTTTTGTTGAAAGTAACTGCTCGCCGGATGACGCCTCACCGGATGACGAGGACGAAGCGGCCGCATGTGCCATGTTAGATGTGTGCAGCGCAGATAACGTTTCAACCAGCGCGGGAAGCATATCCACGTTGTACGTGCAGTCACTAAGCATGACGAGATCCCAGCGGTGGTTTTGTGTCTCGAAATCAAACTCCCCCTTTCGACCTTGTTCCCAATCAAGGTTCTCGTATAGAAGCTTCACGGGAGGGCTGCTGCTAGACTTTGCTCTTCGGGCCTGGAGGAGCCGGGACATGTTGGACCTGGTCCGACTCTCTGCTCCCTCCAAATCTGTCATGAGGATTGTGCATCTGCGACTGGGGGGCGGCCGCATCCTTGGTATTACAGCACTCAAGCCTCCCCCCAGGATTCCAACGCCGCATCCCAGCTCTAAAACGTTTATAGGTTTTGGGCCAGCGAAAAGCTTCTTCAAAGACTTTAGGCCAGAAGGTTCGGTATCCGTTGGCATTGGCAATATCCATGACTCGGCAATTGCGCAGAATGCAATTACTCCTGCATCCCAAATATGCCTGGCAATGCTCTCGCCAATCTCCTCTTCAAGCTCGACGTAATCCTCCTGCTCAGAAGTTCCGGGTAAATATAGCCTCCTTGTAGAAACTTCAACCTCAGCTTCAGCGTGGCCCAATGTAATCCAGACCGGCATTATTTGTCCAGCTGGCTCTTCTTCCTCCGAAACAGCTGTAGTAGCAAGTATGTCGGATACGCTACGCGCAGAAAAGCTCTCTGTGCTGATGCATATAGAGACTTTGCTCTTGGAATTTGATGGCAGTTGCATCAATCTAGAGATGTCAACTGAAGGTTTTGCAACGCGCATTCCAGATCGCCATTGTAATTTTCCTGTCCTCAAAGAGAGATCAACTAAATCTTTCTTTTTAGAATCTGAATCACTTGGTATTTCGGCATGGATGGTCAGATTGATTGGCTCGTCTGGATATAAAAATGAGTCTCCTAGGTCGGTAGTTATTGTAAAGACCAGATCCAGCATGTGCTTCTTCCCGGAGCGAGACTGAGTTGGTGATTTAAGAAGCCGTATGTAATGCATTATTGCAGTTTTTTTAAACTTTGGCTAAAGACTTCAAGCATCGACAATTGAGTTGAAGTTGAGCATTCATCAGTCTTGGTGTTTTCGATTGAATTTTGCTGATGGCTTAGTCATCACACTATACATGTACCTGTACGAATGTACAAACAGATTTCAATACAGCAATTTACTGCTGCTTTGTCAAATGCCATCTGCTAAATCAGGATCATTGTGTTTAGAACAAGCCATCTTACCTATTTAGTAGATTGACTGTTACTCAATCAAAGTCACTTTGTATTATTTTCCCACTTAATTAGACTTCGATACGTCTTTATACCTAAAGCTCCTGGTGACCGCTAAGAATGATCGCCCCTCTTCTACATGGCAACTTCGTGTTTTTTTAAAAAAAAAAAATCCTTTTGAGGTCTAAAGTAAGAGTAGAAGAACAGGCACGTTGAATATTTCGAGCAAACATAGTCAAGACTAGGACATTGATTTTTAGAGTGGCAGCTAAACTACGAGCTTACCTTATCCAGACCCCGCTGCCAACACATCGATGGCAAACGTGTAGCCATTAAGCTTCAAAGACATATTACTACACCGCTTGTACTGCTATATAGGCACCTATTATCTCAAATAACATTCATCGCTCTGTTCTTTCACGAATATTCTTCATACATAGTTCCTACCATAAACGCGGATGTCCATATTCTATGCACAATTTGCGGCTATCAGATGCACGGCGTTGCACTCAATGCCGCTCCGCCGCATATTGCTCTGTTGAATGCCAACAGACTGACTGGCGAGCACATCAACTCTTATGCAAAAAATTCAAGGAAGCCTCGGCTGATGGATTTGCGGCTCGTCCGTCACCTAAACACTACCTTGCCATATACTTTCCAATGAGCAAAAATAAACCAAGGCTTGTGTGGGTCGACTCGAAGGCAGATGAATACCGACTATCTACATCCCAATCTTGACCAGCTTCTCCATGTTCCGGGATCCAAGGGATATATTGGGCGTGGATTGCATTGTGTTCGCGGAAATAGGCTTCGCGGGAGAAAGGAGAATGCGGATACCGTCAATATATGGTATCTGGATCCGGGGTTTCCTATCGACAGTCTCACTACTAACCAGACGGTACACGGTACGGTACCGACCCTCATTGGGGACACGTGGGGAGACACAATCTTTAAAGGGCCTATGGTGGTCGTTTCTAAAGAAGGCAATGCTTCTGACCCGCGGCGTATGAAAGATGTAACGCTAACGGCGTACCGAGATGCCGTTGACTATCTGGGCTACTATGTTGAAACTGAGGGTAGCATGATAGACGGGCGCGGCGCAAACACGACACTTGCACAGAATGTTATAACGAAAGATAGGGCGGGCAAGACGACAGGATGGCGGATCAACTGCAGGCATGATCAAGTGACGCTGGGACTGGGCGATATGTTATCGGTTGCGGTTCCGGGGGCTCATCCACTTTTCCGACTCGAAGGCGATGACACGCTAGATATACCTGCTATGCTGGGATTTGACTGGGTGGCCAAAGCATACAACCGCAGCGGAAAAGATGATGCAGGGCTTGAGAATGAGATGGCGCGACTCCTTCTGCTCCGGGCTGAGGTGAGTAACGGAAGGTGAGTGGGCGTGCGTAGCTGGCTAAACGACCCAGCTATTGGAAGTATTCTACTGGTGGCAAAGTCAGGAAATAGGGAGATAGAGGACGGCGTGGTGAGGGGTATTTGCGAACTGATCCAGGACGTTGTTGTTCCTCTTATGGCGGAAGAGCGGGCATCGCGGCCAGGAAGCAGGAAGGAGATTGTTGACGCGGTTAGGGAAGAGGGGGAGAGGAGGTCCTTGTTCAATGCAAGAGGAGCTGAAGAATTAAGCTGGAGATAAGTGGCTCGGCCATAGTAATAGCATTCTACTTTCAAGGCGGATTGCAAGCCCTACACCACGGAATAAATGCTAAGTAGGCTGGAAATGGCATTGAACCACATCTTAATACACGTAGGCTACAACCATCACGCTAGAATTGGTTTCTTCACAAAGCTGTAAGTAAATCCTGAACATAGGCGCTTATTTGTGTGCAGGCAACGATTTGCTCTCTTCAAGCAAATAATAGAGTAGAATTACACGAGAACGTCAAACTTGATGTAAATAGTCTAGCTAATAATTGAGTATCGGTGCTTCGGTTGTGTTCCTCAAGTGTGAAACTAGCGATTCTTCTTCTATATATGTACTCAACTAACACCATCATGGGCTGCATAAAAGGCTTTGGCTTGTCTTATGTTTCATTGTATAGAGTATTGATGCAAAGACTAAGATATTTGAGCACATTTACATTTCTGGGATAATTATATCCACTGCAGTCGTAGTTACCGGAAAACTTAGCTATGCGTATATACGGAGAAAGGCCTGCTTCAGCCAACGTGAATTTTTGCTTTGATATATCGTTTTATCAGCTATCAGATAGATAAATTGCACTGCCGTGTAGAATAAATACAATGCAAAGTTGGACCGTTTGCGTACTCTCGTAGGAGTTTTTGCGGTATGTTGGCAGGTGATGATTAGAGGGGATACTGATTGTGAGATGTAGAGAACATGGTCGCTGACTTGGTACTGAATTCCATTTAAGATGTACATTTTGTTTTTGTTAATAGATAGGTTGTGTAGCTTCACTGACTTGCCTTGATAGATTGTTCTTCTATCGGTCGTAAACAATCTCAGAATCGCCTAGATTGTGTAGTGAAATTTTGCAACGGCGTGATCAAAAGTATCTTGTTTCATAATACGAGTGGTAGCTGTAGAGGCTCTCATTAAAGATATCTATTGGCACTCTTCTTGCTCAACGTAACGTTTAATTTGTGTCAGATTGATAGTCGATGATAGGTCCCAGAGTGTCACACCGAATGCGGCTTGAGGTGCGATTAAAAGGGGGGAAATGTTGCGCAATTACGGAACGGTAAACACATGAGCTAAATATGGTTGAGGATATTATTCTCAACATAAAACAACTTGGCCATGTGCACTACGATATATTATGAGGCTACTCTTCACTTTATAACATATGTCAATATGGGTTGTGACGCGCCTGTTCTCCTAGAACATCCCATATGATGTGGCGTTGATTAAAGCACAGCGAATCAACCCGCATGGAATCATCGTGCTCTTCCTACAGAATATCTGATCAAGTTTAAATTTTCCATCTTTGGCAATAGCTGCTTTCAAAAGAATGAATATGTACATGGTCTTGCCAGCCACATCGCCGAGTTTACAGCGCGAGGCCCTGTTCTCTCTTCTTTATCTTACATGCTTGAATATAGAAAATCACATACTTGGCGACTGTGTAGCGCTATCCAATGTTGAACACGTTATAAAGATGGCATATAGATCGGTACGCAATCCTTTCGAACAGCGTGCTCGCCATCGCCGCCATATGCCAAATCTTCACTGCCGAGAGGTGCATGAAACTCTCCAAAATCTTACCTACTCTCTTACCTTGCAAGATAAATTTAGCAACATACAAAGCCACCAATCAATTAATGAGGCTAGAAGCCATAGCGAGATGAAACTTGCCAGAGCTCCCAATGAACAATGCACTGAGTCACACTTACACCACCAATAGACGCACAGATGACATTGGATATATCAAACTGACTCAACTTTCCTCCGTATCCTGTCAACAAGAGATACCACGCCATCAAGTGAATTACGCCTACTGACGCTATATGCTCACCTTGTTTGACGAGTAGAGCCCAAGGCTGACTGTCTGCAACCCAACAGTGAGCCTTCCCGTCCTTCCTGAGGCAACACTCAAGGCAAAAAACATCAGTCACTCGACCAAATAGGGCATCTCTGATCAACATCACAGCGTCACTCCAATTAGATGCCTGAAGACATCCTTAACATCAGCCCAGTGCGAAAGAAATGATTCCCCAGTTTGTCCGCCATTCATCCCCAACTACCTCCCCATGGAAAAAGGACGAAACATTGCCACAATTTCCATCCGCCATTACACCCCCCCTCCCATCACATCACATCACGTCCTCGTGCCGGAAAGCTTCCCCTAGCACAGAAATGCGTTCATCTGAACCAATAGCTTCATCATCGACTCGCCGTCTACAGCATAAGCTCCTACAACTATATGAAATGATTGGATCATACAATAGATAAAAAAAAAAAACGCATGCGCGCAAATCCTTCTCCACGTCCACGCGCTCACGGTGACTCTTCTTTTGCCTTCTTGATCGCCTCGTAACGCAAACCCTCTCACGCGTCTCTACGATATATAGAATGACTATATCCTAGCATGTGAAAGGCACGTGAACATCTCAACGCGCGAGTTCGCATCAACGGGAAAAAAAAAAAGATAGAAATGGCTTATACGTGAGCGCGCTGGCGCCTAGTCGACTTACACGCGATCCTATTCGCTCGTCGACCACCCTCCCTTTTCCTTGGCCGCTTGCTATTCGCTGGATTTCTGAAACCCCCGGTGGTTGGCTGTTGCCTAGCCTCGTTCACGATTCACGCTTCACGCTTTCTTTCCATCTTGACTTTTTCTTTTTTCGCCTCACAACACGAGGTAATCAATTCTACTGGGTTTAAAAAAGTTCGCGTTAAAAAGTTCCAACGCGCGTCACTTTTTTGCCTGCCAATCGTCCTCTTGTTTCCCACAAAAATTTCTCGCCCCTTACAGGTTTTGGCGCTCTATTTCCTTTTCGTTTGCCTCAGCTCTCAGCTCAGGGCGCTCACAAGCCCTTCTTTAGCTCCCGCATGTGGAAAAAAAAAAAAAAAAAAAAAAAAAAGACATGTATTAGAAGATGGGGCGCGTGGCAAATAACTTTCACGTTTTCCTTGCCGTCCGCGCGGGAAAAAAAAAAGGCACGGATATGTTTCCCAATTCTAACTCCTCGTGTCGTGAGTTTTGGGGAATACCGTAGCAAACAGGGCTGTGTAAACGTTATGCCAACAAGTCTGTAACGTCTGTGACTCATGCGTCCTCAATGCCTCGTTCTTCTCCAGCCATCCAAATCCAATCTGCATGTCTTTCTCACCCCGGATGTCTGGAATTACGTGTATGTATGAGCCATGTGTATGTATGCAAACCTGCATCTTTTGGGGTGGCTGCATCAAAGACAGCACTTGTCACCAAAAAAGCTCAATATTGCGCCGCCGCGCAAGGCTGATGGAGGCGTGCGCAGTCTGATTCATCATGCCCGCCTCTTTTAGAAGCTAGAAGAAAGAGGAACAAGCATTATTCCCGCCTTCTCATGCCCAATTCTTCCCATCCGTTTTGTCAAAGCTCATTGCGTCATCCTTGGAAACTTTGGTCATTCTCCCCCCCAACCACCCCCAACCATCTTCGCTGTCAAGCCACGTCAGGGGAAACTGCCCCAATAGGCAAACTGGTAAAAGTCAATTTCGCAGCTCTGCAAAAGTTTGCCCCAGAACGGGCGGAAAAGATCCTCTGGATCGACACGCAGCTCTTCTTGGCGCCAGAGCACAGCGAGTTAGTATTACACAATTCAATACATACACGTCGCGTATACCAATGGGCCACTCCGTTATTAGAGAGCAAAATACAGATTCAAAGCTGGCCGTGTTTCGTATGCGCAGGGACTCTATGACGTAACGCCTCAATAATCAGAAGAAATCGTGGCGGCAGTCCCAGTTCTTTGGCTAGTCACGTGACTGAACAGCTCGATGCCACACGCACCGCCACTCTGGCGACCCCACACCACGTGGCTTGCACGAAGAGATGAATTGGAATGCCCCACCAAAACATCAAATCTTTTTTTCTTCCTGAGCTGCTTGGGTCTCTCTTTTTGGGGTGGCTTGTGTTTTTGCGCCCCCCCCCAGACGCCCGTCCCGTCTGGCTTCCCGAGGCACGCGATCTTGGTTACGCCCCGGGTGTGTGGCGCTGAGTTCTGGAAGAAGTTGTGTAGGGCTAACATAAAAAAAAAGTAAAGGTTCAAACTTCATTTTTTGTTTGCTATGTAGTTTGGCATTCAAGACAGAGAAGGCTGTGTCTTTTCTTTGCGCGTCTCAGACATGTGAAAAGTTGTTTTCTAACCCTAGGATGCAAGGGAATGGAAATCAGCTTGCGCCCAGCCCTGCATGGTATGCGCACCACAAACGCAAAAAATTTGAATAATGCGAATATGATCCTCAACAATTGTGTTTAACTTTGCAGGAAACTTCAAGGATCAACACACAGTGACGAAATTGTCTGGGGAGGAAAAGGGCACCAAGAAAAATCTTCTGCACGTGTGATCCGTCTTGAAATGCGCACCGCCGTCACCGCCTCTGTTAAGCCGTGGTCTGTGTAGGCGGTCTGGACAGGATTAAGAGGGCAAAAGCCGTGCTGCTGCATGATATGGTAATTATTAGTGGTGCTAGTAGATGCGGCATCACTTACACCTCGTCTAAGCCGCTGTTCTTGTTCGGCGCAAGTGCATTAGCATGAGCGATCATTTTCTTTCTATTTTCAGCAACCCCATGTCGTTAATGCGACCCTTGAAGAACAGAAGGAAGAAAAAAATTAGCATGACAAAACTTTTGACAGATCCAGGTGGGTTTCTCTTTTCCCAGCTTGCCCACTCTGAGCTGTGCAGAGTGGGGGAGAATCTCAAGGGAGTGCCGGTATATACACAGGTAGCGTGTTATGATGTAGCCAGTGGTGTAAATCCTCCCTGGCAGTCCAGCAGCTGTCCAATGGAATGGGCGCAAGGCGATGCAAAAGGTGAAGGAAAACACACCGTCCCATGATGCGTTGTTGTTGCCCGACGCCATACCGCCTGATAGGCACGATACTGCTTCTTACCGAAACTACTTGTGATATAGCTCCGCCTATTGCTACGGCTAGGCAACGCAACATGGATGGAATCGAAGGCTGGTGTGCTTGCTCAGGCACACAAGGTGTAAATCAATAACTTGATTATCCATGCGCCTCTTTCCTGGTGGTGGTGGTGTTGCTGCCGCATCGTAAGGCATGAATCTAGGCTGGACTGTCGTGGCCTGAGCTAGATAGAGGGGGTGCTTGAGCAAAAGATATGTACCGGACTGTAGGACGTAATACTAGCGGCATTCCAAGCCAGAAATGGACCGTTTTGCATGCAAACCAGCCATTGACGATGACTGAAAGGGCGTCTTGTATGTAGGGCTGTGCATAGCCAAGCTGGAGACAAAGCACGTAGGGTTTTCGCAACCTCCTGCTGCCGGCCGACGTACTTGTGCGCTTACCTTACGAAGAGACACGACACGTGCGCAGCGATCTTAGGACTGATGCAGGCCGCATCGCGATCCTCATCTGTGTTGTTTCCTTTTGCATGAACCAGTAATACCGGTAGGAGTATATAAAAAAAGACGGCACATGGCGTCCAACTCATACGAAAGACTAGGCAGATCGACGTATCTGGGGCTTGCGGCCTGAATTTTGCAGCTGTCACCGATGGCGGTTGCTGCATCGAACTTGGGCATCGCCGCGGACATTGCGGCAGCCTGCTGAGCTTACACTACCGTATCAGTACCGCTTGCTTGCTGGAATATGATATAGCAGGGCGAGGATTTGCAAAGTGTAGGCAGATTCCGGCAGGCTGAGTAGGCAAAGCAGGCAAAGCCGCTTTGGTACTGTGGAATCTCCCGCAAGCGCCTGATGTGAGCTCTTAGACTAGAGCCATGATTTATCATGTGGTTGACGTTTGTACAAGTCATCGTCCCACATCTGCTCTACACTCCCAGTGGACCAGCCGAGTATGAGCTGAGCATCGCAGAATAATACCAAGCTCGTGGTGTATACGGCATAGACTGCAGAATTGCTGAGAAACACGCACTTACTGGCATTATACCCTGCCTTGTTTACTCATACAGATGCGCATTTGGAACCCATGCGTTGATGGATCGGTCAGCTAAACGAGCGGTCCGATACCGTTCTTCGAAGATTCCACCCGATAAGCAACCTGGGGACGCTCTCACCGAGATTTTGAGGGGACTCGAGGCTCTCAAAAGCAGGCCGGGATGGACATGGGGATAGAGACACGGATGCCGTTGCGTAGAGATCTGGCTTCCATCATTGTGCATTGTCTCCATGCATCTCCTCTCTTCTCACGTATCAGAGCTGCAGGACTAACTCGTTTTGCCTTCCCACTGCGTCCGTGGTCGCAGGAGGCCTTGTCCTGTTTATCGTCTTCGGTAGTCAAACGGACCAGTGAGATGCGCTCGGGGTTTTCGTCACGGTGCGCGGGCCGGGGCAAGAAAATTTTCTCCCCCTCCCCCCTTTCTACATCATACGTCTTGCGTGAAAGTGAAAGAGTCGGTCAAGAGAAGAGTGTGGTCGTTGCTACCTAGCGAGCAGACTGTCTCCAAGATAGGCTACCTTTTCGGCAAGCAAGCGCCAGAAGAAAGTGTCCGTGATGTTTTTGATATTCGCAAACAGCCTTTACTAGCGGACAAATAGGTGAATGGCTAGCCTGGAGTTAGCGAATTTGCTTACCAGCCGTTTAGCTGCTTTGCTGGGGGGGTGCGTGTTACAAAAAGCCATCGAATGGATCGGATCCCTGGCACTCAGACCAAGTGGGCCTCTTTTTCCTCTTCTCAGCTTTTTCTTTTCTCGCACTGGCATGGCGCTCTGCGTGGCTTTTGCGTTGAAACTGGGGGCGACCGACTGGCTGCCAATCGGCGCCCAAAACTGCTGTAGCTCAGTGCCCGATTCGACAGCCGCAGCATCTTTGGACATCAATACAGCTCTGGTGCCCATCTATTGGGAAGTTATCTTTACGAAGCGCCGGGGCTTGCGTTCGTATGAGTCACCATCCACTTGGTCGGGTTCATACTTGGTAGGATGGAGGCGAAAAACAAGAGGAAGCAAGTCGAGATCGTTTGCAAGGAGGCATCCTGCGGGAGACCAAAGACACGAGAAATTTGTTTGGGCCAGTGTTGGGTTTGATTGAGGGACGGCCCACGAAATGAGAGTTGAAAAATTTTCACTTGTCAAACAAGGGACGGGCAAAAACTCAAGCCCTAGCGGCCTCTAGGCAGCCTCTTTTGGCCACACCCTCCGGGCTCCAGGGATTCTCAAAGGGCGGACGGACCATGGATGCTTCGGGGAAGGGAAGATGAATCAAGGGGGGTGCAGGCTAGCGAGGCCAGGCCAGCACTTTACCGGGGGCCACTTTCAAGCTGTCTTCTAGAAATCGGCGAGCAGCCGGAGACGTGAGCCGCAGCACCTAGGCCGCGCTCCAAAGCCGGCGGAAGGAAGCAGAGGGCAGCATTTGATGGCGAGGAGGATGCGCTTGTCGTCTGATGTTGTAGAGAATTGTCTTGACCGACGTCACAAAGAAAAGGGGTAAACGGCATGAGCTGAGGCGCAGACTGGGGATACAAACAGACATGCTACCACATCGTAGGTAGTGGCAGCAGTAGTAAGCAGTAATATCTGTATGGACCAGTCAGAACGCTATGATTGCACGCAGAAGGAGATGTGTTGCAGAAAGCGAAAAGTCGGTATAAGCATGTCTGGACCCCATGCAAAAATTGTCGGTATGAAGGTAGTATTGCTTTTGTAAGAGAAAGGGGGAAGAAGGAAGAAGGAAGAAGGAAGAAGGAAGAAAAGAAAAGAGTTCGTACACGATACCAGTCCGGGCACTACCTCTCTCGCGTAATTCTCTTGATCTAGACAAAGGGCGAAGGGAAATACGAAGTGCCTGAAGATGCAGGTACAGGTCAGCTCACACAAGAGGTGCGAGATGGGATGGGATCGGCCAACGTACTACTTGAGCATCATGTATCTGCCTCTCGGCTGGGTGATAGATACTTTGTCGTCGTATATGGAGCTGATTGCTGCTGGATGTGGTGTTTCCATACAGTGTGCCGTGCCTGGCGCAGAAGAAGTGCGCGGGAACGGCACGCTGCGGCGGCGTGGATGCTTTTTGGGGCTGCGAGCTCCCGTGGGTTGTGGGACAAAAGCCGGAGGTCCCACCCGGGAAGAACTGGAGATGGAGATGGGCGAAAAAAAGAAGACCAGACTGGAAGCTGGGGGGGCTGACAAGAAGGGCCCGCTTTGTTCGACAGGGGAGTTTACGAGTACGAGGCAAACGCCATGATGCTTTGGCGCTTTGGCGCTTGGCACGGAGTGGTGTGTGCGTGTTTGTTAGCGCAGTGCTTGTGTGTGATTTGGAGTTGAGAGAGGCTGGGCGTGGTTGGGATTTACACTTTTGCGGTGCCTCAGGAACAGACAAAACCTTGAAACCGCAAAAGGCATGCATGGGACAAGTTCACCGCTAGGTTAGCACCCGGAAGGCCTGCCGCGGGGGCCCCCCCAGGCACTGACACTCTGCAGCCGGGCCACTGCCAGTAGAGTGCATTAGGCTATCGGCCGCTAAACGCTCAGCTACCGCTCGCTGGGGACATGGAGCGCCGGTGGCCCGTAATTCAATTTTCGGAAGGGCTCCATCAATTGCCTTTTCCTCCACGTCTCTTTAAAAGCAAATTCCACCATGGCATGTATTACTGTTTGCGACCGTGTAGCTGGACTTGGTCGCGTTGTTTGTGTTTCAGTGATTCTCTTTTTTGTGTTGTCTCTGATTGCCCACCAAGCGGATTCCTTCCCTGGACTGGCCTTTGGGGGCTGGATGTCCATCAATGTCTCACCTCACGCCCTCGCCCACTGGTACCGCATGTTGATCAAGCAAAGAGGAGAAGTGACCAGGGAAAAGGTGAACAGTAGTGCAAAAGCTTGAGTAGAAGAAAAAGAAGCAAAAAAAGAAAGTCTAGGCCAATCACGGCAACGAACATGTTGATGGCAGCAGCTAAGCGGAGCGGGCTAAGAATATATGAGTGCATATGTAAGTGCGGATGCACTCGTGCATGGTGTGTTGCGTGCCACCACCACCAGGAAGAAGAATTCAACTGCTGGTACATGAGCTAACAGAACCAACCGCTCTTTTTTCCCTCTTCTCTTCAAGACTACCAACCATCACACGCCAACGACTGTTGAGACAAAAAAAGAAATATAGTTTTGTGCTAGCAAAAAAATTTTCAAGCAAGGGGCAGGCTCCCCTTGCCGTTGCGCATGAATCCTTCCAGTGTGATCGGGACCAGAGAGGCTGCGTCCATCACACTCAAGCCGCAGCCTGGTAGGCTCGCTTCACCCAGATTGGCGCCGTGCAGACAAGGGGAAGAAGCCACGTTTTGCAGACTGGGCGGTTCTGCCCCTTGTCCGTTTTCTTCCCTCGCGGCCGTTGGTTAAACTCGGTGTGTGTGCGCATTGCAGGCTCCCCTTGCTAGAAAAACAATATAAAGAGAAATGGAAGAAAGCGGCTGGATATCGGTGCATGGACCAAAAGCTGTCGAGACGAGAAATGGCCAGGCTGGGGAGCGTCAAAGCTAAATCGAGTGTGACCTGTAATATTCAACCTGCCTTATGCTTTTTGCCGGCCAAACGGTGACCAGTGCAGCCTTGTCGGTGGCATCTGCCGGTATCAGGTTTTGTATCAATTCTTTATCCCTTGCCTATTGATATGTACAATTGAGACTCTGATTTGCCATGGGCTGCGCAGCACCGATCGGAAATCACCCCATTCGCCAACCCAACAGGGCCTTGTGCGAAGTAGCACTGCGAATTACCGAACAGGACGCCTCTCGGACAGGCTTCGGACGTGCGTAAGCGAATGAGAGCACATGTAGCAGCGGAGCGTACGGCTGCTACCTTTATTTCTGTCCTTTTGCAGTCACAGCCGCATTGCCATGCGACTCTGTTGGGTCATCAATTCATCAAGAGGTGTTGTGCATTTCATGCAGCCTGTCAGATTGGGGGATACATGGATGTCATATGCACGCCCGCTCAGAGATATTGATGGGCATGGATTGCCTATAACAGCTGCCATGTGTACAGTATGACATTACTGCTGATCTCGGCGACTGTATCAAATTACTTTTACCACAATCGTGTAAGAAACAGGATCCGGATTTTTGGCAAATTGGCTAATATGCATCGTCTTTCCTTTCTCGTCCCGTCAGGGCTGCAGCCAAATGTGGCATGTCGTGCGTAAAGTGCTTGCCTTGCCTTGCCCTGTAGACACATGTAATCCCTGATACTATATTAAAAACAAATTAATTAACAAACACCAGCCCCAACGAACCGTGAAAAAGCTGGGGCCGTCTTCACGCAGATACTACCGTACCTTTGTCTCTCAGCACTGCCAATCTCGCTGCAGCCATCTCGGGCTGGAAGTTTCCCATTAACCGCCAGCGCTCGCCCGAAGCTCGGCGCTTCTCAGCTCCTCCCATCACCATGGCCGCACCACCATCACAGCGCACTGCAACTCTGAAGCCGGGAGCATTGCGACGACAAACGCTGCCTTGTGAGCGAATATTACCATCACCAGTAGTAGCACTGCAAATCTATCGATAGTGCCCGTCACACAGCTTTGGCCAAGACGGGCCAATCAGCGGCCTGGCTGGCTGCGGGCAATGCGGCCCCCTCCAATCATTGTGCTGCGCCATGTGACTGCGAACCACCACTCATCGTCGCAGCGATGAGCGAATACTCGTCAGCTAGAGCCATCTTTGCGTTCCTTGACGCATGGTCACAGGGCTGTCCGATCCAGATGGGCGCTTGTCCAAGGGAACATGGTCTGTTTTGTGCGCCTGGGATATCCCGTAGCTCGCTGTTGATTGCGTCTTCTGGGCGCTTCCCACTGTTCCCTCCATGCAACCGGTCATACGTAATACTGGGGGCCGTTGGTTAGTTGACGATGGAGAATGATAAATATGCCCGCTTCCTCTCATCTGTTCTCAGCCAGTCCTTGTCCCGAATAGATGGACGTTGAGGCTGAGGACGGCAACAAAGTGCTGTACTGTAAGCCTGCGCTGGGATCATATGGTACGAGTACGCATTACGCACTGATTATCATTCATGCCAAACACACCTTGTTATTACCGGCGGCGCAAATATCAGTTCGCGAATCGTCCCCAACAAACCTAAGCCTCGGACCATTGGATACAACGCCTTTTCGTTTTTTCACGGCATCCCAGAAGAGCGTGCGCATAATCAAATAACGGCTCCCATTGTACGAGCCGTCCTAGTCGCCGTGTTGCCGCTAGCATTACTCGCCGTCGTAACAAGCTCTTTGTCTTCCGGGCGCTTTGGTGTTATTACCAACGTATTACAATCAGCCACAACTGGTCTACGCAAGAGCAAAGAGGCCAAGTAAGCCACGGTTCAAAGGGGAAATAAATTCACGGTGAGTGCGCGCGCTCCGTGCATCTGTTGCTGCGCAGGCCTCTAAACGGGAACAGGGATTGGAGATTGCCTTGCACCGATTCCAAGGCATCGACGGCCTCGGCGTTTGACACCTGCCCGTCTGTAAAGCCACCAGCAGGGAGACAAAACAACGATCGGGAAGATGAAAAAGTTTTTTTGAGTTCCCTGTCCCTTGCCTTGCATCACTCACCGAGAGATACCTGAACTGTATCGTGCAAGACACCCGCGGAAACCAGGATTCATACCCCTAGGCTCTATCATTTCGCTTATCCCGTCCCGGTAAATTGGACTGGGGGAGGCTCCAGTGCATGAGAACCAGGGCCGCGAGTCGTCATCCACATTGAGTCGATTTGAGATACTGCCGAAGCGCACAAGTCCGCAGCACAGGCCAGGACAAGCATCGACGAGCCCCGGCAAACGCAGTTGACTTGTCAGAGCGATACGAGCGACACTGTCGAACAGGCTCGCTCGGTCGTTGGTCGTCCACTGGGAGGAGTCACGGCGAAGATCTTGGGAGCCCGTCCAGCTGCGCAAGCCGGCTGAAAAGTGTCCACCAGGCCCCGAGACTACCAAGCTGCGCCGGCAAATCACCATCGAGAGCTGCATTCGGGCTGCCTCCCTTACTCACTCGTCGCCCAGAACCTGCTGGAAGCTGCCGCGCTCGCTCACTGACTGGGCACCGTCGACCACAGCAGCGTTGCAGCGTTGCAGCAGCGCAGACCGACCAGTCGCAGCCATCGCGCCGTCCATTTGCCCGCAGGTTTCCCGATTGGACTGAGGAGCCCTGGATTGGGAGCTGCGTTGGGTGCGAGGCCATCCATACAAAAAGCGCAGACAGACACACACAGACACCAGCGCGCCCAGGCAGCGCCTTGGGCTTTGGGCGATAACGCAGGGCCAGTGTCAGCGGCGCTTCCAGCACTGTGTGGGCGATTGTGGGCGCTGCGGGAAGGTTCCACCGCCAGTGACTAAGCCATTTGAAGGCTCGACCGCTACGTGCACGCCCCCTCCACCGCCGCAGGGCCCCACTGTCGCATGCCTGTGCTACTGGCACTAGCGATGCCTGCCCTCGTCTCTCACTAAACTCACTAACGGCCTTCCCTGTCTCGCTGAAGGCTGCCCACCAGCAAGGCAAAAAAATATTCTGCCACAATATATACCCCGAATGCGTGCCCGCGCTGCATTCTTCTCTCCTCCGACTTCTCTCTCTTGATATCGCTTTGGCCTGTGCCAATGAATCTCATCGCATCTCCACCTGCATCGCTGCCGCAGCTATCCATGCACCGTCGACCCTGAAGCCGACGCCTCCCTTGCCTATACATCCACAATCATCTCATCTCACCCGCCAGGCCGCAACGTCGGACTCTGGCTCGCCTTCCGCCCGGGAAGACAAGACGAATAAAACCATCCTGTTGTAGATTGGTCATGTTTGACGCAAGACGTAACTGTTCTAATAATTTTTACTCTTCCGACTTCATACCAAGGTGACGGGCTTTTTTATTGCTTCTTCCTGTTGCGCATCCTCACGTTAATACACCATAATTCCCTCCATCTCCCCCAATTCACCCCCCTCTGAGAGCAGATAGGAAGACAAGTTTGAGCATCTCAAACCTCCATCAGCTCTCACCCAGCCTTGCTATTATCCGTTGGACGACAGCAGACAGCAACCTCATCGATATACACCGCCGACGCACCGCAGTTCGCTTCGTTGGTTGCAGGAAGAGGTTGAGGAGCGAGCGTCATACCGCGGACATCGCAGAGGAAGCCGTCACAGACCAGAATGAACTACCCATCACCACGAACGCCTGGATCGACCCCGATCCACGAGTGGGAATACACACGAATGTCGTCCGCCACTCCAACCCCATCACCGCGGCCAAGCTGGCTCGAGACGCCTCGACGACCAGCCACCCGAGCAGCTCACAGCCGGGCCAGCAGCTATTCTCAGGGCGGCGCATCTACGCCTCGCGCTCCGGTAGATTCGCCCCGCTACAACAGCTCCGGCCAGTATGCCACGGTTGATGTGAGTCCCAAATATTTTTCGTCGTCGCGCGGGCCCTCCGGGTCGTCTCAATTTCCTGCCTGGCACGACCGCCGATTCTCTCACACCTATGTCCGGGCTGCAACTCCGTTTGGAGAATCCGACGAGGACGAGATCTTCGAGGCTTCGGGGCGTACATATGTGCTGCTTGCCGAGTCGCGGGCAAAGGGTCGCAGGAACTCGCATGCTTATGATTATGAGGGGATACGGTACACTAATCACGACGACTACCCACAGGGCACCGCAGCCTACTACGCCGACTATCGTGATGCCTACGACTCGCCGCAGTCGCACATCCCGGCCTCCCATGTCCGCCCTCCCACCAGCCATGGCCACACTCGCCGTTCGTCGGCAGCGGCAAACGTCCCGCAGAGGCCATCCACCGTCCGTCCATCAGCACAGGCTTACCGCGCCAAGGCCGCCGCCGCCGCTTCTGTCCCGTCACCAAAGGCCACCGAAGCCGATGCCCGAAAGCACCGGATTCCGACGGGCTACTCCCTCAAGAACTGGGACCCGACAGAGGAGCCCATTCTCCTCCTCGGCAGCGTCTTTGACGCCAACAGCCTCGGCAAGTGGATTTACGACTGGACCGTCTACCGAGCCGGTGCCAGCTCTCCCATTGCCGACATGGCAGGCGAGCTCTGGCTTCTCCTGATTCAGCTCTCCGGCAAGATCAAGCGTGCGGAAGACATTGTTGGTCGCGTGCGAAGTGCCGAGAACCGAGAGATTATGAATGAGTTTATCGAGTCTGGCGAGCGTCTCACAGACAAGCTTCGCTCGCTCCTCAAGGCGTGTGAGGCCCCCATGCTCAAGGCTGCCAAGAAGAAGCAGTCAGGCCTGGGCAAGAACTCTGGTGTCGAGTTTGTCGATACTCTCTTTGGCCGTGACCGAGAACTCGCCAAGACAGAGAAGTACATGCAGAGCTTGAGACTGTTCAATATGAGATTCGATGCCAACTGCGAGGCTATCCTAGCAAACCCATCCTCCTAAACTGGACGACCCCTTACCATGACTTGGAAGCAACCCCAATTGCTTTCATTTTTTCCAATCCAGGATGACAATAACCCCAGGAAATTTATTCCGGGATTAGCCCTTCTTCCCCAAAAGGAGATGCCTACGAATTTGCCCTGGACTCTTCCAGCATCTCGCGTAACCTTTTAATCTTTCTTTTTGATGTTTCACCAAATTGGCAACTTCCCCTAGGATTCCGGACCGTCGAAGTTGGATATGGGCCTACTCCACAGGATGGAAAGGCCAGAAAAGACAAGAGATTGTACACTAATACTGCTGTTTGCTGTTATCGTTCTCGTCCGAGGATTTCCTATGGATACCCAGTCTTACGGACTCTTTATTTCTTTTCCTTTGTTTCTGAACTCGGCCTCCCGGAGCGATGAATGGCTTTTTATGCCTTTTTCCTTTTTTTTACTATTTTCCTATTTTCTATTCGGCTTTTCAAAAGAAAGATTTCTTTATGGGCGACCTGTACTACCACCAATGAACACGCGGAGGAGACACCGAGACACGGGGCATTTTTCCATCTAGAGATACCCAGCGTTATCATTTCGGGCGCGTCGCGAGCAAGATGAGGAGGAGAGGAGGAGCACAACACAAAATTGGCGACGACAAGGTGGCGAGGTTGTCTGATTTACATGACTTTTTTTTTTTTCCTTATTTTCTTTCTTTTCTTTTCATGTCTTGGGTTTTAATGTGCTGTGGCAATATGGATTTTTACAGAGTGGATTTTTTTCAGAAATTGGGAACTTCTAGATGGAGAATTTTAGTATAACCGCACAATGATGATGGCTTTGTTTTATGAGCGCAAATATATTTTTATCCCCTCTATTATATATTACTTTCAGGATCTGTCTCATTCATGTGATGCCATGCTGGTGACTTGTGCTTCAACTATCTATTTAATTCCTGCTGCAGGATTTTGTGGAGTGGTGAGTTAGGGGCCAGGCCCTGCATGCAGGTCTGGTGGATAGATGTCTCGTTTCTTTCATGTAAAAATTCTAGAGGCCGTAAATGGATGCACACGATACACATTCTTATGGGGCGATGACGTTCCATGTAGACAACAGAGTCGCGTTGAGAGACTGTATCAGCCCACCGTTACAATGTTAAACATGATGTCTTGGCGTGGCGTTTACGCGTTCTCAGGAATACTGGTTCTTCTAAATGCCTTCTATTCACGTACGATAGAGGAGCGGGATGAGGTGAATGTCGGTTGGGCCTTGGACATAATCCCATGGGACTTGTGGCGAGTTAGAAGCCGTTTCTCAGTCAAGTTATCATTTTGTTATTCTAGCCAGCTTTCTAGTGAGCAAACTTGCGAAGGAAGCCAAGCTGAGGACAGTTCCTGACGAAAAAAAAAACTTGCGTCGTATGCGTTCGGAGGCTGTGCTTTGTCTCAAAAAATCCCACTGTCTCACGGGTAGGAAGCAAGAAAATGTCTTGCGGGCGGTGATCGTTGGCCACTTTGAAGTATGACAAGACAGCCCTCTCCCCCCTCTGTATACATAATTACTACTAGTAGTATGCTATCACGAAGTAGTACTATTTTCTGTCTCGGGATTTCGAATCTTGCGGTTCCTTTCCATCTGCAGCATGACGGCAGAGTATGCAAAAAGCCAGCCACGTTGTCTCATTTCGTCAGCCTCTTACTATCCGTGGAAGAGGGTATCAGGCTGGAATGCCGTGTAGTAAGCTACCGTCGACAGTATGCACCTTCAATCAGCCTCACTCTGTTATGGGAGCTGAGCCGTCCATTTTTTTTTTCTCTCTCGTAGCTCGCATAGGTACCTATGCGATGTTGGGCTGACGTGGGAATAGAGAGTGTAAGAGATGATAAGGCGCTGCTAGTACCAATAATAAGGAATAATAAAGGTAGCAGTAATTTAGTATAATCAATGGACCCAAAGAAGAGCCGAAGGACCTGCGTTGTACGACACGATGATTTTTTTTTTTTTTTTTTTGCGCAATTGAAAGAGGGGAAAAAAGAAATGGGCTCCATGTTTAAGCACACTCCCCTCCATGGTTTTTTTTTTCATTCTCTCTCTCTCTCTGCGTATTTGCTTCTATGACGGGTTAGGCCTCATGCGGAGAATGTATTTTTTTTTCTCCATCAGCGACTTTTGTTCTAGTCCTTCTATATGTTTGCTCTCTCAAATGGTGTGCTTTCTATTAGTGTCTGCTGTTATACATCTCCTCCACCACCGTCATTGGAATAACAGAAAATCGGGCTCATTTGGGTCTCGGACTTGGGCGATACCGTAGAGAGCTGATGATTCTGCTCTGTATCACCGCATGCTCGTTTTCAATCCTCGAGTAAGAGGCGTAAATCGTCTGCGCCTGTTGGAGCCACAATATTGTGTCACTGAGGAGAGACACATCACCTCACACCTACATATACGCTGCTGCGTTGGTCGAGCTTACAAAGGAGCTGGCATCACACGGCAGAAAGCAGAGGATTCTTCTCCTCAGCCCTGTTTTTTGGCCACACAGATGATACGTAGTTGGTATGTACATGTATACTGGCTGCCTTGACTGGTTTTTCTCTTCATGGAATACAGGAAGAATATTTGCGCATTGGCGCGTTGGCCGCTCTTTTCGCTTCTGTCCACGTCCAGTTTGTTACCCCTCTCGCGGTTTTTTTAAAGCCCGGTTTGGGTCTATATGGGCATGAATAACATGTCATAAATCCGTAGTGCAAGTACAGTACAGGGCGTTTGGCTCCCAACGGCAGATGCACAAGTTCAGGTTGGGCATCTGGCTAAAGAACAGGTAAAAATAAACACAGGCAAGGATGGGGCCAGTAGTTTCGGAGCGCCCCGAAAGCCGCGATTACCCAGTGCCCCCCTCTCAAAACAACGTGGGCTGCAGAATTGCTTTTGGTTTAGTTTAAAGACGTAACCACCAAAAAGCATGGCTGAGTGGTTATATATGGGCGCTTCTTTGGTGGATGACTTGCATAATCCTACTCACCTGACAGGCTGTGGATGAAAGGGTGCAGTAGCAGCAGGGAGGGATTTGCCAATCACAACTCCACCTGGTTTAATGGCCTGCGTGTGTACAAAGTGGGTGCAACAATCTGCGGTAGATTTTGCTTTTTCCTTTACTTCTTCTCCATTGAATTTTTCTCTCCTTCATTTGTTCATAAGAGTGGGTATATGTGATAAAAAGGACGAGCTGAAGAAGGATGAGACCTTTCCGGTCGTGGTTCATGCCGAGGGGCTGTGTGCGTGCGTGTGTTACATCATGGCAAGGATCCCGTCCAGAAGAACCAGCAGTCCCAAGACTTCGGATGAGAAATGCAGGTCCATGTTGCTCCATAGGGCTATGGCAGAGACGAACTACTGCAAAGAATGGAGAGAGAGAGAGACAAAGAAAAGAGGGCATCGTCAGAGCACCCCCCCTATGCATGACTGCGTGGGAAGGAATCTGACGTCTTACATGCTCACTTGGCTGAGCATCCCTCCATCCATACATAACATCCATACACGGCTGATAGTCATCATCAGTCATACGCGACGATTGCCAGTTTGGAATAAACCACCAAGGCTGGTACTGTGCGGGCAAACCAAAGACAACTCCTTCCCCTCATGATGTAACCTGTTCAATACCAATTGTTCCACAGCTGCCAGAGTGTTGTTACTACTACAAGAACCAACGGGCAAAAAAAAGAAACGCTCATGCGCTCGGCACGCTGCATATATTGGATTCTCCCTACAGGCGTACAATTGCATGCTGCTCAATGCCGCTAAAGACATGCGAACCGTTCAAAACCATGCATGTATCCCAGTTGCTTTCCAAAAAAGGGCAAAGTAAACCTGCGCGTAGCCGAAAAGCTCCCCCCCCCCCCCTCGATGGTCTCTCTCGGCCGGCCAGATGCATCAATTGTGGCAAGTAATGCGAGAGTTGCCGCTCCGCCTGTCGTTCTCCTCTTTCGCTTATGTGCGTTTTTTTGTATTCCGTAATACTGCTTTTCCTCTTTTTTTTGTGTAATCTTTTATGCGTTTGCCCAGTTGGCAGGAGAGCCGAGATTGGATATGGCTGCCGAGCCATTCTCCGGCAGGGCTCGTCGGCGCCGGCTGGCTGGCGGGGCCGTTTCGGAGGTGGGAAAGCGCCGATCGATCGGAGCATTTGTTCGGACGTGGATTAGTTAGAGAATAAAAAAGGAAAGAAAAGTTGAGAAGAAAGGTATTGTGTGATTGAATAGGGGTCTTGCGTAGATATCATTCATTAGATACCAGCCTCTTGACTGGAGTCTTTCTATAAAAAAAACCTCACATTATTTCATTTTCCATCGAATCTTTAATAGAGTAAGCAACATAGTTCTGCTATACAGGAGCGTATCTATCATGTTGATATGCCAATGCTGTCCATAATTCTCAACGCGGAGATATCCGCATCTGATTCGTGAATGTTACGCATGAACGCATACATCGATTAGAGGGAATGAGGCAATAAGTTGAAGTCTAAGGGAAATCAAACAACAGTATGCGGGATACTAGCGTTGTAGAATATATATGTATTAAACTCCACTGTGTATAACTGACGTTATGTTTATCAACATCAACTTGAAGTTGTAGACACAACGGCGAACTAGAGATACCAGCCCAAAATCCCAAAATCCCAACACCGTAAAGACCCAGCCAGTGAACCATAGTTTACCTTCAGACTCAGATTAGCTCACGTGCAATATATCATCTACATTGTCCATTGTCATTTGCTCTTAGCCGATACCCATATCACACTTGGAATACGCCATATTGTAGCAATAAACGGTGAATATGTTCGTGTAAAACGGTAACCGATAGCACGGCATGAATAATGGGCTGGCATTCATTTTCAGTAGCCAGTAAGATCGGTCTTGGTTGATATTAATTTTTTTATATTAATGAGAATGAGAGACTCATGCCTGTTATGCCTATAAATACGAGAACTGTCAGAGATATATGCACAGCGTACGCTCTAGCAATTCCCCCTTCAGCTGCATTGACACCAACAGCCCTATTAGTATGTCGCGATTCCACCATCTTCTATATGTAGTGTAAGTATAATAGAAGAAGAAAAGGCCATGTTCTTGTCCAGAGAATATAATATAGGATGGAATTAAGCAAAGGTAGGGCCATCAAGCTGATGGTTTTGCCTCCAAAAGAAGCCAAAGGCGAATATCGCACAGCGAATCGTCAAAGATGAGCCAATAGGCCATCTGAAGCATGTAAATCTAAATTTCGGGCCGCATATGTATCTTGTATATTTAGTCGTTTATCGTCGTATCGGAAAGGTATCATTAAAAATCGTGGATGGCTAGCTAATTTAAGCAACGTCAAGAGGTGCGTCAAGAGGTTTGTAGCCGTATATGTTGTGGAAAGGAAAATAGGAGTGGAACTTGGGCAAGCCGTTTTCTTCCGCAATAATAGACTTGCGGACATCGACAAGGAACATTTCAATCTGAATGGCAGTCCATCCCAGTCCAAGCATAAAAGGTCGTCTAGCCAGCCCAACAAGACCCCACATGATGACGTCTCGGAGGATGTGGCCGCACTCTTGAAGACGTCTCAATTTGGGCCACGGGCCGTTGGGGCACTTCAGATCTATCCGTCGAATACCTTGGAAACCGGCAGCGACTAGCTCATCCTGGACGTTCAAGATGGCATGGATGTTGGAACCAAGGGCAGCAAGTCCATCCCCCAGGAATCGTAAGAAATCGCGCCAAGCGTATGGCTGGTTACATGACTGGTCGTCACAAGCAGCAGCGTACTGAAACTCTTGAACTTCAACGTAGCCGCCTGGTTTCAGATGCCTAATGGAGAGACAAAGACCAGTTAGACATACTCATAGCAAGGTTACAGAAAGGGGCGTTTAGACATACTTGTAAACTCGGTTCCAAAGCTCGGTTCGATTTTTTATTGAGTGGCAGGTATGACGAATATGGATATAATCAAAAGAGTTTTCGGGATATGTCCATCCAGCTTCATGTTCGATGTCATCAACCACGAAAAGCACGTTCTCGGGTACCCAATCAGGTTGGATTGGTGATAAATCCATGCCATGGAATTGTGCATTAGGATACATGTCAGCCACTAGATTCAAGGATGTTAGAATTATCAGAATTATGTAAAAGCGCGAGCATGACAGAGATGAATAGGCAGGAAAGTGATGCTTCAGAACCGCTAGGGCACTGAGGCATTCTTAAGCCGTTTCGTCAGGAGTTACCAACATTCAATCGACCATTTTCCAGTTCCAGTACCTGTTCAACATGTACCGTTAGCACAAGAGTCGATTCTAGGAAAAACAGAGTCCGAGAGGGAGACAACAAATCTTCTCAGAGAGTAAGATTTCTGTACATGCTCTAGACGAACACACCTAGATCGAGAACTTCAGCACCAGGCTGCAGCAGCCGCTCATGAATGGGAGCGTAATAATAGGCTCCTTCGCAAAGATGGATGGTCAGGTTGTGCTTGAGGTCGTCCCGATACTGCTCTGTCTCGTCGTTGGGGAAGTTGTATTGCCCAGCGTGGTACGCATGATAGCGTAGGCCACCATCGATGATATGCTGGCGGATACTGTCGGTAAGGCTACGCGTGTCATCCCATGTCTCGTCGTCAGGAACGTATTCGCCCTGTTCGAGGCTTTTAATAAGATGGGCGTTCTGTGATGTGCCGACTGTGATGGCTGAGCCGGTGGAGGCTGGTGACGGAGGTCGTGCGTAAGTGTTTGGGACCGGCCCGCTGCTGTCGTCTTCGAGCATCATTTTGGATGCCGAAAGGAAAGAAAGGGGTTCGATTGAAATTGCCGAAAGAGATGGTTTGTAGAGAAATAGCCAGGCAATGGCGGGTATTGTAGGATGCGTGATGATGTCTGTTAGAGGCAGCAGGTGGCTGATGAGTGCAGAATGCAAGTTGAATATGTCAAAGAACCACCATCCAAGGAAACGAGTTTTCAGTGATTGACAGATGAGCGTGACCGGTATACGTGTGAATACAACGTTGCGAGCAACTATTGGCGCTCCCGTGGCCTCCTCCACATGCGAGATGGATGTGCAGCCCCCGAAACACAGCAGATGGCTAGCAGCTGTGGCGTCTCGACAGCTGCTGTAAGGGATAGAGTTGTCGCCAGGGAAGAAACGGATGGGCGAATCGTCTAGCCTACCGGGGCATCGCCAGCTAATGTACGATTCTCGAGCGGCTCTTCTCAGCGAGATGGCGTGGATTTGCCAACTAGACGGCGCTAGGCCCGGCCCACGAAGACGACGACGGGGCCTGCGAAAAAGGACAGGCGGCCTGCTCCAGCGTCGGGTCACGGTGGCAGTCTCTTGCAGTAGCGCTGCCAGGGCGGCAGGGCGGCGAATCTTGCTGCTGCTTCGAGGCCGGTACCAAATCTCGCAATCTCGCATGTGGCAGATTCGTAGCCCCGTAGTAGAAGTCGTCCGGAGCACTGTTGGCCTTCCAGCTTGCCTCACAGCACGGCCAAGGCAGGGATCCGAGTCAAAGGGAAACGAAATTAACGAGCAGGGTAATGGTGTAGAAGCACTTGGTGGCGGAGTACCTATTAGGTACGGTATTACAGCAGGAACCACGGGGAAGATGACATTGACAGGGATGGGCCTGGGCCAATGCTGCATAGAGAAGCTAGACAAGTTCGACGCCGGCCACCCACGGGTCCGAAGCTGATCCTCGATTCTAGCCATCATAAAATCGAAGAGACAAAGAAAAAGAGCGCAGTTGAAAGTTCAAACGGGTTTAGCTAGAGTGATTGTTGAGTGATGACGAAGCGGTTTCCTCTGTTGCAGACATGTGGGAGCCGTTCATTCGAAAAGGGTAGTGGGTTCAGGCTCAGGTCGGATCCGAGGACATGGCACTGGTATCGTGTAATACCTAAAGCCCGGGAGGTGTGCTATGCTCTCGGCTGGATATCGATGCTCCGTATTCCACGGCGAATTTCAACAATCTCTCTATTTCCCGCATAAACACATCTTCGGACCAAAACTTTATTTGGTCTGGACGCCATGGGCCTCATAAGACAGCTCCGCTAGCTAATGCAATCGTTGGGAGGGGAAGTACGGCGCCCGCAGCGTCATGCTCCAACTGAGTCTGGCTGGCGAAGACGAGTGTTGGCGCTCCGGCTCATCCAGTCATTGCTGCAACCTCCGGGCACTAGCCGAAAGTTGAAGCAGCGATTGCACCTCAAATCGGTCGAAGTCTGTGAAAATGGCGTGACTTTGCTGCAACAGCCGAGTGGCGGTTGAATTCTGTGATTCTCATCACTAAGTCTATTTTGGAGCTGTAGATGAAAGTTTTGAGTCTCGTCCCGGTCATCACTACTACTTACAGTGCAAGTAGCCACGGCAGAGCCCAACGCTAGGTGGTACCGAGGGAATGGGTCTGGCGCACTGCGGCGAATGATGGCTGATGATATTCTTCTTCGGCCGGCGGCGGGCTTTCTAGAACTGCTTGGCTGCCGAGCCAAACGGCGTGACTTGGCGCGGTTAGTTTCATTGTTCCGCCGGTTGGCGAAATTTTGCAATTTGTTGTCTTCCGTCTTCAGATGTACATAGGTACTATGCACGAATGCGGTGGATTCGCCTATTCTGCGCAGAATTTGTGACGACCGAGACGGTGTTCGGAGAGAGTCCAAAGTCGGCCGAGAATGCTGGGCTCACACCAACTTGGGAATCACTTACGGAGCTAATCCTCCTCCTCTGTACCTTCCATGCACGCCTCTTCTGGAAGCGCCTTCCTGCCACATTACTTCCGCATCTAGCAGCGGCAACTCACAGAAGGAGCGCCCGTACGAAGAAGTGCCTGCCATGCAAGCAACTTCCCTGCAGAGGTGCCATCGCTGCGGTTGCAACAGCACGTGCATGTGCTCCGTACGACAACAATGAATTTAGTATAAAGCCTACTCTCTACCTGAATCGTTGTACTGTATCTATTATTTACATCGTGCAGACCTGCAGTTTTGCCACCAACCAGTAGCTGCAGCCGCCTCGTTTGCTGCTTCTAGCTCGTCTCACCACAAGGTGCAAGCCTGGGCCAAAGTTTGCTCATTCCCACACCAACTCGTTTTCTGTCCGACGCCAGCCCGTGCAATCCATCAATCTTCTTTCGCTTCGATGTATGCCTAAATAGGTTCAAGGTATGCATCCATTGAAAGATCTCACGCTGCCTACCCGAGAAAGACACGGACAAGGATGAAATCTTGTCTGTTCTTACTAGATCGCCGGATAATATATGACAGACAGCATAGCACTCATTTGCTGGCATAAAGATGCCCTACTAAAGCAGCCTAGCGATCCATCAAATCCGAGCATCTTTTGCTCTCACTGGTTCCACATAGACAGCTCTATGGCCCCCATTCCCACTCCTGGCACGCGTATTCCTACAAACTAAGAATATCTCGAGGCCGGCCTGGACACTTTGTGCCCCGACCCGACAGAGAGGAACGCTAGACAGCGCCTTTGTTTAGCTACTGATCCACCCTAATATTGGCCAGCATTGACAATTTTACAGCTCCATAGTGGCACCAAGCTAGGGATGCTTTTTAAATGGATACGATATACGAGTACCTAGGAATTGCACAAAGTTCGGACAGCTGCAATTCCTCTCCTTCCTTTAGTACAGAGTTGGGTATGTCTTCGCCTCTTCCGTATTAGTTGGTCATTGTAACGCATGATTTCTATTTGCGTGTTAGAGGCTGGTTGGCGGAACATGGCAGCAACGTGGCCGAGACCATCTACAAAAGTGCTTATGCCTATTCCGGGTGGCTTTGTTATGCAAGCCTTCGGCAGGGATCCATTCGTTTTGATGGCTGCTCAAGCCAGGCCAACATGCAGAGACATTTTCATATTCGTGCCATGCTGACTGGGGCTCACGTACTTTTAGGGTGTCAGTATTAACATGTGATTTTCCATTGGGACACATTCTACGTTGATGAAGCGTCAGTGTCTATAGCCCTCCGGCCAGACTGTGAGACTCGCTTTATTGTTCTGAGTCAGAAATAGCCTGGTTTGTTAAGCTTGCGATGAGAAAGCGTGCGTTCATGTGCTTTGCTTCTCAAATTGGAAAAAAATCCTCAAGATGCTTCGTTCCTACAGAGTTATTTGCTATAGGCAACTCCAGTTGCTTTATCAGTCGTCGGTCACTTCGCCGGATCAAGGTTAGGAGAGCAGACACTCCGGAGCCAAGTTGCAGATTGTTCCTCCGATTTGTCCTTTCCAAGCTCCTCTTTGATCACTGAGGTCTTTTTTCTTCCTTGTCGCCTAGGATTTGTACACGCTAATACCGCCTGTTGGGTCAAGGCTTTGCGTCTAAGCGGATTGATGGATCACCTAGACTCATCAGCCGCTATACGGTCCGAGTATTGCCCCGTCTGACAACAGGTGCATGGAGAATTTATCACGCGTATCCAGCTTACCAATCACTAAAGATGATTCATTCTTTACTATTCGAGTCCTATTCTGCGTCTTCATGGTGACGTGTTGATAAGTGTGAGATAGAATCGATGGAGTACTATGACGGATATAACCAAGTCATCGGTAGTAAGCCCTACCTATCTTACGGGAAAGTAGGGGAAAGTTGAGTACATTCGTCTTATGCTGGCTTTAAACATGAAACGATATGGATACCTACAGCAATTATAGCCGGCTTATCACTGAGTTATAGTATCGGAACGGGCCCAGTATGTCCCCCGACCCGGCATAGTGACACCTAGCAATTGCCTTGTTCTGAAGAAACACTTATGCCGGCATATTCTAAGCAGTAGCTTCATACATAGATGAAGATGACAAAACAAAATGAGACTAATCGTGACCTGCGCAGGGGCTTATAGCGAATCACAGCGATACGTACTCTTGCTGCCAATACGGCCGTGAGCAAGAGCTGTAGGCCAAATTTAAGCCCGAGAGGTAGAATGGGGAAGATGGTTGTTGGGTTGAAGCCGTTTAATTTCTTTGGGGGGGATCCGGGGCTGGATGTTGCTGTGTCGACGCAGGAGCAGAATCGGAGCGTTGAAGTAAGAGCTGGGGATGGTAGGTCGTGTAATACGTGTAATTGAGGCAGCCTGCATTTTATGGGAGCACTATAATGATGTGCTCGGCATTGTTTCACAATACGTTGAAAGTGCTGTTGTGTTATTTTCTAGACATGTATTTTAACAATAATACGTTATACTGTTGAAGAGCGTTAAAATTGCTGTGAAATAGGAAATTCATATACGCTGCAGTTACACCACATCAGTGTAAAGCCTGAGGGGAGGCTAAAATTGCTGTGAACATAGTAAGCGTGCGTTATTATGGTGACGAGAGTTACTATTTCATGCGGGCTATGACATTAAGCTCAATGCCTCGGAGAAAATAAAAATGCTTTTCATAGAATAGGTCAGCGCCAATGGTGAAGTCATCGAGAGTCGTAAGGACCGCTTAAGCGATATTCCGCAGTATAGACTTGCGTAGCCGCAATGTATTTACGGAAAGTATATAAAGGTTTATAACTTAGAAAAGGTTCTTCTCAAAGTCTAAGGAGAGCCAAGTGTCTGGCGCAGGAGATGGCTAACTGCCAAGAAGAGCACTGGTATATAAGCTTCTTGGTATATTCAAGTCCCAGAAAAACCAGTCATACGCAGTGTGGTCCCTAGCAATATCAGAATCACGGCTTCAAAGAGAAAATTCATCTTCGCCTCACATTATTAAGCGTCCAGACGCAGTTCATTGGAGAGTTGTAGATAAAATCCTAGCTCCCGTGGTCTTTCTAGGGTAGCGTTAGTCGGCTGACAACAAAGTATAATGCATCAACTTAATGATACTATTGGGAGGTGATATTAGAAAAATAAATAACTGAGTTTCTCTTTAGTGTTCTACTTACACGATGCGTTGCTTTTATTTTTTTTTTTAAAAAAAAAAAAAAAAAGCAGTACATAGACACCGCTTGAGTCGACTCGATGCTGCGTACTTATTGACGGTAGAAATTGTCACTCCACACTAATCCCACCAAATACTTACCAAGAGAACCATTATCTAGGTAGATGTTTCTATACCCAAAATTTCCATAAAAAAGCATTATCATTAATTCACAAATTTCATATACAGCATCTTTAGCCAAAAATAAGTATCGGTCTTTTACTAGAAAGAAAAAATTGTTGGTTCTGATACGTATTGCTCCTGACGTCTACAGACGCTCTTTTCTTCTATTCTCGCTACCCAAGAAGGCATCTCAGCCCTATTTCTGAAAGATCTATAGCCTTAGCGTGCTTGCTAATATCACTGTAAGCTAAAAAAGAAGAGGGGCAATAACAGGGAAAATTCTTCATCCACAGGCTGTTATCACGATGCTACTTTTTGTCTCATGGCTCTTTTGGTTAACACGAGTCAGGGCATTCGCTGCATCGGGCCATCAAGTCCCGCGGAGAGGAGAAGCCAGCCGTGGCCCCTCCCATCTCCATAACAAAGGACTTTAGCCGGAAGATGAAGTCATGCCGGGAGGGCGATCGCAAGACCCTTGTTAATCCCATACTATCTCGACAAGTTCGAGTATGCATGCACTTCGTCCAATGTCGAATGTCTACCCGCGAGTTGCTGCCGAAACACTAGCAGGCACTCGCATTTAGACGAACCCCGCTGGAGCTGCAGCCCTTGAAAACTCGTCACATTGAGTCCACATGTTCATACAGGCCCCTTCGTTGGGTGGTGCTGCTCCTGCGTCGATTCGACGAAGCTCCACGAGCTACTGACATGTCCTCCACAACTAAGTGCGAGATGTGCTGAGGAACTGCGGGGAGGATTTCGTTGTCGCATCACTAGCTGAGACTATCCCATGAATTGAAATAATTGGCGACGTACATATTTCGTAATCATTAGCAAGTTAAAGATGAGTGGTTCGCTTGTATATTATCATATATTGAGACCTGCGGTGCCCAAACATTCGGTAGCTTCATCTTCATCCCTATCAGCCAAGACAACGGAAGACCAAGCATAGCACCTTGAACTGCGACGGCAACCAAAAAAGATGACGAGGCTCCCCTTCCACGCAGACCACATCGGCTCTCTCATTCGCCCAGAATATGTGTCCGATGCTCAACGGCAGTTCGACGAGGGCAAAGTCTCCGCAGAGGAGCTCCTCATCGTCCAGCAGTCCGTCATTAAAGAAATCGTCAAGAAACAGCAGTTGAACGGCGTAAGAGCTCTGTCCTCTGGCGAATTCGACCGCAAGTACTACTTTTCGGGCTTCTTCGAGAAGCTCGCAGGCTTCCGTGAAGTTAGCCCCGTGCCATGGGAGCTCACGAGGCTGTCTGCGCCGCCCATCGCCGCGCTCAAGAAAACCGGGCAGCAGTATCCCATGGCCGCCATATGCGAGGGCAAGATCCGCTACGAAAGCAGTCCGTATCTCGAAAACTGGCGGCTGCTGCGCAATGCCGTGCCCCAAGAGCAGTGGGCGGAATGCAAGTTCACGATGCCTCCGGCATGTTATTTCCACCTGAGGCTGGCTCCGGGGAAGTGCTACAGCCCTGAAGCGTACTCTAGCGATGAGGACTTCTTTGCGGACTTGGCAGTGGCCTACCAAAAGGAGATTCAGACATTGTACGATGAGGGCCTGCGGAATCTTCAAATCGACGACCCGACGATGGCGTACTTCTGTTCCGATGAGATGCGAGAGTCGTTGCGGAACGAAGGGTCTGATCCGGATGAGCTGTTTGACTTATACCTGAAGGCTCACAATGACTGCATTGCAAAGCGTCCGGAAGGTCTCCATGTTGGGCTTCATATCTGCCGAGGTGAGTTGTGATACACGTTCCCTTCTCAACCATTTATCTGTTTATAGGTGAAGTTTTAATAGCCATGATTGATGCTAACCGCTGTCTACTTTCCAACAGGCAACTTTTCCAAATCAATCCACTTCAGTGAAGGTTCATACGAGAAGATTGCCGAACGCTTCTTCACCGTCCTCAATTACGATACCTTCTTCCTCGAATACGACAACGCCAGGTCCGGCGGCTTCGAGCCTCTGCGCTTCCTCCCCAAGGGCAAAAACGTCGTTCTTGGTGTAGTCACAACCAAAGACCCCGAGCTCGAAGATGCCCAGGAGATCAAGCAGCGGGTGCTGGAAGCCGCAAAGATTATTGCGGACGGTCAGCAACGCAGCGTCGAGGAGGTCATGGAGAACATCGGCATCAGCCCGCAATGCGGCTTTGCCAGCGTGGCTATTGGTGCAGAGGGCATGACGGAGGACAAGATGTTTGCTAAGCTGAGGCTGGTTAAGGATATTGCAAAGGAGCTGTGGCCAGATCGGCCATAACAGGAGAGCGAATTACCTAGTATATGCTGTTCAGGGCCTGTGGTAATGCGCTCAGCAAATACTGTAAAGCAAATGCAATTTTATTACAGTGATCCATTGAGGCCGAAGACCATTGAACTAATGCTAGATACATATGGCTGATGGTAATTGCGTTTGTCGGCTCCATCAAGTCGACTACTATGTAGTTCGTCTTGTAAGATCTCCGATCACAGTATCCGACAAGCCTTTTCACAACAACGAGCTTCTTGGTTCGACAAAAAGACAAAAACATTTCATAGAAGACTGATAGAAGAGAGCAAAAATGTAAGACTCCTCCGGGAAGGCTCGAACTTCCAACCTCCTGATTAACAGTCAGACGCGCTAGCCAATTGCGCCACAGAGGATCTTTTCAAATCATATTTGCTGACTCGTAATTTAGCCTCATATTCTCTGCTCTCAATCATTTTCTTTGACATACCTACCAGGCGTTGACAGTTTCCTCTCGACCGTTCAGTCTTTTGCGGCACCAGAAGCTACCTATCTAGAGTAGTGTTTAGATAAACATGAATGTCTGTATTCGATTATGGCAAGGATACTACCCTCATCTTGTTGATGTTTTCCACTCAAATCTAGTAAAACTCACTGGCTTCAAAGCATCACTTGATGGTCTGAATTCACGAGCTGTATGCAGTAAACAGCAGGTACCACGTAGCTAATCCGCAAGTTCTGCAGAAACCACTGCCAATTCAACCATATCAATCCAATCTCAAGATTCTCGTGTCGATTGGATATACCCAAGCATTGATCTGGTGATGTTCGAGCTATATGCCTGCTTGTTCTCTTCGACAAATCACACGAGGCGTTCTAGACCCTGCTGAAAGGATGTTTGCAACTGTTGTAAAATTGAGTTTTATATCATGCCAGGCGCTTCCCAAGAGATACCACAAGAGATGAATGTCCTGAGCCAAAAGGCGTCATGGGGCTATTACTTTCCCTCCAGCGCAGCACCTTCATAAGACGAAGATTACAATCAACACTCAAGAGCAATGTGACGGGTGAATTTTCGTTACAAATACAGGACAGTATGGTGCTTTGAAATAACACTTCATCAATCACAATGTGCTTTCTCTCGATTATAAGTGCTATAGCACAGATAAATTTCCTGACTGCTCGTAGGTCAACAGAGATGAGCTGACATGTACACGCTATCTATCCAATGCTTGCAACACAAGAATGAAACAAGACCATTTCTACACTCTGCGCCCCCAAGATCTTTGGACAACAAAGTGAGCCGTATCAAATCCCCCCACTACCCAAGGATCTGAGGTTGCAAACGCAATCAGCAAGATGTAGCAAGTTAGTACGATCCATTTGTGAGCACCAAAAGAGAAAGAGGCAAACTAACCTGAAATAAGGAGCACTATAGCTGTTAACAAACCGAATGCGACGGAAAGCCCTACAAAGTCCGTTTTTATTGTCAGCCATCGCTGAGTAGGGTGCGGAGAACAAACTACTAGGTAGTAAAAAACCCGACCCCCCAAGAAGTGCTACCACAGGGTCCCGTGGAGTCGAACCACTCGCCGGTACCCACGTCTGGGCCAGGTCGCCGAACTGTCGCCACAGAAATAGTTTCAAGAGGGGTCCCTACCTGGTATAACCACCATGTGTGGTTCAATAATAGCTGCCTAAGATGGCAGTCTTCGGCTCGCGAAGGAAGCGACAGGAGGCAAAGAAGTTATGGAGGATGCCTGATGAAGAAAGCCGTGGGGGAGAATCGGGTGTTTCGCGCGAAGAGATTGATAAAACCAACATAAAGAATTTGACTTTGAGACAGACGGCAAGTGAAAGACAATTGGCGGCCAAGATGTCTGATAGGAAAAGAAGAAGAAATCTGGATCTGGACCTGGGGTATGGGTTTTTATAGCCGCCGCCAGCGTTGAAACGAGACACGAGCGAACCCATTGGCACTTGCTGCGTCGATTCGTCGAACGACTCACATGAAGAAGGTCCTTAGGTGCTACTCGATAAGACGCGTAATGTGTATTGGTCAATTTACAAGTATATTATAATCAAGGAAGGCCAGAGCAGGATGAGGTGTTCTCACGCCACAACTGCCAGAAGGCGCGCTTTGATCCATTCAGGAACGCACGCCCAACTCGTATGACTTGCTTCGCTGCCCAGTCTTTGGCTTGCAGACTTAGCCAAATAGCTCTCGCGTCATTTGATACTCTCACTTTCTTTGCTTGAGCTGGATCATCCGGTAGTTAAGCGCAATGAACCTGGCTACCTGGCTACCTGTCTCCGGTAGAAGCTATACAGGTTGAGATGAAGAGACGCGAACCAAACTGTGCGGGCAATACACAAAGTTGCTGTGCCAAAGTCGCTGGGCCAGCAAATTCACCGGTTTGAGCAGAAGATCCCCATACACCATAAGACACAATATACCCTCTCTCACCGTAAAAACAACTATCATGAATCTTGTTGGAGTATGATGGTTTACACTTGAAGGATATTACCAAATTTACACGACAGTCGTCGCCTTCCTTGATTAACCAGCTAGATGACATTCTAGCCAGTGACATTTTTCCTTTCTGGCTCCTACCTAGGTAGTCTTGATTGAAGTTGATGAAAGTCCCCTAATTGATCATTTCACGCGGGCGATGTGTAGTCAACAGCACATGGATACTACATGCGGTGAACTTCCTCAGATATAATCAGATGCTATTAGGATCCGTTACTATATACACGTAGAGATATATGCCTACTCGCCTTCAAATAGTAGTACTACTGCCAAGGAGACGAATTTGATACCTGCCTCGACTATCAGCTGTAATGACTATTTTCCATCTCAAATTTCTCCATTTAATTGTAATCCATAACGGCCAAGCCCTCGGTATCATCAGTCTATATCTCGACCTGGAGAAGTTCCCACTCGTAGATATTCATGTCGCTTTTTGCTGTTCGCCGTGCCTCAGTATCTGCACGAATATTTCCTGAGATGGCAGGATGATGGCCTGGAATCCAGTGTACTTCAAGTAGAACACCAAGATCATGAAGATGCTGTGATCTTGTTATAAGCTTGCAAGCAAGTGTTCCATCTTGAGACTTCCGATTTGAAGTGTGCTCTCGTAGCTTTTGTAGCTTGCCAATGGCATCCTGGCAGTCGGTTAAGATGACGACCTTTTGTGGAGTAATCGAGTCCCTTTTTCTTGAGTCGTTTATACTTGATATTGCAATTCCTAAAGCGCCTGCGATACCAGCCAGTTCAGCCGCGAGATAATATCTGCCTCTGCCCCCTTTAGGTACCGTAAAAGCCCTCACTGTCCACTCGCTGCTTTTTGCAACCTTGTATGCAATTGCAGCAGCTAGCTTGACCTTGTTTCGACGAAGGGGATGATGACGAGATTGACATTGCGCCTGTTTGGGGGAGGCCTGATGAACAATATCATCTTGATTCTTTCGAATATGAACAGCGCCATCAGTAAAGAAGACCATTTGTCCTTCGTCACAGTGAGACATATCCACCCCTTTTATAATGGCCACCTCCCTGGGCTGGATAACCAGCTCGCCATGGAAACGCAGAATAGATGCCGCTGCGAAAAGAGCTGTTTCGTTTTGTATGCTAGCCTTTTTACGTGACTTTTTGACCATGGATATGTGTTTCGCAGTTTCGCGAGCAATCTGCTTCTCGGATTTTCTCTTCATCTTGAAACGTAAAGAAGTTTGTTGCTGTGTTGATAGTCGGAGCCGATGTGTTGCTGAGTTGTGCAGAAATGTAATGCATGTAGGCACTGGTCCCTTTAGAATTGTTCACATTGAAGGTTTGCCTACTATAGGTACACGTAGATAAATGTAGTCATATTAGAGGTGAGAGGCTTCAAAGTTCCACCAAAAGAAAGGCAAAGAAGAAAATAAAAAAACCTTCTCGGCTATATCAAATGAGGGTTAGAGTTTAACTGGATTTCCTTTTAGATTGCCATCCTAACTCAGCGAGAAACTTTTCTGTAGCCACCAGAGGACAAATCGTCATCAGAGAAAGCTTAGTAGGCAATAGTTGATGAGGTTCATAATTGGGAATAATGGCAACTGCACAGATCAAAGATGAAGTTTATCCAGTGAACCAGGCTCATCCAGCGTATCAACCTCATCCCATCAAGATAGTCTCCGTAATATCAAAGGGCGCGCTATAATGAGCCATATATGCAACGCTAACTTTTTCTAGATTTTGCAGATTCCGTTCATTAAAAGGCTATACGAGGAGTTTACGCATGAGCAATACGTGTATGCTTCGTACTGCAAACTCTATATTATTCTAGAACTACAAATACGGATTACCTAATACGGTACATGCATGATGCATCTGAACCCATCTCCTAAATCACATGTGAATTCCTTCTAGATGTATGTACATGCAGCCCAGCCTAATCTATTCACAAGCAGCCCATCTTCTGTATACCATCTTCTTTATACCAGCAGATTCTCCAGCACTCAACATTCCTCGAGTCTCCATCCTCTACCTACGCACAAACCCCTAATATCGCTAATCATACAAATTCCGGCCCCCCGGCTTGCTTAGGCAGGTAGACACCTCGCTGCGTCATCCCCAAGAGGCTACAATTCCAGCCGCATTTGGCCCAGTCACGAGCACTCACCCGTAGCGGGGAGCGCCTCTACCCGTCGTCGCACGCCGCCATCAGCGCTCGCCCTCTTCCGCTTTCAGCGTCTCAGGTGCTCGCCCTGCTCACACGACAGCCCAACGATCCCTAAACTAAGCCCAGGTAGTTCTGCCCAAGGAGCGTTTTCAGCGCACTTCGCTCCAGGCTGATTGAGGCTTTGGGCTGTGCTGTGCTAACTGGGCCGAAACAAAAGGGGGCCACATTAGAGCCGCCGTTGGGCCTAACTCTGCTCTTCATCCTTTCTCCCACCCAACCCTCAGATCTTCGGCTTCTATAACTTCCGCCCATCTTCTATTCCACAAAACCCTTCTCGGTGCGCGTCGTCGTTGCGGAGGAGTAGAGACGTTATTACAAGCATATATTACTCCTTTTTTTATTCATTACACCGAAATCAAATCCCTTTTGGACGTCTCAAAGGCCTTGCCGGGCCTCGTCCTCCCGCAACCATGTTCGACCTCTTTGCCATGCTCTTATCGTGTGTTTTATCTGCCCCGCCAATGCCGTCACTGCTAAGCAGCGCTAACGCTCAAGCATCGCAACAGCTCTATCGCGTCCTTCCTCTTCCCCATCTTCGCCTCCTACAAAGCCCTCAAGACGTCGGATCCTGCGCAGTTGATGCCATGGCTCATGTACTGGGTCGTGTTTAGCTGCTGTCTGCTTGTAGAGTCGTGGGTCTACTTCATCCTTGCGTGGTACGTCTTACAGCTGCTCCCGCCATCTTCGTCTTACGCCGTCTTGTGACTGGTACTCATGCACTTGAATCTTCTAGGGTCCCGTTCTACGGCTACATTCGCCTTTTATTCTTTTTATACCTTATTCTACCGCAAACCCAGGGCGCTCGAGTGCTCTACGAGACGTACATCCATCCCTTCCTCCGCGAAAACGAATCGCAGATCGACGAGTTTATCGCCAGCGCCCATGAGCGTCTCAAGGCGGCCGGCATCGACTACTTCCGAAAGGCCATTGACTACCTGAGAGTAAATGTCCTCGGTCTACCCCCAAGCGAACCCGAGCCTCCCGCTCCTCCCGCCTACCAGAGCTATACGCAATCGCTCCTCGCTCGGTTTAACATCCCCGCAGCAGCGAGGCCTTCTGCTCCTAGCAATGTAGGCTCCGATCTCTTCGGCCTCTTGGCCGGTGCCGTGGCGGCGGCAACCGGCTCAGGGGCGCGAAACGAAGCTGGCGCGGCATCGGTAGTTCCATCCCATATCCAAGACTCAAATGAGAGGATGACCTTCATCGCCTCCCAGCGAGACCGACTCAACGTCCTCCTCACAGCTCTTGATCGAGAAGCAGCGCAGCTTCAGCGAGACGGACAGACGCAGTCTCGATCCCGCTCTAGGCACATGGATAGCGACGAGGATGTCACCCAGAGGCCGCCTAGTGGGCTCAGCGGATGGAGCGGACTGAGCAAGAGCCGCAGCGAGACGGATTTTGAGAAGATTGACGCCGAGAGTGGAGCCGAAGATGAGTCCAACCTCCGGCGCCGTCATGCCGCAGGTGACGACGCAGGCGGCTCGTGGATGCCTTGGGGTCGCAGTGGAGGCACAAGCCACAGCTCTGGACTGGATGATTAGGGGGAACTGGAACAGCGAGGGAAATGGCGGGTATGCGAGTATGGACTGAACGCGTAGACAAATCAGCATGTCACCGCTCATGTCGCGGGAAACTACGCATGGATCCGGTCGACAGAAATAGGGCCTCTGGCACTCTTTGGGATATCATGTCATTATATATCGAGGGGAGTGAAAGATCCCTTCGTGCAAATGGGCTTTGGCCACCTGCCTTTCCCTTTTGTACACCCGGGCCCATGAGTCTAACCAAAAATGCCTGCCTTTTGCATGGCATCAACCAGAGATGGTTTCCAAATATTGTACAAGTCCAATCGCGCCATCATCCTCATAACCATGTGTGATCCTCTTTTTATAGAGACTTTTCGCATTGTAAATCTCTTGCCAAGCCCAAGTCATCGTAACATTCGCTCCAGCCGCAACATCAATCCGAACCAGCTTTTATTTGCTGACCTTGTAAGGGTACTGTACGTCAATGTCGCCCTTTCTGTACCATTGCAATCGCTTCTTCTTGGTGGTGACGTGCTCAACCCACACTTCCTCCATGTGGTTCTTCTTGAACCATCGGACAAAGTGAGGGTCCCACAGCTCGGAGGCAATACCCAGATCCTTGCAGCATCGCATCAAGGCGTTGGACTTGCATCCTTCGACGGCAGAGGGTAGCTGTTCAGAAGAGAAATATGAGTTTTCGCCCTGAGCTTGTGAGACAAATCTGGTCATGACAGTTAGCAGACGCTCAAATGGCGTAACAAAGCGATAGCCTTTGTGGCAAGTGTCCTTACCGGCCGCCCACAATGAGGGCATACTCCCGGGTCACAATCGTGTCGCTAACAATTGCCTCTCCCTTGGGAATCAAGCCCCATCCCATAGGGCCGAAAGCCTCGTTCAATCTCCTCCTGTACTTGATCTCGGGCAGATAGATGACGCCATCTGGCTTGACCTCGATGTCCTTTTCCTCGACCGGCTGCATCAGGAACTTGAACTGCTTTTCCGACACTGGCTTTGCTGAAATGCCGTAGAAGCTCCTTGTCCAGTCCACAGTCGCTGCGTCCAGCACTTCGCCATCCTCCTCCTTTGCATCTTCAAACGCAATGCCCTTGGGCTGGTAGACAATATCCTCGTATGCTATAGAGGCCGCCATCGCCGGCTTTGTCGCCCGAGTCGCAGCTCTGGCATATCTCGTTGTGTTGCTGTTTGTTGATGTGGAGGTGGAAGCTTTTGCGGGGGGTGTTGATGTAGCTGGCTGTTCTGTCGTAGACGTCGCTGATTCTGTAGAGTAGAGGCGGGCTGAGGACTGGATTGGTCGGAAGGGGCGGCTGGCGAGCTGCTTGGAAGCCGCTGAAAAGGCTCTGCGGGTGGGAAACATGTTGTACGATACAGAAATTGACAGTCTAGGAGCTTGTTTTGTCGAGAGTTTCGGAGTTGGTTGGTATTCACGGTTTCTGGAAATTTTCTGGATGGCTATCAGCGAGATGTCCCGGTGAAAAGAAGTTCCGCTACCGCTGTTTTGTCTTATGACGCACAAGCAGTATTGAATCGATAGTTGGGACCCGGAAAGTCTACGTCAATAAGTGAAATGGCCATTTCTTTTTTTGCTAATTGAGTCAAGATGGTTCTATTTCCTATTGCTACATGTTTGTGTTACACTGGTTGTTTCCCTTTGCGTTCTAATTGTCCTTGGTGCTGGTTCGTTCAACGTTGCCGTGGGCCTTCCAGCACTCTTTAAAATCCTCCATCTAAATCCACGTTCCAGTCAGCATCAGTAAAAAAAAAAAAAAATAGCAATTCTCACTTATTATGAGCACATGTGGGAAATTGAAGATGTAATCAGAATAACTTGCCTCTTTTGCGCACGCTCTCCAATCCTTCTTCTCATAGTAGCAGTCTGTCATTCTCATATTCTCATCTGATCACGCAGCGCCCGCAATTGCTCGAGTCAGCCTTCAAGTACCCAATATGTGCCATTGATCCGTAAAATTGGACATTCTTTTCAATGTGATATTTTTGAAAGACCATAAAGAGTTCATTAACCAATAATTCGGCGTTGAATCGCAACTCACCCGCGCAGCCTGTGCTGAATATTCGCTTGTCCCTATAGCTCGCAAAAAGCCCACGGCTTAGCGTCGGGGCAACCTCTCAAAGCTTAAGCCGTCAACTCACCACTCATCCGGCTCATCATCCTCCTCAATTGCCGCGGCTGCTGAGGCCTCTGTAGCTGGTGGCTTTTCCTTTACGTCTCCAGGCATCTCGCTCAGTTTTTTGTGCGGATTATCAGGCGTCGACAAGTCGTCTTGGTGTTCAGCTGACCGGTTGATGTAAGAGAGAAGAAAAGAGCAAATATTCCATTATTGGGTGGCGTGACTTAGCAATCAAACGAATCGGGAAACCAGGCATCATGGCACCCAGCCGACTGAATATCCTGGTCCACACAGGTGAGTCTCACATTCTTATGAGAGTCGATGTATTGGTCAATCCAAGAATAATATTACTCACTATGAAATAGGCACTGGGACGACGGCGGAATCTGTCCGCCACTGCATGTATACGCTCCGCCGTCTCCTGTCCCCCAACTACGCCATCATCCCCATCAACGAGACGGCCATCTTGAAGGAGCCGTGGGCACAAACATGTGCACTTCTTGTCTTCCCAGGAGGCGCCGATCTTGGCTACTGCAGGGTATTCAATGGCGAGGGAAATAGACGCATCAGCGAGTTTGTCCGGCGAGGAGGGGCATATCTCGGGCTCTGCGCCGGAGGATACTACGGCAGCAGCAGATGCGAATTCGAGGTGGGCAACAAACCCCTAGAGGTCGTTGGAAATAGGGAGCTTGGCTTCTTTCCAGGAACCTGTCGCGGCGGTGCCTTTAAGGGATTCGAATATCGGAGCGAGAAGGGGGCTCGAGCTGTCACGATCAAGGCGGAAAAGCAGACTTTGAAGGATAAGCTGCCCGAGGAATTTGCCGTATATTACAACGGTGGCGGCGTTTTTGTCGATGTGAATGCGACGGGAGGACGCAAAGTTGAGGTCTTGGCGTCATACAAGGACGATATTGACGTGGATGGTGGTGAGCAAAAGGCTGCAGTTGTTCTATGCCATGTGGGAGAAGGCAAAGCCATCCTTAGCGGACCACATCCAGAGTAAGTAATGCGTTGTTCAAAAACTCCTTCTTCAAAAGAGAAATCTCATGCTGACATTGTCTTTCGCTGCTTCCAAGATTTGCTCCAGCCAACCTCAACCCCCAGTCAGATATTCCGGGATACAGCGAGCTAGTCGATAAACTTGCTGCAGACGACAAGTCTCGAATCAACTTCTTAAAGGCCTGTCTATCAGAACTAGGCCTCGAAGTTGCCCAAGACGACTACACGCCTCCATCGCTGTCTAGTCTCCATCTCACCGCCATCGATAGCGGCAAGGTGACAGAGCTGCTGTGTGATCTGGGGGACGCCATCGAAAAGGAGAATGGCAATGAGTTTATCCGCGCAGAGACAGACACCTTTCAAATTGTCTCTCAAGAGGACGGCCTGAGTTTGAGTGAGCTGCAAGACAATTTGCCACAGACTGAGGCTATTGATGACCCAAGCTCCGTTATCAAGAAGATTATTCCTCATGAGAATGAACTGCCTGGCGATGAACTGACACCTCGTTTCAGCCACGAGCGGTTCTATTCAAGCTTGAGACATTACAGGAAGATTGAATCTGCGGCCGACCAATGGGGTGATGTCCTATTGTATGGAGATGTGGTGACAAGCACCAACACGCTCCTGGAGAAGTGCGCCTTCTTCTATCTTTTCCCATCCATATATATACTACAACAAATGCTAATACTCAAATCTTTAGAAATCCAAAGATCAACGCCAAACTGCCAACAGGCTTCACCTTTACCGCCTCAACGCAAGTCGCAGGACGCGGCCGAGGGACCAACGTCTGGGTCGCGCCCCCCGGATCTCTTCTCTTCTCCGTCATCATCAATCACCCAGCTCACCTCGCCTCCTCACGCCCCATCGTATTCATTCAGTATCTCGCGGCCGTTGCCATTGTCGAAGCCATCCGCTCCTATGACATGGGCTATGAGAATATGCCGGTCAAGTTGAAGTGGCCCAATGATATATGTGAGTTTCAAATCCCGTGAAGCACCAAATGTGAGGTATGTCACAGCAGCTGACAAAAGTAACAGATGCTCTCGATCCCACAAAACCAGCATCTCCTCCATCATACGTCAAAATAGGCGGCATCTTATCTCAATGCAGCTACTTTGACGGCTCATACCAAGTCGTCCTGGGAATTGGCATCAACGCAACAAACCCTCGTCCAACAACTTCTCTTTCCGATTTGCTCCCGCCCAACGTATCGCCGCTTCACTTGGAAACCCTCCTCGCACGCATCCTCACTCGTCTAGAGTCCATTTACGAACAGTTTCGCCGCGAGGGCTTCTCCCAGGGCCTGGAGTCAGGGTACTACCGCCATTGGCTACACACGGGGCAGTCCATCACGCTAGAAGCCGAGGGTGGTGTAAAGGCAAGAGTGGTCGGCATCACTCGCGACTGGGGAATGCTGCGTGTAGAAGAGACGGATTCTCAAGGACGAGGGACTGGAAAGGTGTGGAGTCTGCAGAGCGATGAGAACAGCTTCGACTATTGGAAAGGTTTGGTCCGTAGAAAAGCCTAAGCCTAGAATAATGACAATTCAAACCTCACAAAGCAATAAGAAGGTGAAGAATAATAAAAACCGAGGTTTCATCTAATCGTCAATTTACACAAGTTGGTATGTTACATTGTTTTGCGTATAGTACAAGCGTGCCGCCAGCGCGTATTTGATTATCAAACTTCAAAACGCCTTTTGCTTTGTTTTTTTCTCCTCTTTGGTCTAGACCCAATCTCTTTTTTTCCCCCTTGTGGCTTCGAAGCCTCTAGATGTCCTCTCCTCCATAAACGCCGTGCCATGCCACTGTCAAGTGCCGAGTGAAGATGTGGTAATAAAAAAAATAGAGAAGAAAACGTGTACAATAAAAAGAGGGCTTTCTCTCGCTTCCCTATGTGTAGATCCGTCGTGGCCCTCATTTTTTTTCTTTTTCCTTTTGGTTAGTTGATGCGAGATTGCCGCGTAAGCCCCTCGTCTCGTCCAAGCCTCATTATGCCGTTTAGTCGAACAACGTCGTCCGCGTCAGCCTCGCTCATCATTCATCCTTGTAAATCTTGGGCTTCCACCCCTCCTTCGCCTCAGCTTCCATCTCAGCCTTTTCCCGTATGGGTCCGAGCTCCGCCTCGAATCGCTCCTTTGCGCGTACAATCTTGCTCTGCAGGTAGAAGCTGCCGCCCTTCTCCGGGTTGTTTGAGTCGAACAGTCGCTTGTACCGCTCGAGCACCTCCTCGACGTTAGCCTGGCCGTTGGCAGGGGGCTTGACGTTCAAGATGCGGCAGGCTTCTTCCAGGGTCATGCCCGCCGTTAGAGAGGCGCGGCCTGAGGCGCCGACGCCGCCGGCCTTTGCTTGCGCACGCTGATACTGCGATGAGGCTTGGGCTTGTCGGTAGGCGGCCATGAAGGACCGGCCGAGGATACGCGAGCCTGTGAGGAAGGCTGTGAGGACGAATTTGTGCGCCTTTTTCGATGAAAGAAGAAATAGAGGATTTCAAGATTAGTAACGTTTCCTATCAAAGCATCAAGTTTCGAAGCGAATTTCGGCAACCGCTCCGCCGCAATGTGTCGCATCGCAGCACGGGCTTCCGGATCTTCGGTGAGCAAAAAAAAAGAAGAGTTGCGGCATGCATACCATGGTGATCTAGAAGCCAGCTCCAGCGACTCAAAGAGTGCTCTCTCGCCAAAAAAGGGACTTGTACAATCTTTGTGTATTCGGCCGTTCCAAGAAAAGACAAGGGTGTTGCGCACCGTCCCGCGGTCGAGAAAGGCAAGAATCGTCTTCAATCGTGAGGTTTTCCCAAAGCCGAGTTTTGCGACAGTGGCAATCGATCGGCTACTTAGTGCTGGCTTGCCGTTTTTTATTTACCCGAGGATCCGCCACTGACCGAGCCGATGCCTCACCGCGGTCAAGCAGCCACCTACGCCTATCGTTTCTCTCGCTAGTAGACACAAAAACCAACCCCCACACCCTTGTATCGTAACCCCTCCATGATTAGCATCCCATACGAATTACATGTTAGCGAGGGGTTCCCCTGAAGAGCCACGCAATTGCCTGCTGCAAAGCCCACCGAGCTATTGCGTCTAGCCCTTGCAAATCGTTGCTCATTGGCAGGACATTCCATCACATTTCATCTGCACTGCCGGCGCAGCAGAATAAGCTAAAATACTCTCCGGCATTTCTAAGCCTTAATTTTAGCCTGCCGTATTCCGCGTATGGTGGTTCGTCAGGCTGGACTAGGTTTCTCACTTGAACACTTTTTTTTGGGCCAGCCTCTGTTTCACGTTTGGTGGTGAGGACCTGGTTTATTAGCCTGTCTACTAATCACGAGGAGAGTTGATGCAGTCGTCATCAGCGTGTATATGAACTGGGTTCTCAGAACAGCTTTTACTGCGTAATAGTCTGATTTCTCCTTATCCATTGGCTCCTATTAGTCACCACTTTTCAAACCCTCGAAACGTTCCAATAGCGTATTGTTTACTTTGAGAAGCAAGCAAGTTCAAGCAGCAATCATGTCACCCAGGGAGATTGAAGAGATGCTGCAGCGGGAGGGCAGTCAAGTCTCTCCTGACAAGTATGATGAGACGACAGAAACCGTGGGCGCTACCCAGAGGCGAACGGAGCTGCTAATCCCAGTTTTGGCCGCCTGTCGAGAAGTATGGACCTCTGGATCTGAGGAGATAGAGCTCATGGTTGAGAAGCTGGGCGATGGCAGCAGAGATGGTGAGTGGCTCTCACAGCCAGTATGAGAGCTCTGGAATATTTCAGGATGAGCTTCAACAGCAAGGCAGCCACCGACTGACTTGATATCTGCGTCGTTATAGTTGCCTGGCGGGTCCCTTTTGGAGACTCGGGGATCTTGGAATTCTTCCTCCGCGTCCTCGCCCGTGATGGCCTCAAACAGGGTCTGCAAATCCATGCCCTGCGGCTGGTCGGAAACTCTTGTGCAGATACAGACGTGAACCGTGCCAGAGTGATGCAGGGAAACCACCTCGCCACCATCATCAACCACCTGCAGGACAAGAGCTTGATACCCTTCACCATTCCAGTGCTTTTCAACATCCTGGTTGACTATGGTGAGACCGATGACTCCTCAGCCTTGCATGCGTGACAGAATAATGAAAAAGAACTAACTCAACTTGCCATGATAAAGAACCCGCACAATTGGCTGCTTCGGAGGCCAACCTCAACCAACGTCTCATCGCCCTCTTGTCCTCTCCGAACCTTGCCAACTTCGTCGTCTTCATCCCCTATTTCTGCAAAATCCTCATCTTGCTCACTTCTCAAGAAGGCGAAACAAGCCGCGCAAGCCCAAACACTGTGGAGGTTGCCCTCAGGCTGGCTACAAGCATGCCGTCGCGAGATGACCTCGACGACTTCATCTCTCTTGTCACAGTAGCAGCTGCTTACCTTTCTGACGAGAACTTTCAAACTGCTTTGATCCAGGGCCCTCTGCTGCAGCTTTTCCTCTCCACGTTTTACCACGCTCACACTCACTTCAACATGGTTCAGGTTGATGACGCCGATACGGTAGCGGCCCTGACGAAGCTCTACGCCGCCCTCCTCAACACTCTGGCAGATGTCACGGGCAACGACCTATTTGTTTCGTGCCATCCGCTTCAGAGTCAGGTTGCCCAAACCTTTCTCGCCTGGCTTCAGAGCTCGAACCCGCAGCTGCAGACCGCGGGCTGTCTCGCTCTGGGCAATCTCTCTCGCTCCGATGAAGTATCCATGGCTCTCGTTCAAATCCACTTCGCGCATACGCCCTTGATGAGACTGCTTTCGAACCCCGAAATCGTCGACGCGCAGCTCCTCCACTCAGCAATGTCCTTTTTGAAAAACCTGGCCATCCCGGTCCAGAACAAGCCGCTGCTGGGTAGTCTGCTGGACGTGGGCTGCATACCGAGACTGCTCAGCCTGGATACCTCCCCCCAGGTGCAGTTCACCGCCGTATCTCTGACCCGGCTGCTGGTTGTCAACTGTCCGCCAAACGTTGCCCGGATCTGTGCCCCCCTCAGCGCAGATCCGGCCAGCTCAGCGCGCGAGCGCTCAAGCGTTCACGCCATTATTGCACTGCATGAGCGCTCCGATGCCGAGCCCACGAGGCTTGAGGCCGCTCGGGCCATCGCTGCTATATGTCGTGTGCTTCACTCCAACCCAATTGCGACCCTGCTGCCAGACTGGGAGCCTCCTGTGGTCGAAATCGACGCAGATTCGCCCGAAAGCGGTCCTATGGATGCAGACAATCAGCGGCTTGGATATTTTTACAGCAAACATGACGTCGGTAGGGTTCTTTCGTTCCTAATCAGCCAGCAGAAATGGCCATCCCTCCGTTCAGAAGCGTGGTTCATCTTTGCTCTCATGTGTCGTTCCAAGGAGGGCAGTCGCGTCATCATCACGGTGCTTCAAATGCTCGGCATCATCACAGAGCTCATCAAGGCCGTTACTGGGAGAGATGCGCTTCCCAGCGAAATCGGAAGCAGCGGTGATAGTATCGAGGGAGCATCGTCCTCTGCTTCTCCCGATGGCCAAATCACTTCAATGGCAGAGGGACTGGGACTCGAACCTCAGCAGGCAGATCCAAAACAGCGGGAGAGTATGATCCGAGTGGATCGGGAGAATGCCCTGGTGATGTGCACGGAACTTCTCCGGGCGTGGGGCCATCAACTGCCTGGCTTGAGGCTGAGCATCCTGCAAGATGTGGTCAAGGAGGGCACGGAGATTGTGGCGGCACAGAAGGCAGCATCATCGTGAAGCTGATGGGATTATGTCCACCACAACTAAAAGAAAGAAGAGACGGAATTTTACCTTTTAGCTTTTAAAATGTCATTTTGGATAAGCATCTATAAGAGAAAGAAGGGTGGAGTGTAGCGAAATGTAGCCGTCTATATACTCTTTATGCAGCATTTACCTGGCTGTACTTTTTTAGTAGTGCGTTGTTCCACCGTAAGACCGTTCAAAGTGCACATAGCAGCAATTATAGAGCCAATTAAACAAGAAAAATGATTAAAAAAAAAATAGAAGCAAACTTTTTCACGGTATTAAGAAACTACGTATGCCTCATGTGCGTATTTAAAATGCTGCCATTTGACCCTAATTTCTTTCTTTTTAAGTGTGTACAGGACAGGGTCGGTTGATCATGCAAATAATTCTTTGACCTGGGGAACCTAAAAGAGCATATAATAATTCCTCTCGTACCCACGGCCCCTGAGCACTTCCATATCAAAGCCTCGAAAACCGAACCTTTGCCACACACTTCCCGATAAGAGACGCAAAGAGCAAAAAACCCTTAAAACACCAGTTTCCCTTTTGTTGACAAAGTTTATTTCTTGGCAGTCTCGGCCTCGGCCTTGTCACGAGCACGCTTCTCACGAGCACCCTGGTATCTGGCGTTGCTGCGGGCAGTGCGCAGCTTGGTGTAGGCACCGCCCTCGATGGCAGCGGGGATCTCGCTCTTCTTGATCTCAGAGACACCAGCGGAGACGTGGGCAATAGGCAGGGCGGAGGCGATGGAGGCGGCCTTGTCGAGCGAGGCGACGTCGGTCTTGGTGTCACCCTTCTTGGGGGCGTTGGACTTGCGGGGGAGGAGGATGAGGCGCTCCTTGTAGGCCTTGAGGCGGGCGACGTTGGCGGCAAAGCCCTCCTCGCTCAGGTTCTGTCGGCGGAAATCGACAGAGACACCGATGGTGGGAGCCAGTGACTTGGAGATACCGGCCTCCTGTAGGATTTGTTAGAACCAGAATTAAGAAAAAAATCTCTTCACTCGTTTTCTTGTCTTTCGTTTTTTTGTCGATCCAGGGCCTCTAAGAGACTATTCTTTTGCTTTGTTCTTTCGAGGCCAGGAGGATTGGGAATGGGAATCGCGCAATCAATTCGTACCTTGAGCTCGGTGAGGGTGAAACCACGACCGGCACGGACCCGTCGGTTGTACTTAAGGGTAGGGCATCGCACGATAGGTCGGAGCTTGTCGACGGGACGGGGAGCCAGAGCAGCGGCCTTGGCCTGACGAGCAGTACGTCTCCGGGTCTTGCGGCCGGGCTATTCGAGAACAAGTCAATATCTCGTGTCCACATTGTCCCAACTTTTCCTATGTCGCAACTTTTTTTTTTTCCATCATTTGGGTTTCAAGAATCGCGTACCTGGTCGAAGTGAGTGCGAACCCGTCGCTGCCAATCCTTGCGGAAATCTGTAGGAGCATGTCAGTCGCCGTTCATCATTGCTCGTATATCGCTGTTTCGTCTTCTTCTTTTTGGTATCCTAGTCGGGGAGATGCTCACGGTTGCTGATAAGGGTTTGGTTGTGCTTGATCGCCTGTTTGAAAATAAAAAGTCAATAACCTGAATGGATTCGAGCAATCCAAAATGCTCCATTGGGGGGGCATCTATCCATACCATTGTGTCTGCTTGCGATCAACGTGGACTCTGATGCTCGTTGTTCGGTAGGCGTTGAGATTTCGGAGGATGAGGCTCGTCAAATTCGTCAAAGGGTTTTCGTGCCCTACCACAGATACGTACCTCGTGGGGACATGCCCTGCCGCGCACCAAAAATTAGAATCGCAATCACGTGCTCCGCTTAAAAATCGTTAGCGCCTGGATGCCTGATTTGGGGCGATTTTGGCGCCAGGCATCAGCTTGGAGCTATAAAATGCCGTCGACGCTGCCACCGTTTTGCTTGTTTTTCTTCTTTTCTTCTTCATACTTACCTTGTTTCGAATACCCCAGTTCAAGATTCGGGGTATTCAGTTGGGAAGGCCTGCATTGCACAGCGCGGAGTCGTTCCTTGCTCCATTGTCCTTCGGGGCCATGGGAGGCGCAATTTTTGATATATCCACTCCGTTTTCATTGTGACGGCTGCTATATGCAGGCGCATGAAGAAGATGATAGAGCAGAAGATTTGGCGATGTCGTGACGCAGATAGTCAGAACGCGTCAAAGTGCACAACTGTGAGCAGGCGCGTGTAGGAATTCGCCACATTGTTTGAGACATCACGTAGACCCTGAATAGGTACCTGAGGTAGTAATACCTACCAATGCAGCCTGCCAAAGTGATGAATTTGGTTCTGGGAAGCTGCTTCCGCCCACTTTGCATAAGTCTTGGAGTACAAAGCCAAATGCTTCAACAAGATTATAGCAAGCATACGGCGTATGCATAGCCAGTTTTTTTGCCGTAATGCTACAAAGACAACCTGAAAGAGACAGAATGCCAGCACGGTGAGGTGAATATCTGCATGGTACAACGGTCAACTCTCCCATGAATGTCAGCCAAGCATGCTCGCGTAGTAATTTTCCAATGTCCAATCTGCCTGCACCCATTGCCGCAATGCTTCACCTGCAACTACTGTCTCGATCGGTATTCCGTCCCTGGTATGAATCAAAAGCTATAGTACCTTAGCTCATCGTCCCTAGCACAATTCTCCTCACTCTTCTCCAAGAAGCAAGAAAAAAAACAGCCCATCTCTCAATGCCCGGAATTACCCCGCACCAATCACAAGCGCCAAATTCCACTTTGCTCGTCCCTCCATTGCCTTTTGCACCTCATTCAAAAAATCTCACGAAAACGGTCCATTTCCGACGTTGACAAAATCTCTCTCTTTTCTTCCCAATCATCCCTCGCCAATTCCCTCTCTCGTCAATTCCTCTCAGACTGCTGCCCTAATCACAGTCACTTAAAAAGGCGTTCCCTCAATCTTCTCAAATCAATCTTTTTCTCTCTTCTTTTTACTTCTTCCTCAACGACAAAATGGCATCCCGGATGGGATCCCGGAGCGTCAAGGACGCCACCAGGTTCACCTCGACTATACCCCACGCCACATCGAAATCTGCCACCTCTGCCGCCGCCGCGCCCAGGACCATGAGAATCCCCGGCGAGACGCCCGAGCAGCGAGTCAAACGGTTGCGACAGGCCCATCTGGCGGCGCAACAGGCACAGATTAGCAGGACGGACAGAGTGATTGATGCGTCAAGGCGGTTCTTCGATGTGGCGCACCGGTGGACGGTGGGGGGGCTTGTCATGTTCTCAGGTGCGTTTGAAGCTCACAGCAGCCCAACTTCTCTTGAAGATGAGTCAAAAGAAGAAAAGGAAGGCTAACAGAGACATATAATTAGTCGTCGCCGGTGTCGTCAGCGTATACTCGGTATGGGACATGCTGCGCTACAACCGCGCCCGCCGCGCCGAGTGGATAGAAGCCCAAAAGAAATTCGAGGCCGACGAGCTCGCCACCGCCCGCATCGCCTACCTCAAGGGCGACGCCACCGAAGAGCAGATCCTCCTCGTCGAGGAGGCCAACCGAGAAGCCGAGGAGAAGGGCATCAAGCTGCCGTCCCTCCTGTCCCCGCCTGAGCACCGAACGCATTTCGAAGAGCACGTCAAGTCTGCATTCGAGGGCGACCAGGGCCAGGCGGCGGAAAGCAAGGGCAAGGGCATCCTGGGATACATCTGGGGAGGCAGCGACAGCAAGAAGAGCGACGCCAGCTCTACCGTTTCTGCAAGTGCTGTTCAGTCCGCGTGGGAGCAGGAGAAAGAGAATCAGCTGAGTGTCCCTGCACTGGAAACCGGAAGCTCCTCTACGGAATCCAAGAAGAAGGGCTGGTGGTGAGCCAAGTAGGAAGCAAAAGATAAAACAAAAGGGGCGAAAGAGAAGGGAGAAGACGTAAAATCTTGTCATTATATCACTTGGGTAAGGAGGGCAGCAGCCCGTGTATCATAATTGCATGGCTTGCACTAGAAGGAGTTGGGAGTCATTTTGTTGTATGTATTATATAAGGAGATACACCTCCCAACTACTATATCATATGCATCTAAATTTGTTGGACACGCAGAACTAACAAAGAGATGTATTGTACTTTAAAAGGAAACTAAAATGTAAACTCTTTTTTTATATATAAATGAGAGTGTTTGTTATTATTAAGTCTGTCATGGATATGAATGATGGTGAGTCGCTTCTCATAATGTAAAATGCCTGATGCCTTGTGTTTACCAATGTTGCGCCCCAGAAATAAGAATATATATAGACTGCCATGCCGAGCAATCGCTTCATCAATAACGCTTGTCTAGGGGTATGCATATCGCTAACCCAACCAGAATGTCTCTTTTCTTTTCTTTTTTCATGAAAACAACAATGCAGATGTCGATGCGTGATATCAATAACGAGTGCGTCGCAAAACCTAGCCGTCCGTCAAACTCCGATAAAATGTGATGATTGCAAAAAGAAAACAAAGGAAAAGGAATCAGACGATATGACCCTGGATGTCGCAATCGACCATGAGTCGCTGGCGCTTCCAGAAAAAGTTTCCCGCCCTGTCACACAGTGAAGAGGCCGTTTGTCCCCGCCTTGAAGCCGACGACATCGAGCACCGATTTGGCAAGGCGGGCTTCTCTACATACTTTGATGTAGGGTGCACGGTACATTGTCTCCGGTCAGAAGTCCTTGTTAGGTGCCGTCGCTTCTCCTGCCAATCGAGGGGTCTGATGGCGGCATCCCACAGGACCGGGTCAAATTGGGGGTCAATGACTTTTGTCCTCCCCTGCTATGAGATGACGATGTGGTTAAAGTGCCCAGGCACTTTGAGTCTGCACTTTTCGCAATCGGCTCGGTACCCGATACTGAAGCTCTTTTTCATGCCAGGCTGCCATGTCCAGCTGTCAATGGTGTGCTTGCTTCGCATATGGCCTCTGCGAGCAGGGCTGGGTGAATGGGCGTCACCCTCGCCGTCAGCTCCGTGTAAGTGCGAGCGCGGCGGCGATTCAATGTCCATCATGGCGTTGGGGTGGTCCATCGCGCGCGACGGCGACGGTGGTAGCACCAAGGCAGCATCCATGGTTACGCCCATGCCATCGTCCACCATCATGCTTCCTTCGCCGAATTCTTGGTCCAGAACGTTGTCTTCCACTTCTGAAATCGGCGACGGTAGCCTCCGGTGGTTTTGCGCAGCTTGCCAGTCCTCCAGGCCCGACATGACACGAGGCACAGACTGGTCGTCTGAGAAGCCCGCGGGGTGGTGGCCCATGTTGATAACCCCATTAAGCATTGTCACAACAGGCCCAGGGCCAGCCCACTCGTTCTGCTGGCCGCGCACCTGCGCAGCAAAGCTGGGCTGTATTGGTGTTGGCATCCGGTTAGAGCTCATCATGTCCACCTCGGTGTCGTCGTGAGAGCCGGAGGAGCTTCCCACGGACGAATGCGACCAGCGAGAAAACAGGAGCTGGGCGGCATGGCCATCAGACTCGGCGCCCATGGACGATGCGGACGGCCACTGCTGCGACGACCTTGGCGAGGTTCGAAGAGGAAGGCATTGAAATCGCTTCTACAACACCGGTTAGCATACCCCGCAGACTGCATCACAGCGTAGAGCATCTCTCTGCTTGGACTCACGCTACGGTGCTCCTCCAGACCCATGGACATGCCGTCCACCTCTCCCTCACTATCTCGGCCACGCTTCCGGCCGGACTCAGACATGACGTCCACGTAGCTCTGTGTACCAAACATTGCAGTGGCCCTACGCAATCGCAATGCCGCGTGATCTGGGGTATAATATGCAGAAGAAGAAAGGGATATAGAAGAATGCGTGATGATGGAGTACCTGCACCCAATGACGGAGCTGGGTATCAGGCAGGACAAGATACAGCAGAAGTGACAGGTGGGTGACCGCCGCCTTGGCTACCACAGGACGCCCCTAAGATTCTACGGAGCAGTGGGCTCTCGACAGCCGCACAGTCGCACAAAAGGCAGCAACTGTCGCTTGTGCAATGGCGAATGCCTGATTAATGCAAATTGGAAAACCAAAAGACGGTGGCTTGGGGAGGTGCTTGGGGGGCTGTAGCTGAGGCAAGACAGTCCTTCCACTCTTGGAGCTAGCCCTGCTCGAGATCGGGAGACCTGATGAGGGGAACGAACGCAAGGAGAAAAGCTGCCACCTGCCGCCGAGCTCAACCCTAGACTTCCGGATCGCCAATGATCATCGATAGAGGTCCGGTGGCGGTGGCCTGGAAAAGAGGAGGAAGAAAAGAATCAATACAAAGGGGGGGAGGCGCTGCGGAGGAGAAGAGCAAAGTCCAGGCCCCGGCAGTGCTCCGATACGGTGTAAGGTCTGCTGTTGCTTGTGCTAGCAGTCGGTATTAGCCCGTAGTAGGTATGTGAGACAGGCAAACACCGATGGCTGGGGAGAGAGGCCTGTATCGATGGTGGGCAGGGGGCTGGGAGAAGCAATCGCGGAGGTGCTTTTGCTGCCTTTCTGCAGGAGATTGGAGGTGCCTGCTAAATTATAAATCTCCGATTGGTGCCTCTACGTAGCAGCAAGTCGACGCACAACCGGCCAAGTAAATTACGGGAAAGCAATTGAGTCTTCACGCGGAGAAGAGGTTCTGGTGAAGAAAAGATAAGATAGCAAGTCACCCACTCTCGCCTGCTCGGTACAGCGGCGCTCCAGTATCGGTGCTTGCGCTGCCGAAAGAGGCCCAGCCCTCTGTAAGTGGCCGCCTAACCCCACCATGCACCCCATTCCTATGCGCGCGCAGCCGCCCATCGCTCAGTCAGCAAACCCGTGCGAGTAACCGCAGCTTTCGATTATGAGCTCGAGTAAAGACGCAGCACGGGCTATGGATGGATTCCTACGCCTTTCCTTTTGTTGATTTTCTCTCCTCTCTCACTCTTCTTTTTGTTCTTTTTTCTCTCCTTTTCACTTTGTTCTTTTCGTTCTATTCGTTCTCGTCCGTGGCTGAGCTCCCTTGGTACTTGTTTCACTGTTGCTTCAGGCAAAATGCCGTTCATGGTGCTAGCGGAATCAGCGTGTAACCTGATCTGCACGATCTGCTCTCCAACCTGGGGAAAAAGGGTCCTCTCGGCTTTCATCCCAAGTGGCGTCAGATGCACTCAATGAGAGGCGTGCTCCGTACATTGATACTTCTGTTTAATAGAGGTGCACCGGTGCTCAGTTGACGTAGCAGTACCTTGTGTCTATCTCGCATCATAGAAGCGGTGAAGCAGTTTGGGCTGCAGCGTCTCTACTTTTTTGTTCCGTACAAAGAGACCTACAAAGAGGCAAAAATCTGGATGTGATACTACTAGGTAGTCTAGCTGTTCAACTTCAATTGACCATCTGTGGAAGTTGAGCAAAAGAAGAGAAATGAAAGAGGTTTGAGGTATCAATCAGCAAAAAAAGGCAAGATCAAATCTTATCTCACTCCTCCGGGAAGGCTCGAACTTCCAACCTCCTGATTAACAGTCAGACGCGCTAGCCAATTGCGCCACAGAGGAATTGATGATTCGACGCATTGAAAGAATGCTTATAAGCCTAGGTAGTTTGTCAATGAGATTAAATACGAGTATCCCACATCAGACAAAACCAAGTTGTTCATATGAACATATGCATATGATGCGAATAATATTGCAGGGCATGATGTTTTCGGATTATTTTACCTGTGCACCACAAATCTCCGTTTTTATATCCTATTAGAGAGCATCTAGGGTACGCTATACGCAACCCATTGCTTCTAGACAAAGACGCTATCTATGTATGAATCACAAAGACTCATCGCACCGCCAAGGATGCTGCGACATATGTAATATCGAATGCAAAGGGCAGATCGATTAAGCTAGCTGACCATAAAAGCCTACCATGCTACAGCTTAATGAAATCATTTTTTCTCATCATACAATACTCGTATTAGGTATATTACTTCTACTGCTGCCATGCAACGCGGAGAATTTGCAACTTACATGCATCTTCTAGGGTAAGAAACGTTGTCTGTCCTAAGCTTAGCGGCCAGGCACATCGAAGATGGCTTCCCACAGGTAAGAATCTAATGCACGTAAAGAAACAATACAGGCCTCAAAACGGCAATACTGCCAGTTATCACCACATGCAAAAAAGGGCAGCAGTCAGCATAGAATGCTGACCGTCTTTTGAGATCCCGCAAGCGCCGGATTATAAAACCCGCTGAGCGACATCGACATGGATATACATGTGGTGATCAATTAGCTCCCATGTTCCCGCCTCCCGCCGTGCTGACAGCAGGCCACTCGGAAGCAATCCCACCATCAGAAGCAAAGCAAGTCGCAGCTTACGAGTATTACAGCCTGTAGGAATGCTTACGAGAGGCATTGGGATTAAACTCACACTGCCCAGGCCAGTAATGCCCTGTTGCCTGATCACACCTTTCTACTGTATGCACTGGGTGGTTACGGCCGAAAACACCTCGCCAAAGGCCAGGACCCGTCCATCTAGAGTGGGATGCATCATCGCCGCAAGATCTGGACCGAGAGCGGAAGGTGTGTAGTATTGTAGTAATCCCATGCGGCGTCGTCAGCTTACTGCCCAGCAGTGCTGCTCGAATGTCCAGGCAGGATGCTGGATGCTGGATGCTGGATGCTGGATGCCGGATGCTTGATCAGCATCGATAACCGTGTCAGTAGAATAGACCCATCGTGGAAGCGCCAAGCCCATGAGCCTGAAGAATATGAAAGAAAGACAGAGCCCTAACAGCGGCCAAGGCATTCAAGCCAGAAACAGAAAGAATCAATAAATAACAATAGCACTCAATTTTGCAGCGACACGAAAAAAAGCATGTGTTAGTCTCACGTCAATTTTAGCTAGCCCGTCTCTTTTTTAGGCTCGTGGAGCGGCCATTGCAGAAAAAAAAAAAGTAAAAAAAACTTTGTTGCCAGAGGGCTGAGATAACTCGTCAAACACTGGTCCAATTGCGAGCCATCAATTGACCACTCCCGGAGCTAAACTGACGTACATACATCCATGCTGTGGTGGATGGACCCTCTCTTTTTTCTGTGACGCCGCATCCACCACTCCACTCCTCCGAAGCACGGCCGGTAGCAAGGCAGCATGGCCTCCGAGATGTTGTCCAAGGGTCAATCTGACTCATTGGACACCCGTGCGATGGTATTTATCTTGGACGGGCTGTCTTCTAGAAATACTCTCTGATTTTTATCAATTTTTTTCTTCTCTTCACGTACATCACACTGAAAACTGACCCCATTGCTGCTTAAATCTCTATTATACCCCCTTCAGCAGCTTGTGTAGTGACAATTGCATCTGGCTCAATCCCGACATCGCAAAACACCCCACCCTAAAGGCCAGACCTCTTAATTTTTTTTTCCTTTCGCATCTTACACCACATACAGCAACACTCCCAACGACAAAATGCCTGGCGTTGATGCAATTATCACTACAGATGACACCAGAAGTACGTATTAGCGAGATGCCAGTTATTCCAGTCTGCGAAAGCCTCATCCAGCTGTCCCGGCCGATGCCGTGGTGCTGGAGACTTTGCAATGCGCCTTGGGTTGTTTAGCACATGTTGCGCCGATGCTGTTACCAATCGCTCTTTGCGCCATTGGACAGCTTGGCCGTGATATTCTGCACACAGAGCGATTCGCGCCTCGTAACATGGTATGCTAACAGACGTTTGATAGTTCTGGGTCAGGATCCGTTGATCCCCCCGGCTCTGCTGCTCTCTGAGATCCCTATGACCGCCACTGCCGCCGAGACCATCATCAAGGGCCGAACAGATGCCGCCAACATCGTCATGGGCCAGGACGACAGACTACTGGTCGTCGTCGGTCCCTGCTCCATCCACGACCCCGAAGCTGCCCACGAATACGCTGGCCGTCTCAAGCAGCTCTCCGAGAAGCTCTCCGGCGATCTCTGCATCGTCATGCGCGCCTACCTCGAGAAGCCTCGCACAACTGTCGGCTGGAAAGGCCTGATCAACGACCCTGATATCGACTCTTCGTTCCAGATCAACAAGGGCCTGCGTGTTTCCCGCAAGCTCTTCGTCGACCTGACCTCCAATGGCATGCCCATTGCCACCGAGATGCTCGACACAATCTCCCCCCAGTTCCTTGCCGACTGCATCTCCGTTGGCGCCATCGGTGCCCGAACAACCGAGTCTCAGCTTCACCGTGAGCTTGCCTCCGGTCTGTCTTTCCCCATCGGCTTCAAGAACGGCACCGACGGCAGCCTTGGCGTTGCTATTGACGCCATTGGCGCTGCCGCCGCCAAGCACCACTTCATGGGTGTCACAAAACAGGGTCTCGCCGCCATTACCCGCACCAAGGGCAACGAGCACGGCTTCGTTATCCTGAGAGGTGGAAGCAAGGGCCCCAACTTCGACAAGGACAGTGTTCAGGCAGCCAAGAAGATGCTGCAGGACAAGGGCCAGAAACTGGCCATCATGATTGACTGCTCACACGGTAAGTCTTGCTTTACGTTTCAAGGCATTATATAAGAATAGGTTGACTAACAGGGTCGCAGGCAACTCCCAAAAGGACCACAACAACCAGCCCAAGGTTGCCAAGGTCATTGCCGACCAGGTCCGGGAAGGTGAGCGCGCCATTGTTGGTGTCATGATCGAGTCCAACATTGGAGCGGGCAACCAGAAGGTTCCTGCTGAGGGTCCCGCCAGTCTGAAGCGTGGCGTCAGTATCACCGATGCTTGCATCGACTGGGAGCACACCGTCACTGTTCTAGAAGACCTTGCTTCTTCTGTCCGCGCCAGAAGAAAGGTCAACTCAGGCGTGCCCAGTGAGGCCGCCAAGGTCAGCACTTTGGAGGAGGATTAAATGGAGTGGTGTCGCATGGAATAGTTCAAATTGAAAATCGGGAGGGAAAAAAAAAAGAAAAAAAAAAGAACAGGGGTTGGTTTGTTGATATTGAGTCACAACCCCCGAAGCGTATGCGGGCTGCGGCTGGCTTTACCCTTGGCCAAATAAGGTCTGAAGGAGTGCGTTCAAACGGAAGAAACAAAATGGCGCATTGAAGGAACCATTAAAAGTATATTTCATCTTCAGCCATAGCTGCAATGGCATACAAAAGCCTTTTTAGAATATTAGCATTGATTTACAAGCAACATTTCCCGTCGGGAGCCTGAATGCGTCCAAGTTTGTTGCTCATGATGAATAACCAAAGATGTTCATGACCCTTTTGCATTGTAAATCGTCGCATTGAACATATATACTATCGAGTATTACTGCCCACGGCTGCATAACTGGCGCCTGGCCGTCCTATTGATCGAGCCTCCCTCCATTCCAGCACCCTCTTGAACGCAGCCCAGCCTAGCAGTCCCAGCGTCCCAAAGATGAATCCCCACACAATGATCTTGTCCTTGTTGCTGTCGCGCTGGAAGCACATGGTCACAACGTCGTCTTCCTCCGCGTCCTTGCAGAAGGCTATCCCTTGACTCAGGCAAAACGCCTTGGTGCACTCGGAGCATGACGACGTCGCCGATCGGGGGACATGGTCTTGGGGCGAGAATGATGCGTCGTGGAGGATGGACCGGCTGTCGGACTGGTGCTGCGGACCGAGTGGAATGATGGTGCTGTTCTTGAAGCATGTGCACTTGCAGAATCTCTGCGCGGCTGATGGCACAAAAGAGTCAGAACGCATCGGCAGAACTGCGCGCGCGGCAAAGCTGTTCACTTACAGGAGGCCGAGGCCAGAGCTATGAATGCGGCGAGGAGCAGCACGAGGAGATGGATTCGCGCCATGGCGACTCTGGGCGCATTTGCGGACCGGTGCACCTTGATAGAGCGGCTGTCGCGATGAATTGGAGGAAGCTGACACTCTTCCAAGTAGAAGGCCGTGTAGCTCTACTAAATGGCGGCTGCGAGGCTGGTCGCAAATGTGGGACTGTCTTTAACGTTGCTGCGCTTTGGTTGGTCCGTAACCGCCACACTGCGGCCCCACGTTTGACAAGGAAAAGTTGCAGCCCATTCTCCAAAACCGCTTATATCGCAAAAATCTACAGACGACGCTTTGGGGGAAACCATTTACAGGCTTTCCCGGCACATACAATTGCCAATGGCACGAATAACGAGGATGCGGAGACTCCAGTCTCTGCAATTGTCGCTGCCGTCACAATGCGCCGCAGGCAGACCTTCTTTCGCCGCTGCCCGCGCCATCTCGACGACCAGCCCCTCGCAGGGCAAAAACACCGAATGGATCCGAGGAAAGCTCTGGAAGGGCGAGGCGCCCGGCCCAGCTGACCCCTACACGCAGCGCCTGGAGCCCGAGACGACTTCGAACCTGCCAGAGGAGGCGCTCGAGAGCCGGCCCCGACAGGACAAGACGCCCGCAGCCGTGCGAGACACCCGGCTGGCTCTGCCGTACAGGCGGAGCGAGGCCCCTACCGAGAAGGAACTGCAGGCATCTGACCCTACGTATGTGCCTGCTACGGAGGCGGAGGGCCTGGAGGAGATTGGGCCGCTGAGCACGTGGTGGGAGCAGCCTGGGCACTGGGGAGAAGAGAGTGCTTTCAAGGGGTTTGGCAGCTCAGACAAGGTCGTGGAGAGGGAAGTCTTGGAGGTCTATCTGCGACGAGCCGTTGTCGAAGCACTGGCACTACAACAGACGGGAGTCTTTTCAGAATGGGCCACGAAGAAGTGGTCGGAGACGGGGTCTAGGAACGAGCTGGAGCAGGCACTGGCCCTGCAGATCGAGGTGCAGGACGGCAAGGCTACTCTGAAGGGAGATGCCTCATCGGTTGTGAAGACTTTGACGAGTGAGTTGTCAGAGGCTGAGTCTGCAGAGAAAATCTCTGTTGAAGAGGCAAAAGAAATGATCAAGTCGTGGGACCCCTCATGGAAGAATATTGCGCTGGACAACTCATTACGCTTTGCGGTACGTCCATTCTCACGGGGAAGAAGACTCTACGGAAATGCATTCTGTGCACCCGGAGGCGATGACAATGTTTGACGAACCGTGACTAACTTTATGTCTTTACGTCTAGCTCCGCAAGCGTCTCTACCAGCTCACCGGAACCCTCCTCCCAGACGCCAAACTCGCCGCTGCCAGCACCACAAAGCACATCCTCACCCTCGCATCCCGGGACCCCAAGCCACTGAAACTAGCCCAAATGCTGGAGAAGCGCAATGCCTTCAACGAGCTGACCAACGTCACCGTGCACGACCGAAGGATTGGCGCCATTGACAAGGAGGTCTCCGTGGGACGCTGGAAGGTGATTGAGGAGGAGCTGAAGAAGCGCGATCTGCCAGTGACGGGCTATGGAAACGCGGGTAGGAACAAGGAGAGAGATTGGCTGACGGGAAAGATATAAGGCTCATGATTTTTTTTTAACGCAATTTGAATGAGAGAAGTGACAGCGGCGGAGAGAGAAAAAAAAAGAAGACAAAAAGTGTACGAATGTACACTATGTACAACAGTAAATATTGGAAAAAAGGAAATTTACATATACAGGAGGCTCTTTTCACAACTTGAACGTTATGGGATCAGTACAATTGCAAACTGATTGAAAGGTAGATTATAAACGGGCCTTACAATGGACGTTTGATAGTTGTGTCCTCTCTTTTTCTTTACTTATTAATTTTACTCAAAGATATCAAGAAGAGTGATATTGAGGAAAAAATAAAGGCATCTACAACTAGATAATATGCGCATAAGAGCAGTGCTTCAAATCCGCTTTGGAGTGCACCTCATATTTTCTCCTCAGACTTTTTTCATCGTATAAATCTATACACGCATTCATTTTGTTGTCTCAAACTACTTTCTTGATACCCGCTTACTGTATTACTCAACAACTCAACGTTTTACTTTGACCCGGTCCAAGCAGCAGCGGCATAAATGTAACGCTGGCGTTTTTTCAACTCATCCAGTGTCCATCTTATTGGCTATCAAGGTCTCTTACTCGGAGAGGGCAGTAGTGCTAATTGTTTGACATGGTGACATCGAGCATGACATTTGAGGTGGGAACTTGCGACAATCTCAAAGCTACGCGAAAGCATCGAGATACTGCTACTACCGCCTACATAAGATATGTAGCACTCACTATTCGGTCCCGGAGAACTTTCCCGGGCGTCGCAGTGCCCGAGAAACACGGCTTTTAGGCTTTTAAGAAATGATCATGGGCCGCTCGTCCCGGGTTGATGGCTGTTCGTGTCTCACTTGCACTCGTACGCATTTCGCTGCTCGGGTCTCGCTGCTCGGGTCTCGCTGCTCGGTCCTCGACATGTATACGCAAGCCGCCAGAAAGGGGAAAAGAGAAAAGAAGAGAAGAATTCCCTAGGTTTTAAGACACAGGGTTGATTCGCTTTATTTATCTGCGGTATTAGCCAACTTCCAAAACAAGGCGGCCGGAGAATTACTCATGACAAATCTACATGGTAATAAATACGCAATATCGGGCATTGAGCAGCGAAAAGGCAGCACTAGCTGAAAGCGTAGCGACGACAACTTTATGGAGGTCTTTTCGCCTCTTTTCGGGGAACCTGGCGGACTCGTACGGGTAAGGCCTGGCGCCGGCGGGATCTTGCATTTGGACCATGGCTGTTTATTGGAGGATGTACAAGTCTCGCGACATCTTCTTCTCATAATGCTGATGCTGCTGGCAGTACTGCGCCGTCCTCGTATGCACAAGGTTCTTGGTGTAGGTAGCATTGTAGCTCCGCATGAGGGAGAGGGTGCAGGGGCACCGAATCGAGTGAATGTTGCGCCTGGTCCTACCTTATCGCTGGGCTGTCCTAGTCGCGTAATCCCTGTTCATGGAAGGATCCACGAAGGTTTTTGACATTTTGACATACAATACGCATCGAGATGTCATCCAAGAAGCTAGACTCGGCGGCAGAGCATTTACAGTATTCCATGCCTACCTGTGTTTGCATGAGCAAGCAGTAATAGGTAAATGCTGCTAGTAGTTGTTGTGGACTGAACTAAGAGAATGGATGTGACGGCACTCACGTCGCAGCGCATATGAAGCCCCGTGACTCGGTGTATATACTTGTACAAAGCCGTGGTGTGAACGGAGAATGACTACTGATATCAGTAAGTACGAGTAGTTTGTAGAACAGGAAATGCCACACGAACTCGTCCGCAAGAGGCTCGGCAATTTACGGCCACGTGGGAAGAGTTGCGCCATCGGCGGACCACAGATTTGGCAGTGGGCATTGGTATTGGCGACGAAGATTTGTCGATTCCATCTTGCACTTGTAAGCAGATGTAGGTATTTTCCTCTGTCAAGAGGCAGCGAGAGTACCTCCTTGTCTGATCTTGACAGGGTCAGCAGACTGCCGAGGTGTAAGACGCGGGTAGGGCCGTCTTCAGCGCTCCCTGCATCGTAGCATGGATGGATGTGCAATCCGTGCAAGAAGGAGTACAGAGCGGTGGTAGTATTCCGTAAAGACACTGCCGGCGCTGCCCGTAGGAAGGAGTACTGTACTTGGAACGTGGCCATATTGTAGCCTTGAGTGCCTGCGCTGCATGTTGGCACATGCAGAGCGCTCTTCACATGGCCGACGGTGATGCACACCCATTCGCGCAAACTATCAGGGCGAGTCCGGAGTAGTCTGGGTAGTAGCACTACTGTCCATTCAAATATTCCGTAGGGCCAACAACGCTTGCGTAATTCTCTCCAATGAAAAGTGCTCCATCGAGGCCAAGACGTTCCATTGCGGGCAGACGTCCACAATTTGGTCGTCGGTGATAACGGTAAGGCTAAGCCGCGGCGATCAGGGCATGGGCATTGGCTGGATTAAAGCTGCTGGGCTCGAAGGTTTGGGTAAAGAGTGAGTTAGCGGGTTGAATGCATCGGCGTGTACACCGCTCTCTGGCTGTGTATCTGGCCTATCAAGAAGCCGGAGACAGGCAAAGTGCTACCAAACGAGGCGGAGAAGCCGTCTGAGAACTCAAGTCCGACCCGCTGTAAATTCGGCGTTGTTGGTCGAGTTCCTCTTCAGCCAAGGAAGCACGGAACGAGGCTCTAATGAGGAAAAGGACTACCTCTAGAAGGTTGGGCGCTTGGAGAAGCTCGTGGTCATGGACGACGATCTGCTACTTGTCAGTTCTGCATTACCGAGCAGTAGTAATCCCGCGAATACCCCGTACATGGAACGGCATCAATGGCATAGCTTTTGATGACTTACAGGCAGTAATACTACCTGTACAGGGACAAGCTCTGGGGTCCAGGATATGTGCTTGTAGGCTTTGCACCGGTTGCTTCCCAGGCTGCTGAAGAGTGATAACCGGTGTCGAGACGCATGTGTTTGATGTCTGTGCCAAGTCTGAGCAGCATTGAAGCTGGTGGTGGTCAAAGCTGGCCGGTGCTTCTTCGCGGGACCTAAAATTGTCCGTAGAGGCGCTACGTACAGGGCACTTTAGCACCTGAAAGCCCCACAGAGCGCTAGGCGTTTAGCCTCCGGGGCGGGGGCGGCAGAGCGCTATAATGGGCTGGAAGGCCTGGATGCCCGCGTGCTGCAGCGCTCAGTTGGCTGCTTCTTCGTGCCGCTGCCGTTTTACCCAGCCAGTCACGGCAGCAGCTGAGATTCTAGCCCGTCGCGCTGCTAGCCCTACCGTAGGAGAGCGATGCAGCTCTGTGGCTGACCTGTGAGTAGCAGTAGTAGGTACATGTACTTGATACAAGGTACTAGTAGTAGTACAGGCACGGGTGCTTGTGTAAGAGAGAAGAGTTGAAGCGCAATGGCTTACAAGCAAAGGCACTGATACTGTATACAGATATAATTTGATGGCATTATATCAGACGGGAGCTATCTTAGCATCAGTCCCAGCCGGTACTTGCTACAGGCATATGCAGCTTGTACTTGTACTTGTCCATCCCATAGTCGCCTGGGAACCGCTGTAGGTACCAGGAACCCGCTGAGGAGGTTCCGATTCCGAGGCAAGGTGGTACTCGGCACTTCACACTTAATGGCTCACTCGCCATCTTGCGAGTGCTGCCTGGAACGAGTTAGCATGCGAAACGGCGCATTGTTAGCTGCGTCAAACATCGACAGCCGGCCGAAGCCTGGACCACCTTAATCTTGAAGCTGTCAAGGCCAGGCCTCTCCTTTCATGGAGCCCCCCCAGAGTGGCTGTTTATCCTGGACATGGTGGCCATCGTATCTGCTGTGCGGAGGTGGATTCCATTGTCTTCCAACTCGCAGCTGCGGACGCATTACTGGAACAAGCACTCGTATGCGACCTCGGCAGCGGGACCCAGCAGCTCACGATGCAGCAACGTCGAGGAAACGGCGCAGCTGCGGCGAGTACGAGGCCGGGTAGAAGACACGTACAGGTACAAGAATAGAACCTGCAGATGCAGGCTTGGGCTGACGCATTTGCTGAGTGCGTGGTTCTCGCTAGGTGTGCGTAGTCAGACTGATCGAGGCAAGACCGACGACGGCGATGCCACCTCCATCCATCCATGTTCCATGTACGGAGAGCTCGCAGGCCGTCTGATGAATCAAGCAGTTCTTGCAGGGCATTGCCTGTGTGCTGAGCTTGAGGCTGATGTGTGCCCAACATCTGCCTCCTGCTGTACTCGATTCGTACCTGAGCCCGTATCTTGGGCATCGCGACATCTCCCCTCCACTCCGGGCCGTTTCCGAGTTGTTGGTTCTTCTGCCAGCCCTCTCCCCTCCTCGCCTCTTCCTTCTTCTCGGTCCCTCCTCTCTTGTACTGTATCGTGCTGTACTGTAGCTGGCTGATTCTGCTTTCTCTCCTGGGCGCAAAAAGCGGCTAATAGCTCACGCCTGACTCGGCCGTCCAGCAATCCGCCACGACCGCTTCGGGAACCCTAGACGAAGTGGACACGACTAGGGTGATAATCTTCGGCGAGAAGAGGATCTCACTGTCTTTTCATCCCCTCTAGCCATTGCCCCCAGTCGACGGCTTCTCTCGCCTGGCACGGAGCACAGTACCTGTATTCTGTACTGCATAGCGTGCCCCCAGCCAGCTCAGCCAGCGCTGTCCCCGGCCGCGCTCTTTCGTGTGCTCGCATGTGCTCCTGTCAACTGAATTGTGAGAGAGGAGAGAGGCTGGGCGGCGAGTCCGGTCCGCTCTGTTTCAGGGTGCCAGCTTTTGAACCTTTTTCTTCCTCGGGGCAGATCGACTAGCGTTTTCTGTTCTCTCTCTCTAGCCGGTTGAGACTGACGTCTGGCTGGCCAAAACCTTATGCTCGGAAACACAACGGACCGTCGCCTCTCCCACTGCAGCTCCCACGAATTGTCGACGAGGATTAAAGAAAATTAAAAACCAAACTAAGGGACGCCACACTCTCTGTCGACTCGCAAGGGCTGCTGCATCTAGGTCTGGATGCTCCTTGCTCTGGCAAGTGTCGCTTCCCCCCTCCACAACTCAGCTTGATACTACAACAGTGCTCTGCAACCCGCCATCGGGTCTCCCATACGACTTGTCAACTTCCGCCAAAACACAACTCTGGCTGACGACAGCACGACGAGCCTGGAGCTTCCATCACAGGGGACAAGCGACAGGAGACGAGCGCCCTCACTGTGCACAGCTCAGGGCGAAGCCTCTCATTCCAGTTACTGAGCCCGAGAGCCAGTTTGCCAGAGGGCTGCCTCTTGGCTTTGCGTAGCATGGACGATAGACGGCCTTCATTAGCTGTAATGACAGAGCCGTCCGGAATGATCCCCCCTGATGAGGTGTGTACGACAAGACTGGGTCGGCCGTTTGCTGCCATGCCACCTGTAGACGATACGCTGTTCAACTCAACTGCTAACACGATGCGCTCGACACAGTCTGCGGTGTCACCACCGGATGACTTCGACGAAGTGAGTGGCTTATCAAATGCGCCTTCATGGGCTTAGTCTGTTGATGTCGGGACTGCTTCTAACTTGACTAGGGCAACGACATTGGAAGCTTCCAGTCTTCGCTGACCTCTGTTACCTCGTCCATCCTTCATGGTGTTGTGGGAGAAGGTCAGCGTGTGTACGCAGCCTATGGCAAAGAAGGTATGTAGAGTTCCGTGCTAATTTCAACCCGCATGTTTGTTGCTTGCTGCTCGCCAGCACCAGAGCTTGTGCTAACACCGCTCCCCTCCTTTCAGAGTATGGACTTCCCATGGATGACCAGGAGTTGGATCGCATGGATTTGTGCCACACAAAATATTACGCCCTCTTGAAGCAGCGACGCTTTCTATCACCGATTGGCGAAAACCCCCAGAGGATCCTGGATCTAGGATGCGGCACAGGTAATTCACAACGGAACTATGAATGCCATCTCGTCACTTGCTGATGTTGATTCAATCAGGTATATGGTGTGTTGAGGTCGCCGACGACTACCCCGGAGCACAAGTAAGACTCTCAATTAAAATAAAATTGATACGGATCTTGATATTAATATGGACTTGCCTAGGTTGTTGGCGTTGATATAGCCCCTACTCAACCACAATGGTACGTATGAGACTGAAGCTGCAAAGAGTATCAAAATGCTGACGAGTCTGTCAAGGGTACCGCCAAACTGCCAGTTCGAGCTCGACGACATTGAACAAAATTGGACGTGGAAATCAGACAGCGCCGACTTCATATTCTCTCGTGATTTGATCTTATCAATACGAAACTTTCCCAGATTAATCGACCAAGCATATAGGTACATCTTGCTCTCCTCAAACTAGGCACTACCCGAGCATTCTCATTTTCCTCTCCGAAAACTGACAATCTAACCAAATGTTTAATAGGCATCTAAAACCCGGTGGATGGGTTGAATTTCAATGCTATACCGGATTACTACATTGCGATGACGGCACGTTATCTGAAGAGAGCACGTTTCGGAATTGGGCGAACCTCACGAAGACGGCATGCGAAAGATTCGGCACTCCAGTGGATGATCCGACCCGATTCAAACAGTGGTTTGAAGAACGCGGATTCGAATGCGTAACGGAAGAGGTGTACAAGATGCCCTGTACGCCCTGGGCCAAGGACCAGCGCCTGAAGCTTATTGGAGCCTGGGAACAACACAACTTGATGAATCATCTAGAGGGTATGACCATGCGACTATTCCAAAAGAGTCTGGGTTGGACGGAAGAGGAGATTTTGGTGATTTCTGCTATGCTACGAAAGGAACTGCGAGATCTGGGCGTTCATGCCTACTGGCCTTAGTAAGTACACTTGTTGGCAAAATCGTCTAATGCATGCATGGCCTTAGGCTCGAGGAGAAGCTTACTAACGGCCAATAGCTACGTGGTGTACGCTCGTAAGCCCATGAGGCCAACGGGCCAATAGTGATTGAGGCCTTTACCACTTGCCCTTTTAGCGATTCCCGTTGACGTTGGCTCGATGCGTATGGCGACAGGGGTGCATACGTCAACTTGTCTCTGGAAATGCGGTATTGATATTTGGATAGCAGCAAAGACCGCTCGAGGGTGTCGCCGTCAAGGAAGATGCAGTTATACATACACTAATACCCCGATATTACGCTTGAACGACCTCGACATGTCGAATTAGAAGTCTTTACTGGCGGCAAGGTCATCGCCAGTTGCCTTCACCGCTCCACCGCTACTCCAGTTGCCCCATAAATACCGCCGAGGGCTCAGGGCACCAAGCATCAGGACACTTCCGGATGAAAACGGATGAGCAAAGGCCGAGGCTTTGCATGGGGCCCCATTGGCACCCCATTTGGCAATAGGACTCGCAGGACCTGAAATGACATGCTGCTTGTTTTATTAGCCTTTTCTTCTTCAGCTCTTCTTTCCTTGCAATTGTATGGTTTAGGCGTCTGCAATGTGGCGAGGGCACTTGTTTTAATGGAATAACATGACGGTGTATAAGTTATGGAGTATACGATGGAAAGGATTTTCTTGGCGTTCTTGCTCTTTATGCCTTTTGAGCGTGTTGCATTGGCATGGCTGGCTGCAGAATCAGCAGGGGGCACCGGGATCAGGAAGCATTCTTACAACTCGGTTGATCGCACAGCCACTTTCAATTTTTGTTTCTCGTTTCTTTTTTTTTTTTTTTTTTTTGGCCAAGATATAATGGGCCATTTCTGGACATTAAATGGGAGTATCTATATTCTCCAGATAAACGAATCACGCATCAATAGCGAAATATCACATACCCTGTGCTGTACTCTGTACATGCATACTCCTGCACTAATAATTTTTTTCCCGTCTTAGTTTTTGTATCCATAACCTGATATATCTCTGACGAAGCCCGTGTGACCCAACTTCTTGCATTAGTTCTTAACACTGGTGAGGAGAGTCTTCAGATACGGTACTTTGTGGGGATGATCAATTATATTACGTGACTATAAATGCATGTGCTCATGTCTTCCTGGAGCATCTCTTTCAAGTGTACACATTCGATGGCTGGCCCATGCGGCTCTATGCTCTGGTGTTGCCTAATATGCGCATATGCTCTTGTCTCACCATTGAACTTCCAATCATAGTATATTCGGTGTCGAATCCGAGTTATGGTGTCTTTTATTCAAGTCTCTTTAGAGAACCTCAATATCGCTATTCATGTTTAAGTATGTTGGTTCTTGATGCAAGGCGAATGGCGTGAAAGACATCGGATACTGTGGACCAATATCTCAACTGAGGCAGAACAAGGTGACGCGAGATAATCTTGGGAGAGTGTGTTTTATTTTCTGGATCTTGAAGAGTATTAATAAGAAGACGGTACTCCAACATTTATATCATGCCTTGAAGTGCAAATGCATAGATGTATGTCAGTGTTAAGATAGTGCCATGGCGTATATTGGTAAGTAATACTACTAGTAAATCTGCGACAGCGAAGATACTGTAGTCTCCAGACAAGCGAGAGCTATCTCATGTTGAATAAACCCTGGTGGAAAGCTACAAGTGTATATGAGACTGAAGTGAATTTAAAAGTAAGGCTGTGCAGCTATGCGCACAACGCCTCATAAATGACAAGTCGACTCGCTTAATATCTTCCCTCTGTACAATTATTTACATGTATCTAGGTACTTCTGTACAATTAAATGCGCCATTAAGTCTCAACAGCCATTCCTTTCTCTTATTTGTAGACTAGATAGATTCTAGCCATATCTTTAGATCCGCCAACTATAGGACTGCTTCCTCAATGCATCAATATCTTGGCATAATCCTATGTCTCTAGGTGAGAGAAAGTTACGGCCGCAGCCTCGCTAATATTATCTGTAGCAAATAGCTGAAGTTGTCTCTAAGACTGACCTATCCTTGTCCTCATTTGCTGTAGCAAACAGCTCGCCCAAACCTATCCCGTAGAGATTCTCCATGATAGCAAAAGGTCCCAGAATCATACAGGCCATTGTATCGTTTGACTTTGTGTAATTAATGAGATGATGTTCCATATTATGCTTGCTGAGATGTTTGTTGATAGAGCGTCTCTATGGCAATCGACGGATGTGTATATAAACATAAGTGTTTTACACTGGCTCTGGAGCTGAGTCGACAAGAGATATGCCATAGACTTGTTCGCTGACTGTACCATTTCTGTCGCTGAGTTCCGGGGATTAAATGAGTGTAGGTGCTTCTGTTTGTGCCATCTCACAGCTCTTTTTGCTCGTAACCTGGACGCTGAACACTTCCCAACATTGAAGGTGACATAGAGCCCTCATCACTTGCTCGTTCAAAAATTGCTGCGGTATCATGAAGGTTGCACTTCTGAAGCGTTATTTTTGCTGATAGATTCATGAGCTTCTGAAATGAGAGAAAATTGTATCACAAGATACATTAATAATGTTGAAATCTGTATTATTGGGTAAACGAGCACTGATGATGACATCCTTTTGTTTGCCTGTGACCTCTATGAGATGTCAATTCTGGCTCCATTCTTGGACATTCACCCATCGCTTCCGAGTAGTCCCAGTTTAGCCTGTCACTATCTCAAAATTCAAGATTTTTTGTAATATTTCTGGTCTGTGATCCTATAGATGCGGAATTGAATCTATATGTAGCTTCCTCATCCGTGAGAAGCTTCGAGACCGACTGCGTATCCAGGCAAAGAGATTTACGGGTAGAAATTTTTAAATCCAGGCAAATCCAGGCAACGACGTATCCAGGCAACGACGTATCCAGGCATATCCAGGCAAAGAAATTTACGAGTAGAAAATTTTAATCTGTCTACATGTAGTTAATGTGCGCTCATCCACCTACCTACGCATATACTGCTTGCTTCTCATCGTGTTCCCAAATATTAGTGCTTCCTTTAAGTGGCATGATCGGCAAAAGACAGAACAGTTAGTTATCGAAGGCAAGACTACCTGTTCGTATTAACGAGTTTCATATTACGTGTTATTTCTTTCGACAGTTATCAAATTCTGGTTACAGAGAGACTAATTCTATTTATAAGCCTGCATGCCGTTTCATATTAACCCTGAGCTGCCGAGTCTCGACCAGTCGCGATACGGTGTTTGATGTATACTCCCAGTAGGTTATCGGCTGTTGAGAGTAGGTTGGTAAGATGGTGGATCAGTAGATACTTGTAGCCGTATTTTCTCGGGCCGCGTGAGAAGCCCGTTGGCGTCTACACTTCTCCTGAATATTATTTTTGATACATATATACACCAGTAGAATGATCCCTTGTTTTCAGCCTGAGCTCACAAGTCGAGCAATAATTCCTGGATTCATTTGCTTAGGTTGATAGAATTCAACGGCTAGTCTTACGTAGCCCCTTTCAGAGATACCACCACATCCGGCAAATACGTCTCAAGCTGGCAATCTTTATACCAATCTTTATACGAGAAAGTAAAACGGTACATGTATAACACGAATACGCCTAATACGCCCCCTAGCATACATAGATAGCTCGTTGGCTACCTCTTTTTTTTCTGAGATCAAGGCGGATGCCATTATTTGCTATATGATACGCACTCTCTATTTAGTTAGCAATCAAAAAGTCTTGTTATACCCAATACCGGTTAGGATATGCGCAACACCAAAAGGTCAAAGCCACAGGATGGGGATAGTGAGCCTGTGGAGAAGCACGCATGCTTTGACTCGTGTCATCCAGGCCTATCAGTCAGATGGAAAGATGGAATCAGATGACATTTAAAGATTGCCGCTAGTGGGCATAGCTTTTATCGGAGCCGAGAAGTAGTGCTGATGTTGGACGGAATCGTCGTCGGCACGAAAAAATCCCTGCTCGCTGCTCTGGATATATATTTAGCTGTCTAAATCAAGAATAAAACAGAGCGAAAGTGACATCATTCAATAATTAAGAATTTTTGACTCAACTTCCTCTTAGCTCCCAAGATGATGGTCTGCAAACGATGAAGGTAGAAAAGATGCTGGCATAATACAATGGAGATTTATTGTCGCATTTTTCGTTCTCGGAGAGACCGTCTGGGCATATTACTAGTCAATGGAGATACGAGACTTCATGTTGGGCTCGGCACATGTGAAGCCGCGCTGCCTCGTAACCCGCGGTCCTTACAATATAGATAATTTGTTTGCATTTGGTATCGGCAGATTAGACGGCTGCCTCTGCTCGAGTTGGCTCCGTGATCGTCGAAATGGCCAGTGGAGATGACAATAAAACAGACACGAACAGCCGTTTTCGCAACTCCATAGGTATGGGGCCGCTGGCCTTTGTTCAAAGTCAATTGCTAATGTGGCGGCCCATCACTTTGCCAACATGGCGCAAACCGGTTTCATTGTTGTCGTTTGCAGAGTCCAACGGGCACCGCTGGCTCGGCACTCACGCAGCGGCCGCATGTGCGGTGATCGATTACGATGGATCACGGCTTCTGTCCGCAGATGAAATGATTCTCATCAAGATGCTTCGCGCCGGCGCCTCTCATTGGCCTGGGCGGGCAGCATTTACAGGGGCTGCAGGGGCTGCAGGAGCTAAGGAGGGGCCCCTGCGCTACGAGTTTGTGCTAGCGGCGCACCCGCTGAAAGAAGGCTCTAAAACAGGTACTAGCCCGCTATCGATATCTGCGAGGCTCTGGCAGCAGCACTTTGCGAGCAGCTTTAGTGGGCTGCGGCGCACTCTCGAGCAGCAAAACGGCGACCTGCAGGCTGCTAGAACTGAAGCCCGACCCGCCAAGCCCCAGGCGCTAAGCCCAGAGCCGTTGAATCGCAGGCCAGCCCCCATGCGCTGGCTGTGCTGGCCCACCGGCCATCTTTTTGGAGCTTCTAGGCGGACCTCCATTCATGTTCCATCATCGGCTCATCTCCCGCCAAAACCTTTCCGACGACGTATCGCGCTCGATTTCTGGAGCGACTGCCAGCGCCAGTCGTCGGCCTGTAGGCGCTCGAATCGAATCACTTGCCGGATGCAGACGCAGAGATAGGGAGACACCATCGAGCGTGCGGACAAGCGAGAGCCATATCCACGAGCAATAGCTGCCCCGGCGTAGCGCCACAGTCTGTCAGGTCTGATAAGAACCAACAACATCGGCTTCAGCCTGAGATAAGTTTTCCTTCACAGCGACGGTTGTCCTCGAGATCCAGCGACATACAAACGTCCTCTGGCCAGCGTCGACCGCTGATTATCGACCGCGGCCCGCGACGGCCGCGATCGTCCCCCTCGAACCACCCATCTCTTCGAAGCGGGCATCCCTCCCGCACTCCTGCTGTTGACCATGTATCAGGGCGGCCAGAGGCATGTCTCGGGCAACGATCCCACGAGGCCTTTCCAGCTGCCTCCCCCTCCTCCTCCCCCGACCATATCGCCTCCCATGGTCGGGCCTCAGATGAATATGACGAGTCTGCCGCCTCCCCCGCCGATGAGATACCCTGCTGTGCCTCCGGGCCAAGGCGTCATGATCCCACCACCGCCTGGCCCCCCTCCTGGAGGCGGCATGATGCAAACCCCAAACTGGCATGGAAACTTTGGCCGCCTGTACGATGGACGCCCTGGGTATAGCATTCCTCCGCCGCCGCCAGCCACCAGCCAGCACCAGCCGTATAATCCCACCAAGTTTTACAACGCGATGCAAGCTGGACACGCAATGGCAATACCTCCTCCTCCACGCCCAAACGATGGGATGGGAGCAACGTATATACCGACGGGGGAGACGTACGGAGAGGGCGTGGGCATACCGGGATTTGGTCGGGAGGAAACGCAAAATACGTGGCAGTACGGGGGAACACCGCAAAGCGGGACGGAGACTACCACAACCCCGATGGACGAAAGGCAGCAACAATTGTATACGGGAGCAGCTCATGCGAAGACGCTTTCAAACGCACCGAATGCGCCTACCACCGCCACAGCGCCAAGCACGATTCCCCCAGAGATAGCAGCGCAGTGGCCACTGGACAGGGTCTTGCAGTGGCTGGCACAGAACCAGTTTTCCAAGGACTGGCAGGAGACTTTCAGGTCTTTAAGCCTGTACGGCGCACAGTTCCTAGAGCTGGGTAGTGCCCATGGCGGCCGTGGTAACTTTGGTATGATGCACCAGCAGGTGTATCCTCGACTGGCGCAAGAGTGTACGAACAGCGGGACGGGATGGGATCAGCCGAAGGAGAGAGAGGAGGGTAAACGTATGCGGAGGTTAATCAGGAGTATCGTTACCGGACGACCAGTTGAGGCTTCGAAAGCAGTTCCCGCGCACAGCCGAAAGGAGTCTGTTTCTACCAATCATTCCGGATCTGGCCATCCTACTGCGAGCTCGGATACTACAGACTTTGCCGAGTCCCCCATCGTGCCACTCAGTTCCACGTTGGCAGCTAGAAGATTTTCGCAAACTAGGCCACCAGCCATACAGACTACCAATGGAGCCGACGCGAATCACAGAGGAATGTTAAGGAACCTCGATGTCGGACGCCAGAGCCCTACTGGCGAGCAGGGAACTTTTTGCTCGACTCCAGGTGGCAGTCCGGCTCCTCCACCTACCCTTTCTCACTCAGTCACCACTCCGATTCTTTCTTCTTCGCCAAGTTCAACCAAATTTACGCATCGCCCTAGGAACAGCACCGACTCAGCTGCATCCAATGCCGCGATATATGGGTCTGGACTTCCACCTGAGGCAGCCGGACTGCTGACCCGAGGCATGAGCTTGGCAGAACTGATGTCTGTATCAAGAAATCAAGAAGCCCACTCCAAGCCAGCCGAATCCCCATCGTCTGCCAAGGACTCGAAGCCCTTTCTCAGTTTCCTATCCAGGAAGAAGCGCCAGCAAGTAGACGGCGCTTTCCCCTCGCCAGATGATCTCGATTCTCCCACGTCGCCAGCGCTTCATAAGCCTCTGCCACTGGGGACGCACGGCTCTGATGTTAGCAGCGACACTCACCTAGATACGTCTAGCATCACCTCGCAATATAGGCCAAAACATAGTGGCACTACCCAAGGCAGAATCTATGTTTTGGCCACAATGGACCTGTGGAACTACCGAATGTGCGACATCACCGATGCAGAGACGGCTGCGGACATTCGCCGGGCAATCTGTCTCAGTCTTGGCCTGCCCGACACTGAGAATGCTTCCATATTCACGACTCAACTGGGCCAATTTGAACACACGGAGCCTCTAGATGACCAAAAGCTCCTATCGAACAAGCGTGTGAAAGCCGACTCTACAGGGACATTGAAATTCTTTGTCTCTTCACATAGCGCGCTAACCCCTGGCTTGAGCAGCGAAATGCCATCCCTGTTGTCGCCGTATGGCAACCCCGCGGGAATAGATGAAGAGGCGTATGCGCGTCTCAGTGGGCGCCAGAGATCCAGCTCGTCTCCGCCCACGTCCCGATCTAATACGTTAATTGGGGAGAAGTCGGATGAGAAGGGTTCGGCCGAGCAGACCCTGGCTCAGGAGGCGAGCGAGTATAGAGCCGAGTTAGAACGAAAGCAACGTGAATACCTTGCAAAGAAGAAGCAGGCTAACAAGAAAGAGAGCCCAACTATGCCACCAGAATCAATTGTAGGTTTTGGCATTGTGGGAAGGAATGTTGATTTTGACCAGCCTCGAAACTCGCCGTACGAAGACAGAAAACCTGATCAGCTCTTCCCTCAGCGACGGCCACCGGCACCACCAAGCGATCCTTCTGCCACACTGATCAAAGCCAATTCACTTAGCAAGAAAACGGGGCGGAATATGACCGGCATTGCTGAAGGACAGACGGCGTCACGACCGCCGCTGCCTTCCACTGCCCCTGAGCCTGAGGTATCGGAAAATAGCAAAAAGAGCATGTTTAGCGCGAGCAAAGGCGGGTTTATTGGCGCAGCACTCGTTGGCATGGGAAGAAACCTGGGAGCCATCGGACAGTCGACGGCCAACGGGCCCCGAGGTATATCTCCAAACAGAACTGCGTCACAGCCAGTCGTAGCTGGCAACAGCCCACAGCAGCAGCTACCGATAGGTAAGAAAGCTATGTCTACTGTTAATTTCCGCGAACCCGGCTCGGGTAAATCTAGTCCTGGCTCAGGCTCTCCCAAGATTCTTACTTGGAGCCCTAGAAACATGTCTTTTGTTGTGCCGGACTATTCACCTACCCCTTCGCCCCCTTTGGCGACTACAATGATAGAGGATGAAGCAGTTACTAAGATGAACATGATAGGGCAACGCCCGCCGTCGCCGGCAGAGCTCAGCCCCAGTACAGCCCGGCACCCGCCAGTGGCCAACCCGCCATCCCCTCCTCAGCCTGCCAACCCAAAATCTCCTGGTCCAGATCTAGACTTTACAGATACCGATGTTCAATTCACCGAGCCATCTCAATCTCAAACGTTCTCGTCATCGCAGGGTCGTCCGTCACCGGGTGGCGATAGCGATGACGATTCCGACGACGGGCTGTTTGCCATTCCGCTCGCTGGCAGGGGTAAAGGCAAAGGACCGAGCCGCGGAGAAGGCAGCGGGCCTGGACACGCACAGAAACCCAGCCTGACTGTGAATACTTCACGGCCCAAGAACAAGACCCTATCAGTATCTTTTACCTCCCCCCAATCCATAGGCGACAACGCCGATGACTGGTACAGGACTGGGAACGGAGGATCACGCCGCACTCCTGGAACCCCTGGTTCTGAAACATGGGAATCTGATAAAGAGACCAAACTTGGTCGCCGAAAGTCGTTTATCGAGAAGGATGTGTGGGCAAATCGACCTGCCACTGATGATTTGCTCAACAACCTCGACGACTTCTTCCCCAACTACAATCTTGACGAGCCCGTGCTAGAGGATAGCGTCTCGGGAGAGGTGGCAACTTCGCCGATTCCTGAAGTTGAGGAGTCACCGCAGCAGAGTGTGCCTCCTCCCATCCCAGCTCCCGCCATGTATCAAGATAACATTGACCCTCCTCCCGCTGGCATTGCGTCCTCTAGCCAGTCCATTTATGATAATGGAGATACTCTCGGCTCTGACGAGTCCACACTGAAAGCTCTGGAGCGCCGTCCATCTATACCCACTGTGGCGCAGAGGAGCATGAGGCGTTCTGGCGGGTTGGGCCGGATGAAGTCTATCCGTGAAGTTGCTCGGGGTGCGCACGAGGCCAACAAGCGGTTCACGCATGCGCCGCACAACTCGGGCAATATTCCTACCAGCGGAATCATGCGTCGAAAGAGCACCAAGATGTTCAACGCAAAAATTGTGCAGATTCGACCGGATCAACGTGGCAGCATGATATTCCCCCAGGTTCCGCAGGATACCCTGCCGAAGCGCCAAACCACATTCAGGTGGTTCAAGGGCGAGCTCATCGGCAAGGGTACTTATGGGCGCGTGTATCTGGGTATGAATGCCACGACTGGTGAATTCTTGGCTGTCAAAGAGGTCGAAGTCAATCCCAAAGCCGCGGCCGGAGATAAAAATAAGATGAAGGAGCTTGTGGCCGCTTTGGATCGCGAAATCGACACTATGCAGCATCTAGATCATGTCAATATCGTACAGTACCTAGGATGCGAGAGGAAAGAAGCCAGCATAAGCATTTTCCTAGAGTATATTCCTGGTGGTAGCATTGGTTCATGCCTGCGCAAGCATGGCAAATTCGAAGAACCAGTCGTATCGTCCCTGACTCGGCAGACGCTCTCTGGACTGGCTTATCTACACCGAGAAGGTATTCTACACCGAGACTTGAAGGCAGATAATATTCTGCTAGACGTAGATGGCACCTGCAAGATTAGCGATTTCGGTATTTCCAAAAAGACGGATAACATCTATGGTAACGACAAGTCCAACAATATGCAGGGATCTGTATTCTGGATGGCGCCTGAGGTTATCCGGTCACAAAACGAAGGATACAGCGCCAAAGTAGACATTTGGAGCTTGGGATGCGTGGTGTTGGAGATGTTTGCTGGACGACGACCGTGGAGCAAGGAGGAGGCTGTTGGAGCCATTTACAAGATTGCAAACGGAGAGACACCCCCGATCCCCGAGGATATCCAAGAAACTATAGGACATCTCGCGGTGGCGTTTATGATGGATTGCTTCCAAGTGTAAGTTTGGAGAATACTATATCAAGGGAGAACATATTGAGCTAACATTGATGACGCAGGAATCCATTTGATCGGCCAACAGCCGACGTACTTCTTTCACAGCATCCGTTTTGCGAATTGGATTCCAACTACAACTTTTATGATACTGTTTTGTATAAGAAGATTAAGCCTAGAACCGGATAAGATGACTTGTATGACGGAGGCACGATGTTAGTGGGAGATGCAATTTTTTGTCCTATTTTTTCTGATGCCCATCCTTTATTTCCTCTTTTCTTCTACATCCTTTTTGAAACCAAAGGGTTATTTTGATTGTATATTAAGGCTACGCATAGCGTTTGATGGGTATAGGTTTTTGGGTAAAAAACCAGATTTGGGTTGGAGTGGCGCCCTGGCGTGATGGCTTAAAGTGGATTTGGAGAAGAGAGAGAGAGAGAGACAGCGGTCTTGGCTTCAACCTTGTTTCTTTTGCGGTTGCTGGCGACCAATAAAAGGCTATTACTGACACATCTTTTGTACCTACAAAACACCACGCCTAAAAGGATAAAAAAATAGAAAAAGTTTACGCTACACTTCCAGGTAGTTTAAGGTTATTGTGCGGTGGCCAATCTGCGGGCTTTTGGCCACTGGCGAATTTAACCCCAGGCTAAAGACGCGGTCGAGACCGCGGGAAAGGCTTTATTAGGCGGGGGAGGATGAATTGGGCGGCGCGATTGGTTTCCGATAGGTGTGGTGCGTTTTGTTTTGGTCATTACAGTCGCACCAAATTAGTTGTTGCGAGAATTCGAGACGAGAGGGGAGACTCTTGTTGTCTGAAGAGGCAAATATGGGGGTTTGTGGGTGTCTTTAGTTTATATGCCCCGTTATGGGGTATCGGCTTCAGGAATGGCAGTCAAGTTGCTGTTTTGATAAGGACTCACGGCCATCTGGAATACAACCCGAGTCTGTCTCGGAGTCTAGATCAATGTGACACCCTGGCATAGATAGGCACATATCTCTACAGTATAGTTTGTGCTTTGGAGGCCTGCAGGAGTGTAAACTGCGAGGGACGGGGGACACGTGAGCTGACGGCTAAAAAAAAGATGTTGGTTGCTGGACCTTCCTAATGGGCACATCGACATTGAACTATTAACACCTGGTAAACCGCTAGCAATATTGATTTTCAAGGTGGTATCCGGGCCTTGATCTTGAGTGCGCTGCATGGGCTGCTGGCATTTGCTAGTCGGGGAGACGGGGCGTTTTATGGACATCTACCAGTTCCTATATACTGTTTATACAAGTAGGCTGCGTGATTGGTTCTGAAATCGTCCGGGATTTGGAGAGATGCGGCGGGCGCCGTTTCAGTGGCTTCGTCCTCATCGTAGGGACTGGACCTTTAATTGCTCCGTGTCGTGGGCTAAAGTCTCGGTAGTCCTCCGAAGCACAGGCACCGCTTCAGCAGAGCTTCAGCCATCTCATGCGTCAAGCTCTCTAAGCTCTGCGGCAGCATGGACTTGAAACACCAGAATTTGCTGGTCTATCTGATCAATTACTGGCTTTCCAACGCTCTTCAGCCTTGATCTTGTCTACTGGGTATTTGGTTGGTGGCTTTTATAGTGCAGGTACCGAGCACCTTACTAAATCGAACAAATACTATACGCTCCCCAAGTGCTTATGCTTTCCAATGGTTCCATCGGATTTCGTTCGGCGCGTGCCGGACTTGCTCCTCCAGGGCCCTTGCCGGGGTGCCCCATCAGTGGCCAAGCACTAATGTACTTGTGCTTGTACCTCGCCTCAACTCCTGTCCGCTCGAGATGCCTCCCAATTGCTGCTTCGCGAAAAATGCCAAGACAATCCACCAACGGCTTAATGTCACTAGTCCGGAGCACGATGCTGCCAAAAGCGCCGTGAGGCAGAAAAAGTCCCTGCAGCTTTCTTCTTCTGCTGGGATTCTTATTTGCTCTCGTATCTCTGATCGGCAAGGCGCTCCCGCTTGTTATTTTTTTTTGTAACTCTCTCTCTCTTTCTTCGCTCTCTTTTTCTGGGTGCCTGTCCTGTGTGGCGTTCTCGTTCTCCCCTTTAGCTTTGGGTCGTTTGCTCATGTGCTCGTAGAGGCGTTACCCTCAGCCGTGTTTTTTCTTCTTCTTCTTCTCTTCTTCTTCTTCTTCTTCTTTTTTTTTTTTTGCTTCTTGGCCAGTTCAACAGAGACTCGACACTTTTGCTGCTCCGCGCTGCGACCCGGGGCGTTGATTCGCCCGCGACATTCCCTTCATCAAAGGGGGCAGTGATCGTCTCGTTGCGGCCGTGGAAGTGCTCCGCCTACAACCACCACGATGGCACGACGCAGGTATCGGCTGTTTACGATTTGCGCAGCGTTTGTGCTCTTCCTGCTCTACCGGGTCTCGCAGAATGCCTGGGAGGACTCTTCGCGTTATGCCAGCCTGAAGTATCCTCCCTCTGCGGACTCGCCCGCTGCACCGCCAGCTGTGGCGCCAGAGAGCCGGCCGAAGCCTGCCCCGAAGCTCGACACCGAACCAGAGTCCAAGGCCAAGACAGAGGCCGAGCCTGACGCTCCAAAATCCAAGCCAAAGCCCGAATCCAAGCCCGAATCCAAGCCCGAACCTAAGAAGCCCGAGTCCAAGCCGGCAACGGAACCTGTTGCCAGCCAGCCGAAGCAGGGCAAGCTGGACGACGATGAGGAGCCCGGCATCAAACTTCCTACGCTCAAGGATCTTGACTACTCGAAACCACCAATCAATGGCAAGGCTTCTGCCTCCAATGCCAATACGGCCGATGATGACGACGAAGAAATAAACGGTATTCATCAGAAGAACCCGCCCAAGACCCCTCCAGCAACACCGGTTGACCACCGCACTCACTGGCACCCCGCGGAGGAGCACTTCCCATTGCCTCCCGAGTCCATCATCAGTCTCCCCACGGGGAAGCCGCTCAAAGTACCCCGAGTTCAGCACGAGTTTGGCGGCGAGTCGCCCGAAGCCAAATCCAGACGAGTCAATCGACAACAGCGAGTTCAGAAAGAGATTGCGCGAGCATGGTCGGGCTACAGGAAGTTTGCGTGGATGCATGACGAGCTTTCGCCCGTCTCTAATAAGTATCGCGATCCCTTTTGCGGCTGGGCTGCTACCCTGGTCGATTCCTTGGATACGCTCTGGATTGCAGGCCTCAAGGAAGAATTCGACGAAGCAGCCAAGGCGGTCAAAGAGATTGACTTTACAACCACTCCTCGCAACAACATTCCTGTATTCGAAACCACGATTCGATATCTTGGCGGCCTGCTCGGCGCCTTCGATGTCAGCGGTGGCCATGATGGTGCTTACCCCTGGCTTCTCACAAAGGCCGTTGAGCTTGCTGAGATCCTCATGGGGATATTCGATACACCGAATCGAATGCCTGTTCTGTACTACCAGTGGCAGCCGGAATACGCCTCTCAATCTCATCGCGCCGGCTCTGTTGGCATAGCGGAGCTTGGAACTCTGTCAATGGAGTTTACACGCCTGGCGCAGCTAACCAGCGAAATGAAATTCTACGACGCCGTGGATCGCATTACTGACGCCCTGGTTGACTTACAATTGAGGGGCACTTCTATTCCTGGCTTGTTTCCCGAGAATCTCGATGCCTCTGGCTGCAACCACACTGCAACGGCTCTCCGCGATCAACTTAGCAAAGCGGCACAGAAGCAAATGGAGGAAGATGTCTCCGAGGCGCCGGTTGGGTATGTGCCCGGCCAGAAGCTCGATTCAAAGCCAGCGACCGGCGAAACAGGCACCCAAGTGGCTCAGGCTGCGGAGGAAAATGAGTTTATTGTTGGAAAATTCGGTGCCGATGACGCGCTCGCCAAATTGCAGGCTGCCGATGAGGCAAGAGCAAAGGCCATGGACAAATCTACAGAGAAGCCCGCCGAGAAACCAAATGGCTTCGTGGTTGGAAAAATTGGCTCTGAGGACCCAAGAGACAAGCAAGCACCCGCTGGCCCAACTGATACAGAATCCAAGGGCTTCGTTGTTGGTAAGATGGGAAGCGAGGAACCGCCGGTCAAGCATATGCCTGCTGCTGAAGCGCCTGGCAAATTTGTTGTTGGCAAAATTGGATCAGAGGACCCCAAGGACGATAAACAGCCCTCCAACGCATCCGGGGCGAAGAAGTCAGAATTCGTTGTCGGTAAAACCGGCGCTGAAAACCCGGATTATGCCAAACAAGGTCCTCGTGAAGACGATAAAACAGAGACTCGCCCGTCTGACTCTCTCCGTCGCCGAAATGTGCCGCCAAGTGAAAGGCCTTTGGACAAGTCGAGTCAAGTACCACCTGTGAAGGCAAAGCGTCGAGGAACGCCACCTTTTGGAGCAGACGGTTCTACATCTAAATGGGACTGCGTTCCTCAAGGCATAGTAACTGGTGGGTACGGATTCGAACAATACCACATGGGAGGTGGCCAAGATTCGGCATATGAGTACTTCCCAAAAGAATATCTCCTCCTCGGTGGACTGGAATCCAAGTACAAGAAGCTGTACGAGGACACTATCGAGGCGACCAATGAGTGGCTCCTCTATAGACCCATGGTAGATGGCGATTGGGACATCCTCTTTCCTGCCAAGGTCAGCACGAATGGAAATCCTTCCCAAGACCTGAGCGCTACGTTTGAAGTTACGCACTTGACGTGCTTTATTGGCGGCATGTACGGTCTGGGCGGCAAGATCTTTGGCCGAGAGAAGGATCTTGAGATTGCCAAGCAGCTGACCGATGGCTGTGTTTGGGCCTATCAGTCAACCGTCTCTGGCATCATGCCGGAAGGATCTCAAGTCTTACCTTGTCCAACGATGGAGAAGTGCGAGTTCAACCAGACACTCTGGTACGAGACGTTGGACCCGTCAAAGGACTGGAGAGACCAGCAAATGGCTGAGTGGAAAGAACAAGTAGCCGAGATTGAGAAGAAGCAAGGAAAGAAGGTCCAGCTTACATCCGATGGCGACCCCAGAAGGACTGGCGATAAAGAAAAGGAGACTGCGGGTGATGCTCTGCAGCAAAGTGCAAAGGATTTTGCCTCACCAGGCGACTCCCCTGCCAACCCCACTAAACCTCTTCGCAAAAGGGCGGCAGTTCCAGCACCGGCATATGAAGATTTCGACGTTGGCTCGGAGCTTCCGCAGTCGCTCAAGGACAAGATTGGCCTCAAGGGCGATGCCGAGAAGAAGCCAGTGAAAGAAGAGGTTGGTATCCAACGAGACCCCGACGCGCCCATTGACTCGGTTTTGGAAGCCAACAGGCTGCCCCCTAAGGAGTTTGATGAACAACAAGTGATTATGCCTGAACGGCCGCAGTCGCATGAGGAGTTTGTAAAGTCGAGGATCAAGGACTGGGGTTTTGCTCCTGGTGTTACTCAGATTACATCAAGACAGTATATTCTCCGGTAAGACTGTCTAACTTCTCAATTTCCCCCGTTTATTCCTTCATTCTTTTTGCTAATATGATTTTCTTGTCTCTTTTCTACAGACCCGAAGCCATTGAATCAGTATGGTACATGTACCGCATCACCGGCGACCCCACGTGGATGGAAAAAGGCTGGAAGATGTTCGAGGCCACCATCCAGGCCACGCGCACCGAGATTGCCAACAGCGCCATTGACGACGTCAACAGCGATGAGCCGGGACTCAAGGACGAGATGGAGAGCTTCTGGCTCGCCGAGACGCTCAAGTACTACTACTTGCTGTTCTCGGAGCCGAGCGTCATTAGCCTGGACGAGTGGGTGCTCAACACCGAGGCCCATCCTTTCAAGAGGCCTGGGGGTAGCGTCATTGGACACAGTATCTAAGGGATAGAAAGAGAAAAAAAGGGAAACAGTTTTTAATGAAACGAATGAATGGATAAAGGAAGGGTAAACAATGAACAAATTCTGAGAGAGAAAAAAGAATTATTTTTTATCGGTTTTGTTATTTTTTTACGGTAGCATTGCGTTATTGTATCTGGTTTACGTCTGTTTTGAGCAACCGCACTCGATTCGATTTTTCACTGCGAGAGCCAGGAAATGAAAGAGCGATTGTTTTTTGCATAGGTATTGGACTTGAGATACTATGATAGGCTGTTCCGAGAAATATTGATATTGTCGCCAAGAACATGCTGCCATTATGAAAGAAAACTTTTGTGTTTTTGAGATTTAAAGTTTATTTTGTCACCACCGAGGCACTGGTACACTATTTAGTAAAATCTATCTCAAATAACAGAATCAAAGAGCATATCCAACCCGCACAATGTATGTACATTTCCATGGTTAGCACCATTGTATCACGCAAGGTTTCGCCAAACCCCGATTGTGTTGACTGCGAAATTGAACAGCAGTCAACACGACCCTCTCGTCCAATACACAAAACCACAGTTTTTCATCATCCTGCACAGAAAAATAAAAAAAGGGAAAGAACTACTATAAACAAAGGCATCAAAGGTCAATAAATAAGTATGTATAGCCCGTATCTCCATTTACTCTTTCGTCCCCAGTTGTATTTCCCCCAAACCAAAAACATACACAAAAAAGGAAAAGAAAGGGGACATTGCAAAAACATAAATCCATAAAATCACACACATAACGCATTTGTCGTCGAAAAAAAACTTGGTGCATTATCGTCGTCTATAGTTCGCCCAGTGACATCTGGCCAGCCTCTCGTTCGACCTTATCCATCACTCAAATAAATGTTGTCTTCGCTCTCATAATGTTGATTGCGCTAGGCTCGTCGATCGGTGTCCATCACTGCGCAATGGCTGCGGTGGGAAATAGCAAAGATCGTTTTGTCGAAGGTGACCGGCCCAAACTGTCGTCTGTTTCGGACAAAAAGTAAGGAGGGGTGGGTATTGGGAGTTTTTTTTTTTGTCTTCTTTTTTCTCAGTTTTTTGTCGTTGTAGTGTCGCATTATGTATTCTTCGTGAACGCCATTGGTAACTCCGATGCTGATGTTGCCTGTAAACCAACCAACCCCCTTAAAGTACGAAGTTGTGCCGCCCGTTTACACGCCCCTGGTTTTGCCCATCACATATACACATAGTCTTCCCATCTCATATATCATTCCCTTACCTGTCGTCGCCGCATATCCTCCCCATTAAACCCCTCATCATCACACCATCGAACTCAGGACGCGTATACTCAAGATCATTACGAGCAGGCCGATGGTGACGATGATGAGTAGCGTGAATGCGAACCAGCCCATTACCATGGCGCTGGTGCCGACACCACTCTTGACAACGCCATTTCCAAAGTCTTGTGCGATGACGGATGCTGCGACGGATGCGGTGTGCTGCCAGAGGACCGAGACGAGAACGAAGATGGAAGCGATGAAGATGATGGCCAGGGCGATTTGCGAGACGGGACGGGAGGGAAACGGCTTGACCTCGCGCTCGGATCCTTCAGAATCTTCTTCCTCGTGCCATCCAGGAAAGGTAGCGAGGAGGAGCAGACAGATGAAGGCAAAAATGATGGCAATAATGCTAAAGGTCCATGTCAGCAAAGTGCATATGACAAACGTGCATATGCGCATTAGAGGATGCAAAGCAGTACTCACATCAAGTATGGAAATACAATCATATCCTTGAACTGGGCAGCCAGCCAGATGAGATTGAGGGGGTCTTGGTCAACTGAGACTTCTCTGGCCAGGGCTGTCGCATTGTTACTACAAAGCCACGAGCCACCATCCGGGTTGACGCAGATGCCAAAGTAACCAACGCGAGCCTGCAGTCCGGCGTTTCCAGTGAGGCGCTGCATCGCAGTGTAGAAGCTGTAATCAACTTGCGCGGTATCGGGGTGAGCCTCGTAAGACTTGTAGTAGATGGAAAGCAGGAAGATGCCGGGGATTAGAGGCGATGAAGACGAGCAGCCGGCAAGCAGCAGCGCTGTGATTGAGCGATTAGCAACGGCGTATGAAGAATTGGAACGGCTATTTTGGTGACGTACATAGTAGAATGATTGCGACGACGATCAGAATCATCAGCACGTGGTGGTACCCGAGAAACGGGACGAATCCTGTTGAGACACATTGTTAGGACCAAGTTGCCGCATTCCAGGCGCTGGGCGATGCGAGACTCACTCTGCCATCCTCGATGGAATCGGCGCACCGAGATGATCGTGGTACTGGAGCTGGAGCTCGTACCCGACCGAGTCGTCGCCATTGCGGGTGTTTTGGTAGAGGGCGATGTCCCTCGTAACTATCCAGACGTGACGAGTATGGAGGGCAGACTCCTACTAAGAAGCGATCGCGTGGGAGATTAAGCGCCGAGAGCGCAAGTCGTTTGAACCGCGCAGGATCCCTGTTGCGCTGCGTGCAGTGAGTGCTCTCTGCTTCGGAGAGGCCTCTCGTCACGGTATCGTTGGTCGAATCCCGACACAGACTCGCGCAAATAATGTCGCGTGGAGGCAAGGATGGCGGCAACGCACGTTGGAATGAGCGAGCGGTGAGAAGCCCACTCCCTCAGATGTTGCCGGCGCTATTCCGAGTCGCCGTGGCTCGTGGCAGGAAATCGTGGATGAATAGCGAATATTGAAGCAAATCGGAGTGAGCGTGGAATTCCCGCTACAGACCCTGCAATGCCTAGAGCGACGAGAATGTCTTGCGTGCTGCGCGGGCTTCAGTTGTCATGGACGACGTGCAGGACGACACTTGGCTCAAAGAAGAAGATGCGAGTCCTTCCAAAAGAGGAATTGGGAAAAATGGGAATTGACAAGAAAGGGGGGGTGCAGCCCAACGTATGTAACACGTAACTTTCTCTTTAGCTTTTCCCTCTTTTTTTTCTCTTTGGCTTGTCGCTTCTCTCCAAAGTCTTTTTCTTCAAAATTCAGATGGCTGGGGAAGTTAGCGGAAAAGTATCTTTAGATCTCGCAGCTTATTGCAACGCTGGAGCTCCGAATGTACTTTGGCAGGGATGGGCTCGCATTTTGGTTCGTCCAGCCACGCCATTTCTGGTATTGACTTTGGTTGGCTGGGGAACGGGGGTGACGTTGGCGCCGTGGGGCCGCGGGGCTTAAAAAGCTTGGCTGGGACGCGCAAAGGTGCGCAGTTTTCCAGGCGCTTTGGCGCTGGTGCTTGCGAAAGCTCAGCAGCTGGACTCGCCAGAGGCTGAGCGGCGCCGCTGTGGCCGGGGTGGCAGTGGATATGTCCCGTTTCCCAGCGGGTGCCTTGCAGGGGATCAGTGCGCTAAAGATCGCTGATTGTTTTTCTGCGAGGGCATGGTGGCGACAAACGGGGCCGATGCGCTCGCGTCTGGTGCAGGACTGGAGGCCGGTCTCATCGTGGTTTGCGCGCGATCGATCGTCAGTCAAGGCATTCAAGCTCATGCGGCAGAGGCGGGTGGGTAAGACACGCATATTTCTGAAGATTGGCTTCCTTTATTGGAGGCGTCTTCAGCCGTGCTGTCATGTGAAATTCGACCTTGGGTGGTGCTACAGGCGCATGCACTTACACGGTACACGTCTGGCATCTTACACGCCTATCCTTCATCCTTTCCAGCTTTCTTAACAAGGTGAGTTACAGGATATCAATCAACAGAAACACCGACCTCGTGTACGCACCCGACCATCAGCGCTACACTTGCACCTCGTATAATCTTGGCAGGTTGCCATGACAATCCGTGTCTCTCGCGGCCAAGTCGAGCTGCGCCGGAGCTAATGCCTAGGGTCGTGTCAGGCATTAATTGGCGCTCCATACGATCAATACATGGATCGAGGTGAAGAGCGAGGCGCAGCTGCTACTGACCGCTTACTTACGTGTACTGTAGAAACATGTCTTGGTCACCTACCTATATATAGCAACTTACATCTTCTCTTATACTACAAGTACTTGAATTTACTCGCTTGTTATTCGGAAGACGCGGAGTAAACAACTAGAGAAGCTTGTGCTTTCGTACCAAAAACATGTAAATCAGTCACCTGCTGTCAACAAAGCCGATCAAAGCGCAGAGTAAACGCAGACAGAGTAAACACTCAGCTTTTACACTCTTTACCGTCGCGGCCCCTTATTAATGCAGCAATGCTCTGCGCGATCAAGGGCCGTTCGTAAGCACTGCACTTCAGCGCTGTTCTTGGTGGTAGCATTTTGCAGCCCAACCCCCTGTCGTTGCAGATAATGGCTGCAGCTCGCCATAAACACGGAGCAGCTGTTCCGCTACCGTACCTGCAGAATAACTGGTGCTGGTGCTATTATCACGAGTGACGAATTATTCTAAGCTCTGCGAATTGCTTGAACAGTAAAAAGAACAAAGTGAACAATGATCAATTCAATCAATTTATAACTTTCCAAACACCAGCTCATAGGGCAACGTGAATCATACTAGTAGTGTTTGTCCTCTCTGTCTATTAGTGGGTGCATACATCGTGCCTCGGATAACCTTCGGTAGCCCGTATCGATAAGCATGGCCAGCTACATGCAACGTGCATCGTCATACTTGCCAGCTTCGATGCAACTTGATAGGGCCACGTATAAAAACCATGGCTACCTTGTCTGGAATCCTCAATGGCAGCTCCCTGGATAGCCGCGTCGAGGACTATCTCGAGGACAAGCTTCAATCGACTGCTGACCTCGACAACCTCGACGAGCTACTCACCAATGTCGAACTGCAGCGAAACCAGCTCCAATCGCAGCTCGACGACGCTGCAAAAGAGCTGGAAGAGGCGAGGCGCATGGGCGATGAACGCCAAGCAGCCCTCCAGGCCCGAATCGCCGAGTTCAACGAGCTGCAAGAAAGCATCGACAGGCGCGTCCAAATAGCTGCTGCTTCCGATGCGCCGAGCGAGGCGATTGCGCGACTACAGAAGCCCATGAAGCAGCTGCAGAATGTCGAACTGGCTCAGAAATACTTCTTGCTGTTACAAGATGCTGAGCGACTACGGAAAGAGGCTCGGTCCCATCTACCAGGTAGCCCCAAGGAGGCGCTCGAACCGTATGCGCTGTTGAAAGAGCTGGCGATCAAGCTTCGATCCCTGCCCGGGAATGATGAGCTTCATCTTGTGGATCATGTTGAAAGGATGACGAAGAATCTCTGGGATGAAATGAAACAAATAATGTCTACCGAGTTGGAGACTGTATTGAATAAGAAGCGCTGGCCCAAAGTCGACCCTCAGTCGGAAATGGACGAAGAATGGCTAGCCTGTGTGGAGAAGCTTCTCGATTTGCAGATGCCAGAAGTCATTCATAGCGCAGATATCGTGGCCCTCTTGCCGTTTGAAGTCATGGCCAAGATGTTTGTTACCGAGTTTCGCTTCCATTTCATGAGCGATAAACCAACCAGCAGCGCTCAATCAGTTGGGACGCATTGCTTTCCCTGGCTTCTGACAACGTTGGAAAAGTGGGAGGACTTCTTTCGCGATAATCTGGGCCATCTTCTGGCGTCCAAGTTCCACGATTCGCCCGTGGCTAATAAGACCATCTATGTGGATCCTGCCTGTGCCCTCATCACTGCAATGCTACCCGTTGTTCGAGAGAAGATTGACGCAGTAGCGTCAGAGACGCATACGAACCCTGGGTTCTTGAGCAGTTTTATATCCCAAATCATGGCCCTGGACGAGAATATCCGATCTCGGTTCAACTATGACGGCGGTGATCCCGAGAATGGCTGGGCAGGACTGTCAGAGATCATACTGGATAAGTACTTTGATGTGTGGTTCCAGGCCGAGCGAAGTTTTGCGTTGGAGAGGTTCGAGGCCATCTTGGAATCAAGAGACGCGCGCAAAATCGATTACGATTATTCACTGCCCGGCAAGATGAAGCCTACATTTGCGGCTGTTCAGCTCACGGATCTGCTACGGGTGGTAACCACAAAATACGAACGCCTCCGTAAAGTCAAGCAAAAGCTAAAGTTTCTCACGGATATCCAACTTGATATTCTCGATGGATACCATGATCGCTTGAGAAGCTCATTGGAGGCCTACCAGTCTTTGACTTCTACCCTGGGCCGAACCATCCACGGCGTAACGAAAGAACAGCTCGCTGCCCTGGAAGGGACTGGTGCCTTGGAGACGTTGTGCAAGGTGATTGGTAGCTCCGATCATATTGCCAACACTTTGGCGGAGTGGGGCGATGAAGAAGTAAGTTTGGGCAAATCCGGAGGCAAAGAAAAATATTAATTCGGAGTATAGTTCTATGTCATTCTCTGGGATCAGCTGCACAGACGTCAATCTCGACAAATAAAGCCACAAGGCTCAGCAATCGGTAACGTGGTTGGGAACAATCATGATCTCAAGGAACGCACTGTCGCTGCCGTTGATGATGGCGACGAGAATGGGGCCATTTTTGACGAAACTATTGCAGCATATACCAACCGTCGCAAGGCCGGCGAAGAGCTGTTGATGGGTGCCTTGGTCGACTCTCACTCTAAAGCGTTGCGTGCCTATACCCATAATGTTCAGTGGACAACAATTGGCGAAAGCGCCACTCCTGGTAAGCTCTGATACACATCTTCATCATTTTTAGTAACCAGTAAGTCTTACTAATGTTGTCTGAAATAACAGATGACTCTTCAGCCCTCTCCATCACACCTGAACTAGATGAGCCCCTGAGCGTCTTGAAGAGGAACCTAGAGTTCTTGGGCAAAGCCCTCTCTGCGGCCTCGTTTCGCCGTGTCTGGCGAGATGCGCTCGAAAAGCTCCAAGACTTGCTATGGACCAGTATTCTCATCCGTCAAACATTCACCACGCTTGGGGCAGCACAATTTGCGCATGACTGCGCGTCCATCTTTTCACTTGTTGACCGCTTCATTCCCAACGGCTCGGCAGCGCTAGAATCTCTTCGCGAGGGGCTTGTCCTGCTCAACTTGCCGACGACGACAACTGCAGAGAGCGAGGACGCCATCGCCATCACGCTCAAGCAAGCTAGTGATCGAGCGTTTACCGACAATGACGAGGCGCGTGCGGTACTTGAGGAGCTGCAGCTCGTGGCATTGACACCACTGAATGCAAGACAAATTCTCCAGAGGCGGGTGGAAAATAACGAGAACGTTGGATGGTAAGATTGATGGCTTTTGACTTTTTGCATAAAGAGGTATGAAATAGAATTGTGTTATTGTGTCCATTAGATATAAATATTAACACGGCTTATAACGAAGATCAATTGATTAAATTCATGTTGAATGTTTGGCTCTCATAATAATTCACTTGAACCATACAGCTGTCTAGAATTAACAGGCAATATTCCCAGATTCCGTCTCTATATCCATGCCATATTTCTTTTCGCTTCGTCCTTTACCGTGCAATTCGGCTGTGATCCCATCCCAAGCCAATAACGCCAGAATAAGAAAAAGAAGAGAACATATTTTTTGTTCTTTCATACATCTCTTTCGCTTTTTCGAATCGCTTCGCTCGCTTTTTTTTCCATTTTCACTGAACTTTCTCCTTTTAGTTGATAGCTCGCATGGTCATTTCCACCACGGCAAAAGTGCCCGCGCTCACAGGCATAGCCCTAGCCAGCGTAGGTCCAATGCCCTTCCAGAATCCCCCCAGGCCATTGGCGCGGTATGTAGAAGCGAAGCAGGCTCGCATAGTCGGATACTTTTGCTGGGCGCCAAAGCCGTCGGTCTGCATCTTGCTCTTGACAACGTCGAAGGGGTAGCTGGCCAGCCAGAGGACTTCTCCGGCAAGGCCTCCGTACAGGGCAATCTTGTAGGTGGGGATTTCCTTGCGGTCGATGCCGTTGCGCGCGGCATCCGAGTTCATGAGGTACTCGAAGGTGGTGAACCAGGCGCCGTAGGCAAAGGCCTCTCGCCAGACCGTCACGGCCTCGCCGCGGTACAGGCCGCTGAGGGCGCCGTTGTGGGCGCTGATCTTGCGGATGCAGTCGAGGGGCCCGTTGTAGAGGCGCCCCGCGCCGTGCGGCTGGCTCTGCAGGCGGATGCGGATGTGCTCGATGGGGCCCGACAGCGGCGCGTTGGCCACGCCGGCGAAGGCGCCCGCGGCAAAGTACTGCGCGTAGCTGAGGTCCGTCGTGCTGTGGCCGCTGCTGGCGTTGCGAGCCTCGAGCCAGCGGCGCGCGGCGTGGAATGCGCCAAACTGCACCGACACGCAGGCGCCGATGCCGATGAGCGGCGTCAGCGTGCCCTTGTAGAAGGCGAGGGCACCTTCATGCTTGTAGATGGAGGCGGCGGCTTCGAGGGCGCCCGCGTACTGGGTCGATGTCTGGAGACGGACTTTGACGATGTCAAAGGGCTGGCCTGGCAGGATGTTAGTTGTTGCGATGCAAGCCGTGGGAAAGCGTTGCTCCGGGCCGTCGCCAGAATTGCGCCGAAACTCGGATTGTGCTCCAGCAGCGAGAGGAGAAAAGGGGAAAAGGGAATTGCATACCGATCAGGACTTGCGCAATGCCTCCAAGAGCGCCAGAGAAGAGATCTTTTGCCGTCTGCAGCCCTCCGCCCTGTTGCTGTTCCAGTTCTACTGCCGCCATGTTTTTGGCTTCTGAAGTGGCCCCGCGGCCGATAACGGATACGTTAGAAAGTGGCGGGGGAATAGAGAGATTCGCTTTGTCGAATTCGAGCGAAGAATATGTACAAGGATCAAAAGCAGAGCATAAAGACACGAATTGAAGAGAAAGGAAAAGAGGAGGAAAACACAGAAACAAAGGACAGTGCCAACAGAGGGAAGAGATTTGGAGAAAAAAGAAAAGAGCCTGAAAGTTGTCGAGATAGGCGCCGATGACCCGATGTCGTTATCAAGTGGGGCTATTAGACGTGTTGCTGCTAGTGAGCAAAATCCCCCACGAATTGGGTGGATATGGATGGAGATTTATTGGAGTAAGATATCTTAAAAAGCCCACTTTGATGTTATGTTGGTGGATGAAGACGGAGGAAGATATTTTCATACTCATTAGAAGCCAGCCTACTGTGAAGGCCAAACTTCTCTCTTTGTTCACTCAGAAGGTGATAGCGCTGTTCCTTTAGTGTGTATGCTCCAATGTTTATGTAATAGACTCGCCGTTGAATGCTACAATTTTAAGGATAAGATCTCCCCTAAAAAAAACCCCCTTGATTAAACTTTTTCTATCGTTGCCTTACATGATGTCCTCAATTCAAAATCTGAAATTCTGTTCGCAAGCTATTAATGTTAAAGGCTCTTTAAAATCACAGGCCGAGTATGACTATAAAATTAGGTAGCCATTATCCAGCACCCCAGTTCTGTTATCCAACACCCCAAAAATAAAGAGAGCACGAAGTTATCTAGCACCCCGATTATGTTATTTAGCACTCCAGCACAGCTGACTAAACCAAGATCCGGTTTCTTTTTCGCATTCTGCTAAAATTGACAAACTGTAGAGAGGGGATTGACACGAGTTTGAAGACATGAAAATCAGGCCTCAGACCAACGAAGAGCCAACTCTCTTGCAGTCATCTCTCGTTGTCGGCTCTAAAACTATTGAAGGGTTGTTGTCATCGATGAAGGATCTGATCCTGATCTTTCTGATGATGTCTTAGCAAGTACGCCTTCTTCGCTCTGTGCAATCGTGGAACTTTGAGATGACGACAGCTGGGAGGATCTCGCCGGGTCTGCGTGAGGATTCCCCTCCTCTAAACGGCTCTCAGCGGTCGCGAAAAAATCTCTCCGTGCTTCACTTATCGCACCAATTTGCGAAAGTCTCGTAAGAAAACCTTTGACCTTTCCTGGAGGCAGTATGTTATCCGGCAACGAGCTGTGGAGAGGGAAAAACAAGTAACGCGCAAGGAAGTAAACACACGGGCTAATTATAGGATTGTAGAATACTCGGCGGAAGAGGGATAACAGTGGCTGCGCCAGGTACGCCTCCAAAGATTTGGCATTGAACAAGAGCACCACGGTCACCAACAGAGCAACAGTTGCGGTTGTAGCCATGCTGCCCATAATTCCCGCCGTCGGTGCGTCGCTCATGCTGAACACGCCAGTAGCGAAGCTGATGGGGAGAAATACCACCGTTACGTACGTAAAGAGTCGAAGATCGTTGGCACGGCGCAGGTCCAAGTCTTGGCGTGTAATCTCCAATCTCTTCGACAGCAGCGTCTTGAACGACTCGATGTCGGCGTAACAGCGCTTCAACTTGATGATTTTTTGTTCATTTGATGCAAGAAGCTTATATATATCACTTCGATAACCGCGTTCATCCTTGAGAGTCCATCGCGGTCGGTTGGGTGCTCGGCTTGCCTGTCGATCCTTCCAGTGCCCAATAATTGTTAAATTTTCGCTGAGATCGTCTTCCACAACTTGCAGTATATGGTGTAATTTGCGCCATAATTGGGTCGTAGAATCAAATACGGCACCATTAACTTCTTGAAACAAATCAAGCGGATCTGAGAGTGGCGATGTGAGACTGATTGTTTGTGCATTTGAAGAAGGATTTTTCTTAGGATTTCTTAGGACTTCACCCTTGGCGCTTTTAAGGATATGTTGAGTACTCTTTAGCATTTCCCGTAAAATCTCATCAAATAATAACAGTTCCAAAACCTGTCGTTGCTTCCAAGGATGTTCTTTCGAAGAGTTTTTAGCCGTTTTGAGATTGGGTATGCCAAGCGATTCAAAATCTCCCTCGTTTTCTGCCCGCTGCGACCCGCATTCAAAAAAGTGGCATGTCCAATAACGATCGAATACGTCGCCGTCGAACCTAAAGCTCATTACAGCTCGGCCTATCCACTTACTCTCGCTCTGCTGATAACTATGCGGGAACTCAATCTTATCTTGTGGGGAAATACCAGGAGCTTTGGGGGTGCTATTTTCATCGGTAATTCGATAGAAAGATAGATGAAGCTCGGTTTCCCATGTATTGAGTATTGGCGTTGTTTCATCAAAGAAATACTTGTCATACAAGGCATGTCTTTGAAAAAAAATTGAAATCTCATCCTGTTCCGACGAGGCAAGATAGCATATCAACGCGGTCTCTCTATTTGGGCCATAAAAATGAACAAGTCTCTTCTTTGCCTCCTCTGGCAATCGTTTCTTTGCTAGAAGACCGTACATTTCGGAGTTTTTGGAGATTTGCGTTCCGGAAATTTTCGGTGTAGTATATTCGTCCTTCTCCCGGAGAGATTTGGATTTCGGCACATCAATGAGGTATCCTTTAACTTTGCCATCAGGATGTTGAGCTTGGTTTCTAATAATTTTCAGCATGACTTTCACATGAATGTCCTTTTTATTTGCACGGAATTTTTCGACGGAAGACTTTAGATCACCGTACTCGAGACCAAAAAACTTAGGCTCATTATACATCCACTCGTCTGTATACTCCACAATGTTTCTAGCGTCAACGATGTTGTCGAATGGTATATTATTGTCATCCGTGAAGCCTTCCTGGTACTCTGCATTCGAAGTTGGTCGAGACTTAGTAAGGCGCTGACGCGGTAGAGTGCGTGAAGCAATTTTTGGTTGCATTCGGTAGGTCCATAAGATATATGGTAACTCAAAAGTAGTGTTCCAGTAGTCTTCGCTTTCAAGCTCTTCGCTGAACAGTGCAGACTCTTTATTCTCGTCCAGCTGTCCCGGAAATAGTCCATTACAAGAAGAACTTTCAAGTAGAACCGATTTTGAAAAATCGAACATTTTGGTCATTTGGTCTTTCGGCGTGGAGCCAATATCCCAATCTTTCGCGGACATCATCATTGCCTGCGCGAATTGTAATGGGTGTATCCAATCAATATCCTCACTTCCTAGTTGATCCATCTGGAAGTCTATCATGCTCTTCCAAACGTCAATCTTGTTATCCCACCCGTTTGTGTTTGCTGGTGTTGTAGTTTTTTCAAATAGCCCCAAATTATCGGCGTCAAAAAGTACTGTATCTTCCAATCGAAGAAGAAATTCCGTTCCGGTGGGGCTGCGTAAACTCGTGAGCATGCGCTGGTTGGACTGTGTGTTTTTCGTAGTAAATCTTTTGAGTATGTTGGTCCTAATCTTGGTGGATGTGTAGCTCAATTTTCGACCCTGCTTCGTCTCAGGGTCGAAATCAGGTTTAAGCTCCTGGGTCATCCCAAGATCCTCAGCCGACTTAAGGCCTCTCCATATCATAACATGATTAGAAAAACAGAATATGTGAGTTGGTTCTTGTCTGAAATGTGGAAATGCGTATTGGCCTTGTTTGTTCCTTTCGTCAAGTTTTTTGACCCAATTAGTAATGATGGGCTGGAATGCATCGGCAACTTCCTTTTTTTTGTCTTCCTTTCCAGCTATTTTGTAAAATTCTGCAGCTTTAATAATGTGAAATGGTGTATCGGAGAGAGATCTCCCCCGTAAAAAGGAGTGGCCTTCCCAGCCCTTTATTACTTCCCCGCTGGCCCAATGGTGAGGACAAATAGATTTCTCGTCTTTGTCATGCTTTAAGATCTTTAATAACCATTTGACATGCCCATAACAGACTTTCCAGATTCGTGAACGCATGTAACAATCGTAGCTTCCGCAGAGATTTTGAGATATGGCGCTGAAATTGTAGCTTTGACAAGGGCATTTGGGTGTTTTGCATGATGTCTTTGCTTTCTCACTGAAATGACTCAACGCTTGAAGTAGAACTTGAAATGCATAACTTTTCCACTATGTTAGCTCTTGAAATATCATAATAGGTGCCATAAGACTTACAAGCTTGCAGCAATGGAAATTCGGTGGCCAGAAACATCTCCACACGTCAAAGCTATTAGAGGAATCCCATCAGAAGTCTCGGCAGCAGGTATGCTGCAAACGGATAAAATGTGTTCCAAATTTCGTCTCAGTGCAAAATTAAGATGTGCGTCCTCCGTAAATGATGTTGCTTCGAACTCAGCCCCAGATTCTTCAAGTACCCTCCGATAGTCAGTCAAGTCCACGGGCTCGATACTGTTGACATCTTCGTTGTTCGAAGGAATTTGCCTCAGCGTATAAGCCAATGCTATTTCTATCTCCCCATCCTTTTGTCGCTCAGATGGGTTAGATGGATCAATTGTATACTCAGTGGTTTCGTCATCCCCAGACAATTTTTGAGCATGACCATTGATGAACAACGATAAGCACAAACAAGCAGCATTTTGCACAATTGTATTTCCATTCTCCTCAGTTTTTTTCCGGATCCTGAGAACATTTTCTTCTCCGTTTCTTTCTCTCAAATATGCATTCTTTGGATCCTGGTCAATTCTACTAGGTTTCTTTGAGAAATCAAGACATTGAAAAAGTGGTTTGACGTTGATGGTAAGCTGTGGAAGGGTTGTGATGCCTTGAGCTTCTGATTTCTTCTCTTTATATGTATATACTTGGTACACAGTGTCTTTGTATATGCGATATTCGATTTTGACATCGAATACTTGGGTGGTCGTGCTGAAGCGCGGCCAACGGTCGCGAAGAAACTCCATCTTTGGTATTTCTGAGCTCATTTCCCATGCGCTGTCATTGGAGCTCATTTCGAAGCGCATCCCGTTTTTAGAACTCTTGGTGTGCGACCCCAAGCGAGCCAAACGTGAGACGATCAAGTAAGGAGGTGGCAGTTCAGCGAATTCCACACAGACGAAACCCGATGGGTTGTCAAAATGCTTTTGTTCCTCCCCAAAATAGCGTGTGATTTGGAGCAAGCGGCCGTGCGCATTTGCAGTCGCTGTAAGGCCTTCATTTCCAAAAGAGGCGTAAGCGGTGCGGTTCCGGACTTGTTCAGCAGCTTTGCTGGGAACCGACATATATTCTCCAGACGCGTGTTCTATATGTGACCCCGTTAGCTATAGTCAATAAGAGATGGAAGGAGAAAAGCATACCAGTTGCCATAATGGACAGCTCTCAAAAGAGTAAAGCGAAAACTAGACGTCTTAACTGAGGAGAGACTGTAGGTTCGCTCTCTAGGCTACTGCAGTCTGATGTTTTCGTATTTCTCGACAGTTTTCAGAAGGGCAAAGAGGATAAAAGATCCAAAGGTGACACCAAAAGAAAGGAGCATAAACTCTTATTGCTGAAGAAGAAATTGATGAGCCAGGAGATACACTGGCTTGGTTGGAGCTTTTGCTTAGTACAAGATTTAGATCTTGTCTTGGCTGTGGTGACAGGATCCGGTGCCCGATCCAATGCTGATTTCTTCTCCAATCTGCTGTGGTGGCAAGACAGCAATAAATATTAAGTTTGACTGCTGGCGGCAGATGTTAAATAGTATATTAATGCCGTTACGTGACGAATCCGAGCCGAGAATGAAATATCAAATTGGGCATAGCCGGCATGTCCTACTCATGATAATTCAATGGTTGGGCTTCATATGCAAAACCTGACGCAACAGCCTTGAAGCCTGATGCGGCAGCCTTAAAGCCCAACGCAGCAGTCTTAAGAGCAGGGAGATGGTGCGGCTGACCATCGTGTAACCACTGCTTGCCCTGGTCTCCCATAAAGCCTCGTGCGGGGACGATATCATGGAATGCTCCACTAAGACAGCGAATTCTCACCGAAATGGAACGTTAGAATCTGTTGCTTGCCTAGGATTTACCGTGGCTGTCGTGGCTCTCTTTCATTTACGCGCACTAATCGTTGGTAATAGTTCTCTACCACCACCCTCGAAATCATGAATATTGTATTTATCCATACTAAGAAGCGATGGATCTTTGACGCTGTCCAAGCCTTCGTGCAACAAAATCGATTATGGAAGGATTTAGCCGTGTAACCTATGGACAGGATATACCAAGTAGCTGTAAAGAGTCTCAAGTTTGGAATAGCTAAATGTCACATACGCAAGAAATGCTTTCACATGCGATACACCCAATATACGGGCACATTACAGGCAAAACTAGGCCGCAATCGTTTCTCAGCTTAAGATGGAGGCCTGAGATGTTGTGGGCTTCAGCGAGTGGATAGACAAGCTGAACATAGGTCACCCATGTAAGCTGTACATGGGTGACCTCCATCGTCCAGGCTGCCTCGCATACTTTTTGGTCTCAGCTGCAGGCAATCCAACGTGGCAAAACCTCAGTGGCATAGCGATAATGGGAACATCGCTCAATTGCATTGACCAATCTATTTTTGCACATTAGACGTTGCTGTCCAACAATACGATGCCTTACTCTGCAGGCTGGACAGCAAAAAGCAAATTAGACACCGCCACGATGGCTGCTTGTACGCAAATGTTTGGATACCAGGCTACGCCATCATGCAATGGCCCCCAATCCTACCTCTACCCACCATCAAGAAGCCGAGATATAATGGGGAAGCCGAGCGGGACATCTCAGGTCACATCTCATACGCCTCAGGATTTTTGGGGGGGATGGATGCTAGATCTTTTCAGAAAAGAGAACATGTTACTACTGCATATCACATACAACATTAAGGCACGACACTGATGGACAGCTTAGCCATTATTCTCTTTGCTAATGAACCTGGTCAAGACCTGAGATGATGATAAAGTTTGGCATTATGCAGCCCTGTAGAGTGAGATTATGGTCGCTGATTTTATTCAATCTTAACTCGATGGGCAAATGGGAGGTCTGGCCCTATGGACCAGCTCGGGCTATGTTGCACAGCCTGACAGGAGATTACTTGTCAACCTTTGTCGTAGGATGGGTCTTGATATTGGTACTATTATTTTGTTTCATGTGACAGTAACGTAAAACATTATGCAAACCCCAAAGTTGAACCTCTCTGTAATTACCTACGGAAGTAAAGAAAGAGGATTCAGAGCAGCACTACATTAGATGCAAGACGAAGATGTACACACTATCCTGTTCTTCTTGACCACTTTCGCATCCGCAGAGATAAACTATAGGTCTACAAAACTAGTAACAGCAACTCTCGTCTAGGGACTGCAAAAGTCATCTCATATCGTAGATTATTCACATATCGACGTCGTCACAGATCACACAGCAATACAAGACACGTTTCAGAGCGTTGGACCGCATAGACCCAGAGGGAAATGCAGGTTGGGGAACTGGCGCTTATACTTAAAAAGGTGCAAACACCAAATAGATATCCGACATCGCCAAGGTAAAAGCCATGTTAACGCAGACGCGTTGTCACGCCTGCCGACCGCCGAGAACGGCACCATGATTTTCGTCATTACGCGGCGACAGGCCAAGGAATTGAACTATCCCCAAATCACCCCCTACGCCACGTCCCACATTGCCATGTTGGTGAATAAGCGACGTAGAAGGGGGAGAGCCAGGTTCCTCCGTGAGATGTCCGCGTCAAAGTATGAAGAGGCCTTGGTGGGTTGTAACAGACTTGATTCTTCTATCAAGACTAAAAGGTGGGAGTTGGCTATCCGTTATATATTCATATATTCCCTGATGTAGGTCAAGAGACTTCTTTCCTTCCGGGGACGCTGGGTAGGTGTCCCACAACATCCCCTCGTCTCAAAAATGAGCGGTAGCCAACAAAAAGATATTTTCATACCCATTGGAATCTAGCCTACTGTCAAGGCCAAACTTCCCTTTTCGTCCACTCAGAAGGTGATACCGCTGTTCCTTTGGTGTGTATGCCCCAATGGTGATGTAATATCCAATCTCAGCTACCTAGGTACTACTTGATATCCAACAACAAGAGACCAACATCTACTGACAATCTTCTTGTAAAATCTCTTTAATGATCCTCATTTCCCATCTGTGCCTTCTGCTCCTTCATTTCATTCATAGACCCCATCCTTGATTCGCAGCTTGACGTTGTCCGCCCGCGAACTGATTTGCAGCCATGTTCCGAGCAACCAGCATATTCTCATTCCACAAATCACAGCCGCAAGACTTCCATCGCTTTCCGCAGGTGTAACAGAACTGGGCTCCGCATTTACAATCTGCTAAAGTGTGAGAACTGGGCTCGAAGAGAGAAGGAGAAAAGAAATAAGAACGATGGAAAAGGGGGAAAGGGAACCTTACATATATGGTTGCAACCATGCGACAGCTCTACCATTCTCCGACACTGAAAGCACCTCTTCCAGCCATTGTCTCCCGCAATACGCAGAATATTGGCCGTCTCCGTGTCCTTGGGGCAATCGCCCGTATGGGCTGCGCCCTTACAGATGGTGCAAGTCCTACTTCGACATTTCACACACGTCGCCACCTCATCCTTGATGAACGGCGTGGGGATAAACGTCGAGCAACTGGGTAGGTGGCAATATAGTCTATTCGTCGAACCGTACTCGAGCTCCTTGGCGCGATATTTCCCAAGTATTCCCGCAGGAATGAAGATCTGGTTAACACCGTCGAGAGGAATCGTTTTCCCACAGCATCGAGGGGGGAATATGGACTCGTCGTTTATTGCTTTACTAATGTAATTGGACAGGCATTCGCGACAATAATCGTGAGAGCACGGGCATCGCAGCGTGTCGACGAATGGGAAATCTTCATTGCAAACAATGCAGCGACGTCTGTTGCTCACTTTGGTCATCGACCGATTAGCTCGTTCACCCATCCTAGATGACTCGGCAATAGGTGAAGGCCCGCCATCATCGTGAAATAGAAATATGAGTTTGTTGACCATTTCATCAGAGATGTTCTCTTTCAAGGAAGCCGTATCCGGTGGCTGTCTCGGGGGAAAGAGGTTGTCCCTTGCAATGTTATTCTCATCAAAGCCATGGAGCGCAAGCATCCGATCGCGTGTCGCTTGTTCCTCTTCGTTGACGAGCTCTCTAATGACGTCCGCGTCGCTCACAACGGCACGAGCCAGGCTGCGACTCATTTCTCGATCGTGGATAAAGGCATGGAACGAGGCGAGCTCGGAGTTGAAAAGCTCAAGCGCCAGGTCGAAATCGGGAGCCTTGCCCTCCTGGTACTTTCCCTTGGCCATGCTTTGGGCATCTTCCAACTGAAGCTGGATGATGAGATCAAGACTTGCCTGGTCCATCTCGTATTCCATGGCTGCTAGACGCTGTCAAATTCTGCAACGATTGAACGACAAAGTGCCAAAGGCCTGTAATTGAAAGGCAAGCGATCAAAATCGACAATTTCTCGATGGCAAAAAATGCTGCTACCCAAAATCCAGGGCGAAAACGATGCGAGGGCTACCAAGTACACTCTGAGCGAGTAATCTGTACCTGGCAAGTTCTTGGGATGAGACACTTGTCGCGCTTCTGTGCCACTCCCTTCTCATGCGGGAGGCCAACCATTGGGTCCTGTGAGAAGCTACCATGTACTTCTTACAGAACCGTACAAGTACCGCTCTGGCTCTGTACCTCTGCCCGTAACTCTGCGTGCGGGGAACGGCAACATTCCCGTATTATATTTCTTGCGTGGCGGGGTTTTGCATGGATCCGGGCGTATTTCACACGCATCATCACTTGACCAGCGAGCGATGGTCTTCACTAACATGACAGTTGTTAGCCTTGGATTCCAAAATGTCGTTTGCATGACTGAATACGATACACGTATAGAGAAGTTGAAAAAGACGTGCCAACCTCCAAGTAGTGTGATGCCAGCCCAACTTACAATAGACTCTTAGACGTGCAAGCTTTATTTTTTATGCTCGATGAGTCAATCTAACAACCTCAGCGTTGTATAAAATGATGAGCTCCAGGGCCAAGGTCCACCATATAATCTCTAGCTGGAGAATAGCATGCATTGCCTCAGCCACCCGGTTCTTTCTACTCCGTGCCTTGCTTCTCTTCCTTATCTACAGTGGGGCTAGCATATGTAAGCTCTGATACCTCGGAATATGACGAGACACAAAGTGTCAACCGAGTCTTATAAGTCGTGAGGCATAAAGTGCAAGTAGTTGTTGACTGGTAGTTGCACCGAGCTCTATCAGCACAAAATATCATGGTCCGATCATCATCACGACTCAATCAATAAGTTTCAATCCATGAGAAACATCATTCCTACATGGTAAGGTAGCCTCTAAAACTAGTGGTCCGCGTCACGATGGCCGGATCATCAAGCAGCAAAACTATTCAATTCTCGCAGCCTTATGCCAGGTTCCAAACGACGTTTCAACACTTTACCCTCGAAAACAATCAACTAGAGTTCACTGCTGTCGAAATTGTGGATTGTCGGCTAGGCGCTTAAAATTCCCGAGCCACCTACCGCTATTTGCAAGGATGAGCACGGCATACAGATTGGCCATGGCGCAAGCCTGAAGCTCAAGCATTGGCGATCGCCATAACGTGGGGGAAACAGAGGCAATGGGCTCGAGGCCCCATAGCTTTGCCGACGATCCTATATCTAAGCCTCTATCCTATATCTAAACGGAAGAGAAAAGAGAGAATTGCACTCATCAATCAACTTCTGTGGCTCAACTGCATGAGCTCTACCGTATCAGCGCGGAACCGGCAGCACATTTATTCAGTGCAGCCCGCCCAACTGGACGATCAGAATGTATACCAGGCTGCGACAGGCGATTGTTGCGTCGTCATGGGTGTTTTCAGCCATTCTCCTGGCCGATGCGGCTCCCGACCGCCCGAACATCGTCTTCATCTTGACAGATGACCAGGACAACCATATGGGAACCCTGGATCATATGCAGTCGCTGCAGAAGCATTTGGTCCATCAAGGCACCACGTTTGAGAGACATTATTGCTCCAGTAAGTATTACCACTTTCTCTTTTTCTATTTATTTAAAAAGACTTATAAAGAAATGGGGTTTCCAAGAAGCTGATATTTCTTTCTACTTCTAGCGGCTATATGCTGTCCATCCAGGGTCAGTCTGTGGACCGGACAGCTTGCTCACAACACCAACGTAACAAACGTGAATCCTCCGTGGGGTATGTTCCCTTGATCACATATACACAGGACAAAGAGTCAAGATTCTGACTTATACACAAAAGGAGGTTATCCCAAATTCGTCCAGAATGGATACAATGACCACCACCTTGCCCTCTGGCTTCAACAGTCAGGCTACAACACCTACTACGTAGGAAAGCTCTTCAACGCCCACACCGTCTATAACTACGACTCGCCTCCAGTCAGCGGCTATACTCAGTCCAACTTCTTTCTTGACCCTTTTACCTACCAGTACTACAATGTCAGCACCACCAAGAACGGAGCGCCTCCAATCAACCCCGTCGGTAAGTATTCCACCGATATCGTGGCCGAGAGCGCCGAGGAGTTCCTCAATCATGCTCTCCAAGACGACAAATCTCCCTTCTTCATAACTCTTGCGCCAATCGCACCCCATGCCCTCGTGGGCGAGGGCTCAACAGGAGCCTTTGATCCTCCGCAGGTTGCAGAGCGGCACGAGGGCCTCTTCCCCGAATACAAGATCCCCCGGACGCCAAACTTCAACCCGGATTCTCCCAGTGGCGTTGGCTGGATCTCAAAACTCCCAAAATTCAACGATAGCGTTGTTGATTATGGCGATGAATATCAGAGGCTGCGTCTCCGGTCGCTGCAGGCGGTAGATGAGATTATTGAGTCCGTCGTCACTCGTCTCGACGAAGCCGGCGTGCTCGACAACACCTTCATCTTCTACACTTCGGACAATGGCTACCACATTGGCCAGCATCGGCTTCATCCTGGCAAGACGTGCGGCTTCGAGACCGACATCAACGTGCCTCTCGTCGTCCGTGGGCCTGGCGTTGCCGCGCAGCGAATCACCCGCGCTCCCTCTTCACACACGGATCTCGCTCCTACGATATTGAAAATCGCCGGCGTTGATATCGACGACAAGAAATTCGATGGGTCGCCTATTGACATTTATGATGCTGCGGCTGAGCCTCGCTCCGAACATGTCGCCGTTGAGTTTTGGGGCTTTGGGCTCGCCGAGAGCATCTTTGGGAGAGAGAATGGCGTGCCTCTTTATGCCAATAATACGTACAAGGGACTTCGCGTTGAAGCAGAGGACTATGGATTCTATTACTCCGTCTGGTGCAGTAATGAAAAGGAGCTCTATGACATGAAGGTCAGCCAGCTATATTCCAAGTACTAAGAGCGAGCCTTTTGCTTTTGCTGACTTCAAGGTTCCATAGACCGATCCAGGACAGATAAATAATCTTCTCTCGCCCAAGAACGCGCAGCCCGGCACCATCACTCTCGTCATCAACAGCCAACAGCAAGAATGGCCTCTTGATCGAGTGGTCGACCGCCTGGACGCTCTCATGATGGTTCTCAAATCCTGCAAGCAGCATTCCTGCACTCACCCCTGGGAGAGCCTTCACCCATCGGGCAACGTGAGCAATCTCCTCGACGCGCTTTCATCCGCCTATGATGATTTCTACAGGGAACAAGTAAAGGTGAGTTTCACTCAATGTGAAGGTGGATATATTGTCGAATCAGAAGGGCCGCAGGACTACCGTGCCTTTGAAACTACAGGAGAGTTTGGCGATGGTAGCATTTACGATGTACCAGGGCAGCAAGTTTTAGTCAACCCTGACTGGAGCCTGTGGGAGTAGATTCCAAGTTGAAACCGGTAATGCATAAACAGTGCATCTCGTGAAAAAATAAGAAAGCAACATTATCACAATTGCCACGCTCATTATATGTAGCTTCTGTTCTAAAAGATACCAATAATACTACGCCATTCACGCTCCGCCCCAACAACGCACATATTCGAAATCTTCTTAGCAGCAAAAGCAACATTACACCTTTCCATAATCTCCAGGGAATCCATTCAATCCATCATTCTTGACAGTCTTCAATTTGCTCACATCCACCCCATGCAGCACCCGTGCGTTGACACCCCTCGCCTGATGTCGTGATTTATACATCTTCGCCAGGACTTCTGGTAGTGCAGCAATATGCTCGTCGGTACAGTCTTTGAAGTTGTTCGTCATGCCGACGCCGCAAATCCTGCAAAACGTCTTGTATAGAATGTGCGTTCCGAATTCGTATTTGCCAATGTTGGCCTCGTCTCCGGATAAGATGATATTTGGGACGGGGCGGTATATCCAGAGGGCGCCAATCTAAATAAGTGGCCAAAGTTAGAAAACAACGTTTGGTTCTCTGGATGAAAAAAGTACGGATGAGAGTGGATGAATCTTGATAACTTACACGTTCGCAAATGCTACAGTTGCATTCTATGACTCCTTCGAGGGTCTCATCAATTGGTTTGCTCGGCGCAGCTACTGTGAGCGCTCCACAATGGCAACTGCCTGTGTACACAAGCTCTCCTTCTGCGGCCTTGGGGAGCTCTCCTTTATGAGCTGGGTCCTGATGGGGTTCTCCCTTGGAAGCACCTTCGTATCTGCAAACATCATATCAGGGCTCCATGTCTTTAAAAGAAGAGGGGAAAGGGTGTTGCCTTACGGGACTCTCTTCAGATCCCAGGTGTTGAGCCCTTGAATAGCATGTGCCTATGGAAATCATGTTAACAAAAATATTCTCTCACATCCCTCATTGTAAAAGGTCGTGCGTCGCTTACATTGATATAGGATGGCTGCAGAGCATGTTGTGGGTCTGCCTCCTCATCCTTCCACCAAGATGCCGCCACACCAGTAAAACATTTGGGGCAGAACTATGATTCACGGAATGAGTTAGAAAAAAGAGTATCTTCAAATCTGCGTGTGTGCTTCAATGCTCTCTCTTCTTACCAAATGCTTCAGTTTCTTTTCGCCAAACGTATACGCCGTCAGCTGGTCTAAGCTGCCCTTGACAATATTCACGTTGCTTTTCCCGTCAAGCCAAAGATAGCCCTTTCTCACGCAGATGCTGCATTCGCAGTTGTATGCGTCCTTGATTTCGGGCACCTTGATCTCAAACACAAAGTCGCCGCAATGGCAGTTTCCTCTGTATGTGATGGTCTCGGCTTCAGTCATATTGACGTTTGGAGTTTATATTTTGGCGCAATACGTATAGTGTTTAGCGCACTTGGTGAATGCGAGGTGAAGAGTGAGAAAAACAGAGGAAGCTGAATAATGAAGGCTATTCCAAGTTGTTGGTAGAAAAGGACGAGTTCGGAACAAAATGTCTCATGAAACCCTGCATCTTTTATACATGCGATGTTCCGAGGTATACGTATCCTATTCGGTATCAGGCAGTCGCCGAAGTGCGAATTAAGTTGCAGAATGCTAGCCTCAGGCCGAGGATCGTCGCAGTTGCTCAGTTCTTACAACTCGCAGTTATTTTGGTAGTAACACGCACTACCCCGCCTGGGCATCGGTCATAACCATTGGTTTATTGTTGAGCGGAGCCGCTTCTATGCCGTATCTATTTATTTCTTCTGTAATTGGATAATGGTGTTACATTCGTCTAGAGCCACGCTCCGAGCCAGCGAAACGCAATTGGACTGGATGAGGCTCATGGCTCGTCGCAATCCATATACAGCTTACCTACAGAGATTGGATTTGATGGTTTTGCAAGTTGTCAACAAACACTTAGACAGCTGTGAGGGGCTACGCAGCTGTATAGGTTGAGCCCTCAACAGTTGTGAGCGACAAGGGACGGCTAAACTAGGAGCTGGAGTTGTCATATTTCATTAAGACAACTCGCTAAGAGAGCCAGCCGAATAGCCCAACAACTTCCCATCAATTTACTCGCACATCTCCACTCGGACATCATCTCTCATCAGGTAAAATCATTATCATCATTAAGGTCTGCTGCGCCCTTCAGGTGCTCAGGCTTTGCACCCATTCTTTATTCTAGTATCTCCGTGCCCCGTTGTCTGCATTTGTTGCATCTGTCTGTGCTTGTGCGTTGAGTTGAATGGCTTCTTTCAGCTTCGCAATTACTTCAGGTTGGTTGCTGAACGCTGTTTGGAGTATGTTTTCAAGATCAGCCTCCACCTTGGCTATTGGCTTCACTCCTACTTTTCTGTTTTGCGAGTCATTGATGAGGGAAGCCCATCGTTTTGTGAATGCGTAAATAGACTGGCGTAGAAGCTCGTCGAGCTGCTCACTCATGTCTTCTACCGTAAGCGTCTTGGCTGTGACCGAAGGCGCACCTCGAGACCAGAGATTGCCACTGATGACGCTTCCGAAAAATCCTACCCAGTTTTGGGGACTCAGAGTATCCCAAATTTGCCCAAAATGCTGCATGGCTGGAGGTTGACTCCGTATGTCACCAATCTCAAGTGATACCAGCTCATTCTTGATAATGAGTAAATTCTTAACCATGAAGAGATCTGAATCAGTATCAGTTTTAATTGACTTGATCCTAGCTTCGGCCCGCTGAAGAATCTGAATTGTCTCTCGCACAATTTTGAACACTACGGGACTGTTCTTGGCCTGTGTAACATCACGTTAGCATACTTAATGATGGATAATGCCTATAAAAAGACAGGATTGAATGGTATGGAGCAGCATAGACTTACAGATCGTTCTTTAGGCATTGCTCGATCAAACATGGCAAGAAGTTCCATCGCTCGTTTCACCAAGGGATATGCATTTGAAGACGCTACTCCATCTATAACAGGGCTGATCTTCAAAGAGCCATCCTGAGTTGGTGCCTTTGTAATCGATTTCACGATTTCTACTTCAAACAAGTTGTCTGTAAATGGCCACAGGTGATCTGCGAGCAACCTGGCGGCGTATTCCCGATACTTTCTGAAAGATGGAGATTCATCCTCATCCAAGTCAGCCACGGCGTATTCATTAGCCAGCCAGCCAACTATACTGCACGTTTCTGTGAGTTGAGCGTTCTGGAAGACGGCCTGCAAGTTCGTCGCTAGTGGTACGATATTTCCAGGATGAACCATTGTGGTGTTGACCAGCTTGACAGCTTGGAAAGCCGAATCCGGAAGAGGGCTCCATGCGAGTTCGATGTTGAAAATTTTAGTGAAAAGAACGTCTTCGCTATACATTCGCTCGAACAACTGTTTGATGAAATTTCTGGAAGCTGTCTCGACCGATAAACTCTTAACCTCTTTCTGGTATTCGTTCAAATCATGTTGCGCCATTATTTTCAAATCGCGATCGCGGGTGGTGAAATATGTCCGGAAAATGGTATTGACAGCACTGACGTACGTCGCAGAAGTTGCCGAGGTTTCAACCGGCTGTCCATATGCATGGTAGGCCGATCGAACTATTCTCCGGGTATTTGGCAGTAGAGAATAAGAATCTGCCATCATCTCTTCGAATCTTCCGTAAGCTAAAGCGTGGCGAGCAGACTCTGATTTTGTAGCTGCAATTTGTCGAGCAATATCACTGGAGACCTTCTCCAAAGAGCTATTGAAACCATGGTCAAGAAGGTGCAAGGCTTTGGTAAGCAAGGCGCTGTATCGTGCTAGATATGAGTCGCGTTCTCGGTAACTCTCCTATTACATATTAGTATGGAGCGCATAGAATCTCGAGAATTGGCCAACTGACATGAGTAGTCATGAACTTGATGCAAGAATCAATGTTCTTCACCATCTCACTAAAATCGTCATCCTCTATTAAGCGGCCGGCACCGGGAGCGTTCAGACGCCTTGTGGCTTTCTCTAGATAGGCGTAGTAGTAGAGATCTGTTCCGACCTCATCGGCAAGCTTCTCCAGCCGCCGCTGTTCCGTCAGGAGCTCTTCACACTGAGCCTGGAAAGTCGAGGTCTGAGCCTCAACAGACAGAAATGATTGCGACAAAGTGGTCAATAGCTTCAAAGTATCGTTGGCATTGTCGACTAAGCCTTCAAGGTGGCGCTCGGTCATCTTCAATTGGTCGCGATACAGCCTAGTTTGATTAGCCCAGCTCGGATGGCATATCGTCTGCAATCTTACAGATATTCCTGCTGACTATCTTCCAACAATAGGCTGTCCAGAGACTTTGAAGACACCTCTTCCCTCTGGTAATAGTGAGAAGATGCAGACTCTTCGTTGAAAAGCGTCAATGCCTCCCAGTTCCTGCTCTTCCTGTCAACCTTCCGCCGCAGCCTGCGAGGGGCATCTTTGAAGAGCTCCGCCCTGACAACATGGTAGAAATCGGAGTATGAAGCAGCTCGTCGGAGCAGCGTGGGTTCGGGAGGGTCGTTTGTGTGCTCTGCTTCTTCTAGAACGTCTTCGAGGATCTCGGCAATGTTGTTGACCTCCTATAACATGGTAAGCTACCCGCCGTATGCAAAGCAGTTGGGCGACGGTGACACGCACGTTGGGCTGCTGTAGCAGCGATTCCTTGCGCTGGTGCCCGCGAGGCCTGCCATTGGACGTCTCGTTTCTGTTGTTGCTGCTGCTGCTAAGCTCCGGCACGAAGCTGTACCAGCCGTCCTCGTACATGGTGGCCCAGAGCGCGAAGCAGGAGTGCGAGTTACTGAAGCACAGCTAACTTAAAAGCCACGCGTGTGCCATTGGCAAGGTCCAGGCGGGGCGACTTGCTCCGGTCGCCGATAGTGGCTCGATAAGGCGCCCAGCCAATTGGCGGCCAGCGAAATGGATTGACATCATGGAGCTTCGGCACGGGAGCCCCAGTGCAGGGATATGAGAACTCGGCACGCACTAGGCCTCTAGCTGGAGATGGAAGCTTTTGCATGATCTCACATCCTGCGACTTCACCGGCTGTAGCTGCGAGCATATACGCGGGTCAAGTCAGACCAAGAGCGGGGCCGCCAGAAGTGTTTCGGTAGGCTCTGGAGCAACTACAGCAGCTCTTTGATGAGGAGCTTGACGTACAATCATGAGCACCTCGCATGTTGCCCTTCGCCGGGCGTCTCGCATTGGCCTCTCGGCTCGACCACGCCTTGGTGGGAGCCAGCGCCAATGGGTTCGCCGTATCAACGACTCTGCAGAGGTGAGGCCAAAGAGACGGGGAGGTAAAGCAGTGGGGTTTGCAGCCGTCTTCGCTGTCGCCGCAGCAGGCGCATTCTGGTATCCTAGGCTCCGAGCTCAGTTCAGTACAGCAGCTCCCGAAGAAGGAAAAGAGATTGGGTATCAAAAGGCCGAGCTGGAGTTTGAGAAGGCCCGCAAGCATGGCGTGTCAAAGGAAGACAACCGCGAACTCATTAGCTCTCAGCACCTGCAAGTAAAGAACAGCTGGGAGCACCCCGGAGTATATGCATGGGGCTCCAACGTCGGCAAGGTCATTGACCCTGTCTCAAATGAGAAAAACATCAAGCTTCCGCGCAGGATATCATATTTTGATCATCAGCTTCTCCGTGACCTGAAGCTCACTGAGAATTTTGGCGCGGCTATTAATGAAAAGGGAGATCTTATCCAATGGGGCTTGGGGTTCAACAAGGCAGATGCAACACCGGTTGTGACCTTGAAGGGCAAGGATCTTGCCAAGATTGAGGTATCAGATGATCGGATTATTGCGCTGTCTCGAGGCGGCTCAGTATATGCCATCCCCGCCTCGCGTGGTGATCAGGAGGGTGGCAAAAAGCTAGAGCAACAAAAGAGCTCATGGTCTTTGTGGTCCTCGTCTGGCAAAGAGGCCATCAGCTTCCAGAACCTGACGCCGGCGGGCCTCGGCTGGGGCGAGCATGTTGCTGATATCAGTAGCGGCCTTGAGCATTGCCTGATGCTCACATCAAGCGGGCGAGTTTTCTCCTCAGCCTCGAGCGCCTCAAACTTCCCATCGAAAGGGCAGATGGGCATTCCGGGTCTCACCTGGGAGACACGCCCTAAGGGACGTTATGACCAACCACATGAGATTGCCTTGCTCAAGGGATTTGATGTCAAACAGATCGCAACGGGCGATTATCACTCGGCCGTTCTAGACAAGCTCGGCCGGATCTTCACGTTTGGCGACAATACTTTTGGCCAGCTTGGCTTTGAAACCCAGATTGGCAATCCATTCATCTCTACTCCTACAATCTTACCAATCCATAAGCTTTATGGAAGCAGTGCACTAGTGTCTACTGCCTCCTCAATAGCTGCCGGTGGAGTCAATACTTTCTTCACTTGTGAGGCGAACATGCCGAGTACTCCCAACAGCGAGGCTGGCACTCCGGCCCCTTCTCAGAGATTGCCTCACAGCACATATGACCTTTGGGCCGCAGGGCAGGGTACTTGTGGTTCACTAGGCACCGGAAGGTGGACTCACGTCTCTGTCGGGCCGACCAAGGTCAAGTCTCTCTCCGGGCTCTCTGAGTTTGACGAGAGAAAGAACCAGCTGATGCCCATCAAGATCAAAACCCTAAGCATCGGCACAACTCACTGCTCTGCGGTCATGGACAATGTGACACAGACATCTGTCTCAAACCGCTCTTCCGAGAATGAGACCTATTGGGGCTCTGACGTGGTCTTTTGGGGAGGCAACGAGCACTATCAGCTAGGAACAGGCAAACGAAACAACTTGAATACGCCAACTTATATTGGGCCGTTGGACGGAGGTGAAGGAGACGCCGCTCACGGCCGGCAAGGCGAAGTGCACAGACTATGTCTGACACCCAGGCAAACCGCTCGGCTTGGAGAGGGCGGTAAGGGCCGCAAGGCGACGCTGGAGCAAAAGGTTGAATGTGGTAAGTTTGTCACAGGTGTCTACTCCGCCGTATAGCGGTTATCGGGAAACCTGGGGAGGACGGGAATTTATGGGGTGATGGGAAAGGGCTGCAAAAGGCAGCCATGAGCAACAACAGGCTAGGACTCAGCTGGTGCGAGATGCCAGCTGCACCTCCTCGCATCCATCCAGCATCCCTGGGTATGTCGAGTTGGTGTGTCACATGTCTGACATCGCCGCATGGCCTTTTACTGATGGTGTGGATGGGCCAAAAAAAAGCGGCGATGCAAACACAGACGCAAAAAAGAGCGGAAAGAAAAAGGGAGTTGAGGGGAAAAAGGAAAAAGGAAAAACACTCCTGACTCTGCTGTACGACCACAAAATATGCATGTACGATATTGGGATCTCGATAGGTAGTTTATTTTATACAACCACGCATAACCATCCATGCTGCGATGCAGCTGACGGGCAAATGAGAGGCCCGGGGGCAGGGCCTCAGCACTGGTGACGCGCCGCAGCGGATGAAGCGAATCAGACGACCGGCAGCAGCAGCAACGGATCATACGGAGCTGCTGCTGGGCTTCCTAGCGGCGGATGCGCATGCAGGTACTCCTCGGCCAGCCTGTGTGACGAGATTTGTGAAGAAACGCCATTTGATGCGGCCAGCGGCGACTCCACCGGCTGCGCGCTGGCGGGACGCACTATTGGCGGCACCGCGCGCTGCATGCACGGATTGCTGCATGCAATATAGCGAATCTCCATTATTCGTGCAGGGGGGCAGCGCCGATGGAACTGCTGAAGGATGCATGGCGCTGGTGTGCTGCTGTGTCTTGTTGTGATGCTCGGGTGGTGTGAAATGTCGCTATGCTATATATGATAGAAGCCGTGTGCAGCATCGCTTAAAGGCAAATGCAAATCCTGCAGCGGCCCTCACCCGTCTGCGTTGCCTCACTTGGTATAAAACGCTGCCTGTGCATATCGACTTCAGCAGCTTCATTCTCGCCCTCGCACCCTGGCCTTCCCCCTCCGCTGTCAGCATCTTGCTTCATCTCATCTCATATCAGACTCCACGCGCGCGCCGCTAGGGCCACGTACTCGAGACCTCGCCTTTGCGCTTAGCCACGCCTTACACGCTGTACCCGGTACCAAGCCCTGTCGCTGGACTCGGATAGACTGCCGCTTCCTTTCCTCTCCTCCGCTGCCTTTTTTTCTCCTCTTCTTCTTTATCCTCGCGTCTTCTTCTTTCCAAACCTGCCGAGGGATCTTTTTTTCTTCTTTTCTTCTTCTTCATTCCCCTCTTTCTTCTTTAATTTCGAAACGCTCCTTCGCAGAAACTTTTTCACTTTTTTTCCCTCCTTCTTTGTCTCGGAATCACGGCATTCATAACGGTTTTCTCTACACACCACCACAGCCAACTCTCCATCGACCAAACACCGCGGCGACGGCGACAACAAAAGTAGCAGCGATAGCCAACCTAGTCATTCTCCTCGCCAGGGCTGTCAAGCGAGCAGCCTCCAAAGCGACCAAGATTTCTCCCCTCAGCGCCATGGATAAGATCCCCAAGTTTCGCCGGAAGCCCAAACCTCCGGTCATCGAGACGTCCATCGACCGCAGGGCCAGCATCGCCACCGAGAATGTGAGCGCAACCGAGTCGCCGAGAGCCCATCACAAGATGTCTGCGTTCAAGAGCCTGCGACTGCGTGGCCCGTCGAAGCGCGCGAGAGACAGCCCGCCCTCCGAACTCACTCCAACGACGCCGTCAGCCGTCGTGGTGGCTCAAGATGGCATCCAGTCGCCGCCAAGGCTCGCCCGGCCAGCATCTCAGCCCGCGCAACACAAATCGCCGCCTGTGCAGGATCGCCGGAGGAGCGTCAACCAGCTGCCGCCCGCTCTGCCGCTATTTTTGTCGCTGTCGCAGCAAGGTGCGTCATATCTGCATGCTTGAATGCATATGCACGTCATATTCACTGGCGCTGCAAGCAACTTACTCAAACGCCCCGCTAACAACACGCGCGCTACCGCAGATATCGACATCAAGTTCCAGGAACTCACCTGGGCCGAGCGAGTTCGCGTTTCGCAGGGCATGCGAGACGACGGCCAGGCAGATCCACGATGGACGCTTTATAGACACGTCGACACGCACGAAAAGATGGACCGATACGTTAACATCAAACCCTGGGCTTACAACCGTGTCAGGCTCCGTGTCCCGGAAGGCGAGGTCGACTATGTCAATGCCTCTACCATTACTCTTTCGTCCCCGTCCGACCCGAGCAAACCACCGCTGCGTTACATCGCCATGCAGGGCCCTACCATTCCCTCAATCGACCATGTTTGGCGCATGATTGCCGAACAGATCCCTTCTCACGCAGTCATTGTTCAGCTGACGAATATGGTTGAGCTTGATGTAATCAAGTGTGACCAGTATTTTCCTATGGGAGAAGAGATTCCCACCGGTGGACGAGATATCGTCTGGGGGATCAACGATTACAACAATGTATGGGGCGACAACTGGAGGGCAGACCTTACCTTTGTGTCCGTGGAGCAGCTTGCTAGAGGTGCCATTGAGAGGCGTAAGTTGCTTTTGCACGTCCATGGCGAAAAAGAACCACGTGTCGTCTGGCACTTCCTCTACAAGCGCTGGCCTGATTTTGGCGTCCCGACTGCAGAGGATCTGGATGGCTTTCTAGAACTAATGAAGCTGTCCCGCCAACACAGCACACCGTCTGCGCCTCGCATCATCCACTGCAGCGCTGGAGTCGGTCGTACAGGTACCTTCATCGCTCTCGAGCACTTGATGAGAGAGCTCGATTCTGGCGTTCTGGCGAGATATGATATGCCCTCGGAGCGTTCCGACCTTGTCTATGATGTGGTTGATATCCTTCGCCAGCAGCGCCGTGGCATGGTCCAAGGCGAACTTCAATATCGCTTCATCTACCAAGTTATGCTTAGGCTCTGGCAAGAGAGGTACGGCATCGTGGACGAGAGGGCCGGCAGCCGTGAACCAGCAGCTAAGAGACTCGAGGTTGCGAGCCCCTTTGCGGGCAACGGTCGGCCTGGGACAAACTAGCGATTCAACCGCGGCAGATCGGCTTCAGACTTTACGGCAGCGATTCTGAAAAGCGAGAGCTCAGTGCCAGACACTGACGAGTGATCTGGGGCTGTTCTCTTACGTTTTGTGTTTTGAGCCGTCTTTTTACACCTTACCATCTCGATTTTCTTACTTCAGTATTATTACACTGGAATACTTTGTCCGGCGCGGCCTGAAAACGAATTATTAATGTCAACTTCTTTTTTTTTCAACCTTTTTGGGATCATTAGCGCTTGTCGGTATTTATTTATTTATCCATTCATTTATTCTTTTGGATACTTTTTTTTCTCCTTCCTTCGTTATGATCTGATGGCTTTGTCTACCGGTCATCCTGCTCTTTCATGAGTGGGGGTTTTTTTTTTCCTTCTTCTTCTACATCAAGATCATTTGCATCATGGAAAATTCTCCATCACGAACTCTTATAGAAGGATTGCAGACGGACGTATCGCGAGGGGCTATGAAGCAACACGGACCCCGAAGTTGGCATTGTTTTACTGAAGGGTGCTGAACGAACAATACACCCTATTGTTTTCTCTTACTACTATTTTTCCTTCTTTTTCTTTCTTTTTTTCATATCAAAGCGATGAAATGGTATTACTACATGGAGCGCACTAGAGATTATATGTACATAAAAAACAGCGATTGAAAATTTGAAAATCTGCAGGATTAGAGCAGATAAAGGAAAACAGAGTGGATATCCTTCCAAAATTGAAGTCAAATTCCACACTCTTGTGATTTTTCTCATTCATCTGGTATATATAATATATATCTCGTTAAAACATACTCTTTTTTTATTCAACAGCGCAATATACAAAATCAATCTTGACCTCCACCAGGTATTATCTTTTTATGATCCCTTCGTGTGCAGCACACTTACTACCTGAGTATTATATCCGTATTAAGACCAAAGGGAAAAAACAACAAAATAGACAAACAGAAAACAAACAAAATATTCCACAAATAGATTAAGAAAAAAAAATGAGCAGTCGTAAGACGTAAGACAAATAAAGTCATGTCTAGTTAAGCAAAGTCGTAGGGCGAGAAATGCCACAACATTCTGCATACGCCTCTTTTTCACTCCCCTCTCAGGCAGCGACCGTGACAAAGACAGTCTCAGTCTCCTTCTCCTTCTGCGTGACCGTGACGGTGAAGAAGACGGACACGGTGGGAGTCCCATTGACAGTCTCTGTAGTGCGAGGGTTGGTATCGCTGCTGGTGGGGACGGCTTGAATCGTCGGAGCAGCGTCGTCGGGGATGGGGATGAGGACGAGGCTTGTTGGGTTGGGCAGGAGGATAGGCGTATGTGAGGGGGCTGAGGGGGGAGTGATTATGTCGGGAATGGGGATGGGGATGGGAGGGGTGGCGATGACGGTTTGGAGGGTGGTTGGTGAAGGTGAAGGCGCGGGTACGGGTACGGGAGTAGTTGGCTGAGGCGACTTTACTGCGGGAGGAGAGTCTGCCGCTGGGGGAGGCGAGGGGACCGCTGCTGTGGTGGAAGATGAGGGAGGAGCGGCAGTGGTTGAAGGAGGCGGAACGGCAGTCTTTGTTGAAGACGAGGGAGCAGCAACTTCGGCTGGAGATGAGGGAGCAGCTGGCGCTGTAGTTGAAGACGAGGGAGCTGCCGGAACTACAGTCGATTGAGCAGGTGAAGTAGCTGATGTGGTATTGAGAGGCAAAGGCGGCAGATCGCTGACGATTATTACGGTAGTAATAGTCACAGGCGAAGGGCTAGCCGGAGCACTCGTTTCAAAGGCAGCCGACGTCGTGACCGGTGCTGAAGACGACGTTGAAGAAGCTGATGTCGAGGCTGGCGACGTCGGAGCCGACGAGCTGCCTTGAGATCCTCCCGTGGTACCGAGAATGCTTTCCGCATCAGTTGTATCATGGCATCCAACCACCACACCCGCAACGTTATCCATCGGCAAGGCAAAGCACTTTTGCTGAGAAGGACATTTCTCGAGCGAGTATGTACCGTCCGAGCCGCACCTGGCCAACTGGCCGTCAATACAAGCAACTGCGTTTCCAGTACAAGTAGACTGAGGAGTCAAGTCTTCAAAGACGTTGTTGTACTGTTGAGCCTGGGCCAAGTTGCTTGCAAAGACTTGAGCTGGAACGGTGGAGGTTCCAGTAGGGAAAGAGTTGATTGCAGTAGGAATAGGAATGACGTTGCCGGGGAGCTTGGTAACCTGAACGGTAGCCGTAGCTCTTGTTGTGCGGAAAGTGGTTGAGGCGGATGAAGTTGGGGGCGGAGGCAAGGCCGGTGAGGATGAAGAGGCTGCGACAGCAGTTGTTGCAGGGCTCGTGGAGGATTCGAGAGACGAGGCCGGAGGAGATGGGAGGGTTTCAGACGTTGCTGAGCTGGCAGGCTGTGTAATCTCTGACGCTGAAGTCGGTACAACAACATCTGGCTCTGTGCTAGTCGCAGACGACGGTGAAGTAGGAGCCGGCAAGAGAGTAGAGGATGTAGAAGCTGGCAGTACCGCAACCTCAGTTGACGTCTTTGAGCTCGCAGGCCGCGCTTCATTGGAAGTACCAACGGCAATAGATGGGACTGATGTTGAGCTAGCAGCCGCATCACTGGTTGGAACTTTCGTTGTCGGCGCCTCGGTGGCAGAAGTGGTCTCAGCAGAAGCGGTAGTAGCTCCAGCCTCTGTTGCAGTCGAAGTTAAGCTGCTCACTCCACTAGTAGGCTTGGGTATTATTTTTGTAAGAATACGATGTGTGTTGGAACTGGCAGTGGTGGTACTAGGCTCGGTCTGCGAGGCCGAAGCACTCTCTGCAGTGGTAGGCTCCGTTTGCGAGGCTGGAGCACTCTCTAGAGTAGAAGAACTAGATGCGACTGTTGTACTGCCAGTATTTGAGCTCAGCGGCGTCTGACTAGTCTGACTAGAACTTGTGGCCTGAGCATCAGTCCCAGAACCTGAGGCGGTCGTCTGGCTTTCGGGAGCTGTAGTTGCAGATCCAGTAGTAGATACAGGCTCCGAAGTAGTGTGAGGCTCAGTAACAGCTGAAGAAGTGGCCTCTGTTGTGGAAACATTCGTCGTCGTTGATGTCGAGACAGAATCTGATGTGCTGCTCGTAGCTGTATCAACACTACTTGGAGAAGAAGCAGTTTTGTCGTCTCTCAATGGTAGAGTTGAAGATTCCGTAGCTTCCGTAGTCGACGTCTGAGGTTGTGGGCTTGTTGCAGAAGTGTTTGAAATGCCACTTTCAGTAGAACTAATACCAGAAGTTGAAGCGGTTGCTGGCGACGTTGAAGTGGCTGCCTCTGTTGACGAGCTCTCTCCAGCAGAAGTTGAGGTGCCTACCGCCGTAGTGCTGGCACTTGTAGCTGAAGTATCAGTTGTTGTAGAAGTGCCAGAAGCACTGTCAGAGACAGTTGAGGCAGCAGTCGTAGCAGTCGTAGCAGAAGTATCAGTAGCACTGCTGGATGTGGCTGTAGCAGAACCGCCAGAAGAAGTTGAGGCAGTAACCGCAGCAGAAGTGTCGACAGCACTACTGGATGTAGCTGTAACAGCGGATGAAGAAGTGTCAACAACGCCGCTCGATGTGGTTGGAACAACAGTTGAAGAGGTATTGACAACGCTGCTTGATGTGACAACGCTGCTTGATGTGACAACACTGCTTGATGTGACAACACTGCTTGATGTGACAACACTGCTTGATGTGGCTGGGGCAGCTACTGTAGTGCTGGTGGTATCGCCGGCACTACTAGATGTACTTGGAGCAGCAACTGTACTGGAGCTTTCCACAGCACTGTTAGATGTGGCAGCAGGGACAGCAACTGTACTGGAAGTATCTCCGGCCCTGCTAGAGGTAGCAGCAGGGACAGCAGCCGTACTAGAGGTATCGACGACGCTGCTAGACGTCTCCGGAGCAGCACCGGAGACAATACTTGATCCTCCTTGCTCGGCATTTGTTGTGGCCACAATGGGTATCACAGATAACTGCTCAACCGAAGTGGTGGCTAGGGTTTGGCTCTGAGTAGGGGTACTGGAAACGAGCGAGTCGGGGATATTGGCTGTTGAGTCCGTCAAAGTTTGAAAGACCGGTCGAGGAGCCGAGGCCGTGGGCACCGCAGGCTCGGCAGAAGTCCTATTTTCAAGTTAGATTTCAATTCCTCGTCTTTCTGCAGCTGTGAAGTAACGTACTCTGGCCCTGGTGGGATTGCAGATGACTCGGGTATAGATGTTTCGGCTCGCACTACTTTGGGCCTGTTTATCACAGAGTGTGTCAGTATCGAAGAAGCAACCTCAAAAGATGCAAGGGCGGAAAGAAGAAGGATTCATACACCGGGCCCGCCTGTGCAAGCCGAGCAGCCAAGAGCAGGCTTAGAGCCGTGTTGAATAGCATATCGCAACGCATTCTGTGAGTTGTAGTCGTATAGAGAAGATGATCGCACAGCGATAGAAAGAGCAAGGGAATGAAAAAAAGAGTAGAGAAAATACAGTAATGGTAAAGATCGACAAAAAGGAAGTAAAAGTGTTTCACCAAAGAGGATGAACGAAATAAATAAGTAATTAGTGGTGAATGTTGGTCTGAAGATCCACGGGTAGCAAAGATGCGTGTTCAACACCACAAAGAGATTTGCTGCGTTTGGTGGGGCTTGCGATGGAATTTGGCGAAAGAAAGAAACCAACGTTGCTTGAACAAGCGGCCAAATGCGTAAACAGAAAAAAAAGAGAGACAAAAAGGAAAAGGAATGGGAATTATTAAGGTGAGATTGGTTTTTCTTGTCAAAACGAAATGCTCCAGTCCAGATTAGCTGTGAATAGCAAAGGAAAAAAGAGAGTTGCGTTTGTAACTCGGGCAAAAGCAGCAGCGTGTAAGTGAAAGGGATTGATCGACAGAAAGGAAAAGAAACAAGAAGAAAAGAAAAAGAATGGGAAAGCCGCAAAGAGAGACAAATGAGAGAGTGAGAGAGATAGGAAAAAAGGAAAAGGAAATCCAGATCAACCAGAGCACCGGAAACACACACGACAGACACGATATGCAACCTTAATATCTTGAGATCAGGAACCAAGAACAGCAACCATTGGGAAAGGATCGTCCTTTGCATTAAGTATGCCCCCCCCTTCGTCTCTACCAGCTAAGCCCCCTCCATCCATCCATCCATCGCAAACTCGATACGCGCTTGACTTTTGCTTGCTCGGCATACCAAGCCGTCGCCGCGACCGCCAAAACCAGGGTGTAAGGCAAGCCATCAGCGCACAGGTCGCTTCTCTTTTTTCTTTCTTCTTCTTGCCTCACCGGAAGCCTGCAGCCTCTCCATGCCCCTGCCAGGCCATCGTCTGAGAGTCTCCGGCTGCATCCGCGCGGTTGGCCGGCGCAAGGCCTGAAAAGTCGACGTGGTACTAGAGAGTTGCTCTGCGTGGTGCCTGGCTAATCTTGCCGTTGTTGCGCTGCAGCCGCTGTCTGGGCGGGCGAGGCGTGCTGGCCTATCAGCGTCGCCCCACCGCGGCCACCTGTGGCTCAGTAGCAAGGGCCTGAATAAGCGCCAGGCGTTTGCTTGATTGATTTGGAGGCATTCACAGCCTGGTTTTCCTTGTTTTGTTTTACGGTCGGATTCCGGTGGAATGGGGCTTGTGTATTGATTTGCTAATATTTATTATTTGCCTTTCTTGTTTTTTTATCGGATGTTGGTTCCGTGATGGTAACGTGATCGTGCATCTCAAAGCGTGAAGAATGCAATTGCGCTTTGTACTTCACTCATTCAAACAGCTAGCCCGGATGCAAACAGCTGCACCAACCAAAATACACACTCTCTCAACTCCATAAATATACAGTTGTTACCACGATATACTTCTCAGATTCAATCCAATTTTTTGCCATTTTATTTTAGAATTTGAAAACAAAAACGTTTCAAGTTTGTTCTCTACCACTTCGTACCACGGACCAGATTTAGTTCGCCCAATCGGAGGCTCTATCGATCCCTGCACCCACCCTGGGCGCCGATTTTAAGATGAGACAGATAGCCGCCGCTCGTCTCTTCAGGCCATCAGCCTCTCGAGTTCTTAGAATAGAAGCAGTGGAAATTCTATTGTAGTACCAAGTGGATTGCCATGCGTATTTATTTGCATCTACGCGCATGCATGTGTCAGCTCCAAACCCATTAGTTACAAAGCAGTTGATCACAATTGCTTTGTAGCAAGTAGCTGCGAGTAATAATCCAGTTTATATATTCTGTTCGTCAGATATTTCCATCCGGGCTGTATATACATATCATAGAGTCTTTGAAAGCCCGTTCCTTCTTTAAAAACGCCATCGCCTCATGCTTCATGTTCCAAATATTGTACAGATTCCTCGTCTCTTATGAAAGTCTGGCCGATAAATATTGCCATTCACCTTCCGGCCTCCGTCTCAGCATCTGCCCAGGATAAGCGCACCCGCTCTAATACGCGCGCCAGTATACTGATGGATTCATCCTCTTGCATTTGAGCGTAAGCTTCCACAGCCTCTTCGTCAGGCCACGACCAACTCAGTCCGGCCGTGCCAATGGCTTCGCGTAAGGACTCCACCTCTCCTCGTTCGAGCATCGGCTCGGCTAAGAGTCGAAAGGCGCATAGAGTTTCAACAAAGTCAGCATATGGCGGCGGTTCGTCCGCCTCAGACAGAGCTTGGACAATGCCGGGCTGCCCCCACTCCTCAATTAACCACCTCAGCAGCTTGGCCATTTGCTGAAACTCGCCCAGGTAAGCCAAGGAGAGCATGTATTCGTAAGCATGCTCGCTACGAGCCGGGTCCATTCGCCACATCATACCTTCCAATGGCTCCAGTTTCTTCGCGCCCAATAACTGCCGGGAATCTCTCTCGTACGAGAGAAGCTTGTCAAACAGCTCGTTCATTTGAAGAGCAGAAGAGCGCAAGGCACGGAACAAGTCCAAGGCTCCTGACTTGTCATCAAATGTGTCCCAGTGCATAGCATCCTTATGCCTAGACCTTTCATCATATAATGGCCACATGGCGTGGTTTTCTATCGTCAACGAGCCTGACTCCATTTCCGTAGAAAGCTGTTCAAGTTCGCGCTTGGCTATTTTCCGCATTGTCTTGCTGAATTGGACAAACTGGGGAAGCGTAATCCCAGAAGGTCCATCAAGTTTCTTCATGATATGAAGAGACAGCTTGAGTTGCTGATGAACAGCTATCCTCAAGCCGTAGTGGTGCTGTGATAGGTGTTTGAGAATTGTGCCCCAAATGAAGTCGGACAGTGGAGTTCGGTCGGTCCCTAGTCGTTGCTCTGCCAGTTCAATAGCTCGTATCATGTACTTCCTAGCTAGTTTACCCTCTTGCCGGATCATCACTTGAATACAGGCTGATATGAGACTTATGGGTACTTTCTTTAGAGCTTGTACATCCATCTCCTGAGACATTAGACGGTACAAGGCCCCAGTTCCGTCGCTATCATGTAGATATCTTCGCGCCATTTCCATCGATTCCGTGTTGGCCACCAGAATTTGAAGGCAGCTGCCTGTAGGACGGATACCATCGAGCTGCATCCTTTCATACAGTTGAGATATGCTTGGTGGGCGAATTCTGGCTTTTTCGAATTCAGTGAGATTGGCTTCCTGTGTAGTAGGGAAGTTCAGGGCCCGGTCCCCGGGCAGAGCTCTTGTATTTTCGTCTGCCTCTCTCTGCGTCAGCTTTTCAAACATTGCAGTATACTCCGCCAAGCCACGCTTGAGCCCAGCTTTGGGGGGGCTTTGGAATCTGTCCCATGCCTCGTGTGCATTACGCGTAGCTCTAATAGAGGCTTCCCACATCCCTATTTTTCGGCGCTTCCCTGGTAATATCCGTTGCTGGATTGTCGGTGTCCCGTCTGGAGACATGCCCTGAAGGATATCAACAGCGTCGTCATAGTCATTTTTCGCGAATCCGGCCTCTTGCATCAGCACTCCCGCTCGTACAGACCGACTCCAGTTGTCTTCAGGATCCATTTCTTCGTCCATGCCGTCTCCCGGTCGTAGATACGGGGGCCACGTAGACGCGTGCCTAACAGAACTATGAATCTCAACGTGATTCTTAGGCATGCCTGCTAATACTGTTCTAATGGCTCGAAATCCCTCCGCATCCACAAGCAGTTGTCGTTTCAATTTGGAGGACACGGCGAGAAGTATCCTCTGTGCTTCCCAAAAGAACGAATTAGGCAGTGCCTGCTGGACCGTACGCTTTCGGTGGTCTGAACCAAGTAGCTTGAGACCATAATTAAACACAGCGCATTGAGCTTGATAGATCTCTTCTTGTGGCAGGGATGATTCCGCTATGGCCTCGATATACCGGACGGCCAGATCTGCGAGTTTGATGATGAGCCTAGGGTCGAGCCGAATGCAATGGTGTGCTAGCAGGGACATGTTGAGGTTGAAATTCGCCGATCCAAACGCTCCCCTGGGTGGTATATAGAATTTGGATTTGGTCTTGTCTAGTCCATTGCTTGCCGCTGCTGGATACCAAGAGCTGCAATAATCAATCAGACGGTTGAGGTTCTCCAGGCTAGTAAATCGAGACGATGATCTTAGAAGGAAATGGAAAATGAAAGGCGGCTTGAAGGAATCGCGTTCAAGAAATCTTTCACATCGCACATCATCCGTTTTACCTTCGAGGATATACATGTAGTAGGCCAAGTCCTCATAAGAGTGGCCATTTCGCCGCGCAATACTCATTGCTCTCCCCCATTCGTGCACAGAGGGAAGTAGATCGACAAGATATTTCTGGTCGGGTTCTTGCGCCGCTGTTTTGCGAATGATCATCTGTAGCAAGAGGATTGGAGGCCGAACGCTTCGGCTCTCCGCGGCGAGTCTCTTCCAGTACAGAGCATGTTCGTTGGGCTCCAGTACTTTCTTTAAAAAGAGACTAGGTGACCTGTTGCGCCAGGCTTCGAGAGTACCAGAGTCGGGCTCAGCTTTGCGGCGGCGTCGTGGGCGCAGAGACTTGTTCAAGTGAGCGGGAGCGCCATGAGCTCTGTCGGGATCGGTAGGGTCGGTGGAGGTCTCTCTGGGCTGCTGTCGTCGGGTAGAAGGCTTTTTTGGGAGCCCATGTTGAGAATTGTAGTGGGTGTCGGAGTTATATGAGCGAGGTGCTGCGGCTCGTGAAACTTGTCGAGAAGATTGGGGTTCAAGAATGCGATCGTCTTGGTCAAATCTGGAAATCTTGCCAGTCGCGTGTCCTTCGGCGACGGCAGATTGCGATGAAGCGAACGTCCGGCGGCTGCATATTTGCAGCAGCGGTCGACAGGCCGTCTGTAAGAATGGCAGAACATTAGACCTCGGAGTCCAGCCCATTGAAATGCGAGGCAACCTACCAAAGATGGTTGGAACAGTTGGCACGGCACTGGCCGCCTTTGCTCCAACTTCCGTGTTGCATTTCTGAGCATTCCTCCTCATATCTCCAACATCTCCAACATGGTCAGCAAAGATCCGTCGAAAAAGCCTCTGTCGCGAGAATTGGGCCGTTGTTGGAGTAGCTCCATACGATCGCGAGTCTTTCCAAAAGTTCAAATTCCGCCTGCCATGCAACAATCGGGGCGTGCCCAAAAGTGGGTCCTTGGCTCCTCCTCCGTCTCCCGTAGTCCATACTCCAGACTGGTCCGATTAAATCCACATCATAATACTGTAGAACAGCTCCCAGAAAAAGGAAAAGAACTAAAGCCGCTTTTCTCGGTCATTTATGCGCAGTATGCATCCAAAAAATTCATGATTTCAAATAGTCTCCAATTATCGTTGTGGAAGATCAGAAAAACGCCCAATGCTTTTTACAGTATATCACACTTTGCGGATCGGAATATAACTCTTCGTGGCCAGCCAAAAATAGAAATCGAAACCCTTTCCAAGTGTCTACTACGCATCACTGTCCTTCGACTTCTTCTTCTCTGCCTCTTCTTCCACCTTTTCTTTCCTCTTTTGCACTACCTCCCAGTTGTAAACTCTAGCGGTAGCAACCTCCATGGTCTGAATTCCTCGTCAGTAGGCCAACGTCTGAGCGATCATCATAGTTACTTACAGTAATCTGTTCTCGGAGAAAGTCCAAGTCCTCTTCGCAGTTTGACAAGCTTGTCTTGGCCGCTGAAAGCTTCGAGGTTAACAATGTCTCGGCTTCATCAATCGGATAAGACAGCATAACGTTGGCCTATGGCACAGTCAGTTTGGCAAGTCAAATGACTCTAGTACTCCCATCATACCCCTAGCCAAATGTAAACCTCCTCTGTCGGCGGGATGTTCGCCTTGGCGTATAGAGTGTCGTTAAGCTCAAAGGTTGTTTCAATGGGATCAGTCGCGTCCTAGTTTCAAATATGAGTAACGTTTCATTGTCATTGCGCCATGTGGAAGCACCTTTCGTAGCTTTAAGAATTGCACCGTGTCCAGCGTCTTCTGAATATCCGGAATCTTGTCCTTTAGCCCCGTCATCCGACGTTGCAGGTTCAGCTCCATGAACTGATATTTCCTACCACGGGCTCATTAGCCCCTTTCCCATGGCAACGATCGAGATTGGCGTAGCTCACGATATCATTTCTTGGAAGCTTCGAAGTGTCGGCTCGACATCATCCCGTGTGGAGACGTAATCCTCGACTTTGTCGACAAAGGGAGCGTATGGGATGCCCCTTGGATTGGTCGGGGCATCATCTTTACCACTGCGCTCGGGGTAATTAGCACATCTTGTAGCTTGGACTGACAGTTAATGCTTGCGGTCGCGCTCACCTTACGACTGGCTGTTTTTCTGAGCTCGCCATTTTTCCTGTGCGTGCGTCTCTCGGCGCATGCAGTTAGGTGTTTTTGAGGCGACACTCTGGAGGATATGCCAGGCCTGACAATTCGCAGGAATAATAGTGGGTAGCTCACCTCGGTGAGGGGCAGATGGCGGGGTTCTTTTACAAGGATATGTTTTCAACTGCTGCAGGGTAAACGAGGAGTCTACCGAGACTTTTCTGTATTCTATGCCTGAAAAAACGTATGCTATGAGTAAATTAGTAAGATGAGTAAGCTCAAGTAAATGTTTGACATGCAAGATAAAAAAAGGATCAGCTGTTACGTTAATTTGTTGTTGTTAAAGTGTAATGACAAGGTGGTTGTGCTATCGGATACTCTAAGCTGAGGCTACAGGCACAACAATAAAAAAAGTCTATGGGTAAGCGTATGATTGGAGACAAAAATCAAGGTGAAGCTTGTTCACCGTGCACAAAGTCGTGATGAGACTTGGTAGAACATTTTAGTTTTTTATGTAGTATGATCTTGTAGATCTATTCGGAGAAACCGGCTGATGATAGAGGCCAATGTGACAAATACTCCTCCAGCTCTCACCCTCACCATTAATCATACTGCTCGCTAATGAACATTTGTATTTCATATCTTCGTGAAAAAAAAAAAAAAAAAAACGCAAGCTAATAATGAGATTTTTATCCTTCATTTTCGAAGAACAAACAGCCAAGTAACAAGAAGGCATAAGTCCTCCGCCCACCGCAATCTATACCATAATGCATTGACAACATGTCCCCATCAACACAAAAACGCCGGCAGTCTTCTTCTGCGATTGTATTTGTGCGGTCGACATGAAAATATCCCCAGGCCGGCCCTAAACTCCAGATACTAAGCCAAAATTTTAATCTGTACGTTTCTTGGCTTCCCGGCTATCAGCTACATCGGCCACATTGGCTGCTGTAGCTGCTGGAGGCGGCTCGGTTTCCAACGTGTTGTCGTCGTCCCAGTTATCCTCTGCATTCTCATCCCAATTGTCAACTTCCTCTTCGAGAGTCCTGCTCCGAGTTGGGGCGCTCAAGATTCCTGATTCCTGACCCTCACCGAGCTCTACGTCTTCGGCATCTTCGCCCGGAACAGCATCGTAATGCTTGCGCTGTCTTTTTCGCTCAAGCATTCGCTTATGGTACCATGCGCAAATCCCAACTCCAAGTAAACTGCCGACAATATTTGCTACGATATCATAGAGGTCGAAATCTCGATCGTTGGGGAGGAAGCTCTGCACGAATTCGGATCCAATGCCTAGGATGACGGTGCAGACGAGGAGTGTCATGTTCAAGGTTCGCCGGCGGCTGGTATCAACGATCCAGTAGAAGACGACCGTAAGAAGGAAGAAGGTTGCGAAATGGAGGACCTTGTCGTTGACATAGCTGCCGAGCTGCAGAGTGGAGAGACCGGCATAGCCAGCCAGCAGCAGCAACAGCAGGAAAATACCTTGAAACGAATATTAGCATCTCTCAGCCCAGCGCGCATGCATGCCGCCCAGAAACTAGCCCCCATGCAAGGGAATATAGTTGTGATGATGCTGTACGGCCGGAGCCAATGACGTACACACCTGCAAATGGTAGTCTTATCCGCATGGCTTAAGTGGACGAGTCAAGCAGGCTGCTCCTGAGATGGCAAAGGTCTGGACGGTATGGCGGCCTGGAGAGCAGCAAAGCTCTCTAGACCACAGAAGTGAATATGGCTTGAGGCTGAAGAATTTGCTTGCAATTGGCGTGGGGAGGTGTTGAATGCCTTGGCCTGGAAGAGTTGCGGCTACAGGTGGCGCAGGGCACACAGATACGTAATACCGACCAGCTGCGCGAGTGAGTTGGTGCTTAGTACCACCTACCTATGAGGAACAATTTGGCACGGTTCACCTTTCATTCACAACCAACGTCTCTGTCGTCTACGGAAGTCAAATAATGTGCGCAGATGAGGGGCATTGTTTGGGCTGTTCAATAGCTACATTTATGAATTGGAAATCATATTGTCATGCTTGATAACCATGAATAGGCATTGATGCGAGCTATTGAGCGAGATGCTAGCAGAGACAGCTTATCACGTGAGACGCTACCTCCAGCAGCGCAGAACGGAAAAAAGTCGCTGAATGCAGCGCAGTGCGTCCCTTGTAAAGGCTCATGCCTCTATCCGTCATCTGTACATGTACCACGGCGCAGGTCCATGCCTCCAATGACCAGCGCGGCCAGCGAGAAGCCTGCAGAACGCCCGTCAGAGCACGCCTTATCGATATTTCCATGCAGAATCGTCTCTTGCATTGCCCTGCTCCAGGTCGCCGGTAGACGCGCCCCATAGCCTGCCTGGTGCTGGTACCACCGCCGGCCCAGCCGCCGCCGACAGTGACCCAGTGCCCGTGGAAAAGTCTCCGCTTTGGGGAAGGGTTCCCCATACGTACAAGCCTCCCAAACCTCAACCTCACCTCTCGATCCGCAGACAAATCAGGCGATCGCGATCCATCAAAACTCGACCAGTTCATCTCTGTTCGTCGCAAAATCCGGGCCTCCATCTATATCGATGTCGCGCTTTTGTCCCATGCCGTCTTGAGTTTCTCATTCGCCTCCGGTCCGGCCACACGCGAGCGCATTTGTTGGCGCATGGCGAAAGGGGCCCTGCTGTCGCTTCCATCGCCCGGGGCCCAAAATGTCACTTCCCAACGGCCAGGCAGCCTGGCCGCCGCCTGGGCTGCATCACTCCGCCAGCAGCAGGAATTTGCAGATTCTTGATGATGGTTTGGCGCGTGTAACGACCCCAGTCGACAGTTCGCTGGTGTTGATGCCTGAGGCAACCCTTGATATCGAAGACGAAAGACGACGCGCCCATTTCGCAGACTTGTTCCAAAAATCGGAAGAAAAGATTGCTCTTCTCTTTGCCGATGATGGTTCTCATAATTTGAACGCGATCGAGGCTCTCCGACGATACCCCCCCACCCCTACTATTACCCTCCCCCCAACCACCGACCACGAACCTATCAAAGAACCGCCACTGAAGAAGGCGAAACGCACAATAAACGAAGATGATTATGATGATGACGAAGAAGATGAAGATGACGAAGATACTTCGTCCGCCGTACCCAAGCCTCAGAGCGCGGCCGCTGCCTCGAATGCGCTGTTATCGCCGAAATCGGGCAATTCTCCGGTGCTCTCGGCCACTTCCCCTGGCAGAATAGCAGATAAAGCGAGATCTCAGGATGGCTCACAGACCAAAAGCAAGCCTGGAGATGATGATCCGATTAAGCAGCTCGACGACGTGAGGATAGCAACAGAGGCCGCCGCCCGACGGAGCTTCCACACCATCATATATACTTTGGAGAATGACCGAACAGCAATGCTTGAGCAGCAGCAGCTGGAGGATTCAGAGAAGCAGCTCCAAGCTGAGATGGAGAACAACAACAATGCAAATGTGACGGGGTCGCAGGCTGCGAATCAGGGTTCTCTCAGTAGCGCGAATCTCGGAGCATCAAGTCTTACGCTCAAACACCTCATTGCCAGGATAGACATGAAGAGAGATCAAGTCAAGGCTTCAGATGCTGAGTTAAGGCTTCTTATGAACGAAGTCCGAAAGAATCGCAGCAAATGGGCAAGCGAGGACAATGTCAACCAAGAAGAGCTGTACGAAGCTTTGGAAAAGGTGTTGACGGAGCTCAAGGCGCATACAGAGTACTCAACGCCATTTCTTACTCGTGTCAACAAGAGAGATGCCCCCGACTACTATAACTGTATGGACAGATCTCTTTTTATTTCCTCCCCCCCCCTTTTCTTTGCTATAAACAAATTACTGACAAATTCATAGTCATCAAGAATCCCATGGATCTAGGCACAATGACTAAGAAGTTGAAATCACTCTCATACAAGTCAAAGACAGAATTTGTGGTTGATCTCAATCTGATCTGGGATAACTGTCTCAAGTACAACCAGGACATGAACCATCCTCTTCGCCGAATGGCCAACGGGATGCGGAAAGAGGCCGAAAAGCTGATTCCTCTCATACCGGATCTTACCATTCGATCTCGCGCTGAAGTTGAAGCTGAGGAACGGCGAAAGCAAAACGGAGGCGAGGATGATGGTGGCGAAGATTCCGATGATGAGCCTATCATGTCTTCTCGTGGCCGTAAAGCAACTACCAAGGGAGCCAATAAATCGAGGAAAGCTCCCAACGACCCAAAAGAAGATACCCCTGTGGTTGACCAGAAGCCTATTCTGCAAGTAAATGGATTGCTGGGTAAACTAGGTCGCGAAGGCTCGGAAATAGATGGAAGCAATGGCTTTGCTACACCTCCTATTGCTGGCTCTTTTACTCCCGGCGCAGCAAACGGCCCATCCGGAATCACGAGCAACGCCGACGCCATGGATATTGACGGTCCTAGCATCAATGGAATGAGCCTGAACCAAGCGTTTGGCCAGGCTGCTGAACAAGCTTTTGAAGATGAAGAGTATAAAATCTGGAAGCAAAGCACAAAGAAAGATCGAGCTCTAACCGCCAAGGAACGCTTCCTACTTTTCAAGGATAACAAGCTCAGTACGGACTCACCCGCTCTGCTCAGAAGCAAAGCCGGCATGCGAAGGTTTTTGACTCGTCAAAAAGAGGCAGAGCTGTCCAATAGCACTGAGTTTGATGACTCTGCGAAAAAAGCCAAAGACGTTCCAAACAAAGGGCCTGAGACGCTAGCTGAGGGTATTGAAGAGGAAAAGGAACAAGTAATACCCGACTACTACATACCTTTGAGCAGCATCCCAGATATTCCATCAAAGTTGCAATGGATGGAAGATGGCGAAGGTCAGGTTATCAACCAGCATGAAGACTTCCTTCGGCTTGTACCGCCCAACTCATTTGTTTCACCTCAGAGTAAATTCACCAAAAAGATGGACGAAAATATCCATCAGATACAAGAAACAAGGAAGCTGGCAACAAAAATATCCGTCATCAAACAGATGCAGGTTCAGTCTCAGGTAAGAAAGTTCCCACTGGGGAATCAAGGAGGTTTGCTGCAGTAAGCTCACATTAATATAGGTCTATACGAACCAATTTCCAAAGTCAAATTCGGAACCATTCAGAGAATTGGATATTGAGCCGCATTTTATTGCGGACGATGGCCCGGTCATGGCGCCTGAAACCTGCCAGAATGCTCTGAAGCGTTCTATCGCGAAAATTCTCTATACCACTGGATTTGAGGAGTTACAGCCTTCCGCCGTAGATGCTTTTACGGGAATCGCAGCCGATTATTTCCAAAAGCTTGTCCGGACATTCAATATCTATCGCGAAGCTGAAAAGAAAACGGTCCAGATTGGCGGCGAAACATTGGTACAGCCCCGTTTTACGAATGAGGAAATGATCCTTCACACTCTTGACGAAAATGGGCATGATATTGCATCTCTGGAGAGCTATACTAAGGACGAGGTCGACAGGTTGACCACTAAGTTGAGCGCTTTGCATGATAGGATGAAGGTTCATTTAGCAGACCTTCTCCGCCCGGCCCTTGCAGCAGAAGCTGGCGAAGATGGTGCTGGTGCTTTCAATGACGGTAGCGATCAGTTTACCAGCGGAGATTTTGCCGAGGATCTTGGGGAAGATTTCTTTGGCTTCCGCGCTCTCGGATTGGACAAGGAAATGGGCCTTGACTTTGTGTCGGTACCGTTTCACTTGCTGCAGAGCAGAGTGCGTAACCAGTACCAGATGCAATCTCAGACCTCTGGTGGGTCCAGCAGTGAAATCTTTGAAACATTGCCCATTTCCGAGCCTGTTACGAAAGAGAATATTCAACACCAAGTCGGGCTTATCAAGAATTTCTTTCTGGCCAAGCTCCACGCTAACGGCGATCAACCTTTGGTCGAAGATGAGGATTTGCCTACCAAGCAACGCAAACCACGCCCTCGTCTTGGCGCAAGCGGCAAGATTATTTCCGCCCAGAAGCGGCCACCCAAGGAACAGTTGGCGCTTGCCAAGAAGAAGAAGAAACTGGAGGCTGCAGCAGCTGAGGCTCGACTGAATGCATCTCCCGTGAAAGGCGGAGCTGTCAATGCAACTCCCGTGAAGAAAACGCCTACGCCCATGCCGAATGGTGCCGTTGCCAACCCAGCGCTCTTGGCTCTGGCACCAAGTATGGAGCGTACGGACAGTATGCAAAGCCAGGGCGGCATGAGCCAAACTGACAAAGACGACACCACTGGCATGATGAGCCCTGAGAGTATTGCGCAGTAGTCACGGGCAGTATTTGACTTTGGACTACCCATGACTTGAAGGGTATACATCGTCTTATCTTAACAAATTGTACATACACAAACAACTTTATACGGCCTGCTCGACGGTAAAACCTTTTTCGTCAACTACAATGGCCTGTTTACGTTGATCCATCGATACGGTACATTACCATAATGGAATAAAGCACTTCAAGAAGCCTCATCTGGAATTGTGTTATTAAATGTATATCAAATTCTCTAATGCTTTTCAACTTTTCTAATGATCTCAAACTATTCGCCCCGATATACCCCTTAAGACCTGGGGCAGTAACTGGGAAGACTAGTTCTTCCTTGTCTTCTTATTTTCTTCTTCTTTTAACTATTTTTCTCTTCTACCAATTGAAGTCTCCGTCTCCTATTGAATTGGTCGGACTTACTCTTTGTGCGGCGTTTGGACGGTTACGACTGGAAAATGTTTTTGTTTTCTAAATACAGTGAGAGAGGCTGATACACCCAAGGCTAGTATTGCTGTCTTTACAAAGTCTTTATGGAAAACCCGAAAATTGAGATGGATAAAAAAAAAAAAAAAAAAAAGACGCGCTACGACTATTCAAAGTTGAAGTTCAAATATACAAAAGGCGGAACAAGTTTGCTGCTGCTACCGCCATGAAAAACAAGGATGGGAAATAGGAGAGAGAGAAAAGGACGACAGCCAGAGACGGGCAAAGAGATGTGCAATTCACTTGGGGTGGCAAAGATTGATTGGTTTAGCTTCTTCTTCTTTTATTCTATTTTATTCACTTGCGCGGTTCGCGGTTTTCTTTTTCTTTATTACTACATCGTCTTTTTTCTGAAACCTTCATGTTATGATTCAAACTGTCTTCCTAGTACGGGGAGGTTTTCTAGAAGTATCATGAGAAAAGATGTTGGCTGTTTTTCTGGACCTTGGTCACTTTGATGAAACAAAGGGCCTTTCTCAGGCAATTGATTTGTTTTTCTCATTTTCGTCCCCTTCTTCCCTCCGTTTTATGGGTACGTGATTATATGACCCAGTAGTAGTAGATGTCCTGTTATCCGGCTGCTGCCACTACTGCTCTTTTTAAGTGTAATGACAGTAATGGATACCTTCTCTTCATAATTGAAGAAGCAAACAAGACAATACCTCTTAACAGACATGTATACGAAGTTGCCCACGAAAACGCTATTAATCACATAATGCGAAGATCACAAGTCACAAAGCACAGCAGTCATACGGAGAACAATTCTTTTTTTTCTCTTCTTAGTTGCCCTACTTGTTGAAGCAGGGACATAGGTCAACACCCATTGTCGACGTTGAATATTTTTTGGTACATCAAAGATTTGTAATGCCGTAGTCAAAATCCTCCCAAAATCTTTGCCCAGTCAAAAGAAAACTCCTCTTCCACTCATTTCCGGTTGAAATGGAAAAATATATATATATATATAACATACGCCAGCCCTTATGAATAATGAAAAATTGCAAAGTTGTTGAACCTTTCGCCGAATTTGTTTTGTTTCTGTATTGTGTTATGGCTTCCGTCTCATCTCATGTTAAATGCTTGAGGTGGACTTTAGTTTTTTTTGGTTCTCCATTTTCAATTCTTTTGGTATCTGTTTGATTTCATGCTCAATCAATGGTTTTAAGTAAAAAAGAAACGATGTTGGTCACCAGCATCTTGCACTTAGATGCCAGCATCCAGGCGCCAGCCCTCAACGGGGAGAGGGAAGGTGCTAGTCCAAGCAGCAATCTCCTTCTGGAGCTCGTTGATCTTGGCAATCTTGCCGCTGGCAACCTCGGCCTTGAAGTCCTTGAGTCTGTTGGCGGCCTTGGGCAGAGCAGCCTGAGTCTCAACGCAGATCTTGATGGCCTGGTCAATGTACTCGACGACGCGCTCAAAGTCCTTCTCTCCGAAGCCACGGCTGGTCATGGCAGGGGTACCAATTCGGATACCGCAAGGAGTCAGAGCGCTCTTGTCTCCGGGAATGGCGTTCTTGTTGCAGGCAATGTTGATCTGCTCGAGGACAGCCTCAACACGGGCACCATCAAGGTTGAACTGACGAAGGTCGAGGAGGACCATGTGGCTGTCAGTGCCGTCAGCAACGAGCTTGTGGCCGAGCTCCTTGAACTTGACCTCGAGGGTCTTGGCGTTGGAGACAACCTTCTCCTGGTAGGCCTTGAACTCGGGGGTCTGAGCCTGCTTGAGGGCAACAGCCAGAGCGGTGATGGTGTGGTTGTGAGGACCACCCTGGTGGCCAGGGAAGACGGAGAAGTTGATGGGGTCCTCAAGGTTGTAGAGAGTCTCCTTGCCAGTCTTGGCGTCAACAGAGCGGACGCCCTTTCGGAAGAAGATCATGGCACCACGAGGGCCACGGAGGGACTTGTGGGTGGTGGTGGTGACGATGTCAGCCCACAGGAAGGGAGAAGGAATGGTCTCGGCGGCAATGAGACCAGAGATGTGAGCCATATCGACAACCAGGTAGGCGCCGACGGAGTCAGCAATCTTGCGCATGCGCTCGTAGTCGATCAGACGGCAGTAGGCGGAGGTACCAGCAACAAGGACCTTGGGGCGGTACAGAATAGCGTTCTGCTGGAGCTGGTCGTAGTCGATGATGCCAGTGTCGAGGTTAACGCGGTAGGGCATGGTCTCGAAGTAGGTGGAGACTGCGGAAATCCTAACAGCATGTTGTTAGCTAACGAAAAATTCATCACCGAGCTACGTCATGTAAGGCTTCATCTATAGATAGCTTACTTTCGCTGGGGAGTCTGGTAGCCGTGGCTCAAGTGACCACCGTGGGGCAGATCGAGACCCATGAGACGGCCGTGGGGAGGCATGATGGCCTGATAGACCTGCAGGTTGGCAGGGCTGCCACTGAGGCACTGGACGTTGACACCCCACTTCTCGTGGTCGAGGTGGAAGGCATCAAGAGCACGGCGCTGGCAGAGCAGCTCGATCTGGTCAATGTGCTGGTTGCCACCATAGTAACGAGCACCGGGGTAGCCCTCGGAGTACTTGTTGGACATGGGAGAGCCTAGGGCATCGAAGACGGCACGGGAGGTGATGTTCTCGGAGGCGATGAGAACAATGGACTCGCGCTGACGCTGGACCTCATCTTTCTGCAAGCTTTTTGTTAGCCAATGCTTCAAACTCGGGATGGCGAGACTTTGGCGGGGTATCAAAGTGGCAGAGAACGTACCATGATGGAGGCGACCTCGGGGTCAGACTCGAGAAGGGACTTCTCAAGCATCTATCAAACAAATCATATTAGCATGCTGGTTGTATTCTCACGGCATTGAGCCTCTCGATAGCGAAACGCGCCGAACAAACGAACCTCCTTGTGGCTGGTCGACAAAGCGTAGGTAGACATGGCGGAATCAATTGTGGGATGAGAGTCGGAATTTGAAGTAGAGGCCAAGAGGGCAGATTGACCAAGGGGCTGATTCCTTCAGAGGGAAGATGAAGAAGATGGAGGAGAGATAAGATGAAGAAAAGAAGCTGACCCGAAGAGAGGAAGAAAAATATGCGCCGACTAAAATTTTCCGTGGCGCTCTGTAGATAGCAGAAGCACATGCGGCGAGATCGGATAGCGGGGAGTCAGGCCGTGGGGCGCCTGTGCGAATCAGCGAGAGCCGTGTCCATCCCGCTGTTATAGCGCTTGACAGCTGCTGGCGCTCCACTGAAAATGCACCAGCTATTTGGTGTACCTGGCAAAAGCTGCTGTCATTCTCATTTGTCGCGAGTTTTTTTCGCGCCGTTTTTTTGCTGTCAGTCTGTCCTACGAGGCAATTAATATCTCAAACACTGAATCTGCCGTAGCGATAACGGGTGGTTGCTGTAAGACTAGCATGGTGTATAGTACCAGATGGGCATAGTGAGGATGCAGTCTCACAACCAACGCTGAAAATTTTGCCTCTTGCTGTTGAGTAGGTCAAGGTACTATATGTCTTCACCTACGTATACTGGAATGTAAATCTATGGGCGCTACTATCCAAGGAGCCGTGCCTGAGTATTAGGTAGATAAGAATCACTACACTTGTATCTCTTGTCTCTAGAGCTACTAGAATCTATTAATTACTAGAGACTTGCAGAGACTTGTCTGAACCCTGGCATCAATCAAGTACCAAGCAAGAGTTTGCGTCGTCTCAAAAGAGCAAACCAGGAACCCGCTGTGGCTCAGTTCCGCAGCCACACACTGCCATCTGTGGCGCATCCCCCAAACCCAATCAAGCCCTGTAACATGTATATTAACACGATAACACACATACCTGGTAATCTGTAATAGCCCGTATTGATCGTGCCGCGTAATATCAAAAACTCTCCCCTCTCCCAAAAGGGTTCACAATGGGCTGGCCGTACCACTTCTTGACACTCTCCCACGAAGAAGTCATCCTTCGCCGCCACACCATCGACTACTATGCCAGCGTAGCTCATTACTCAGCCTTGGCCCCGGCTGTGGTCCTCATCGTCCTCCGTCTCATCCTGCGAGCTGCGCGACCCATACGCCGTCTGGGGGGTTATGATGATGGTGATGATCGTGGCCAGTATGCACATGTTCCCGGGACACCTACTCTCAAGGCTCAGCACAACAGTGCGCTCGGCACGTTGGCGGCACGATGGAGGGCTGTGCGGTGGTGGTTTGGAGACGATGTCGTCTTGTTGGGTGTAAGTTGGGGACAGAGAGATGAGTGGCTGCTGGGGCTGGGGTGGACGGGCTGGTTGCTCATGCTTTGTGTTTTGGGGACCGGAGAAGGTCAGTTTTGTTCCTTGATCCTATCTTATACCGTGACTTCTACAACTCTGTGTTATCTTCTCTCTCCATCTCTATATTTACATGTCATATTCCCACTCATGAAATCTCACTATAAGTCTCATCTCAATCTCACATGCCTATTCGTGTCAACCACATTCAAGCCACCTCTGAAACTTTAACATCATTCAATCTCATCCATAAACCCACAACTAACTCACTCAACAGACTACCTCCACTTCACCAAACGCTTCGGCAGCATCGCCATCTCACAACTCCCCATCCAATACCTCCTCGCCCTCAAAGCCCTCAACCCCTACGCCTACGCCTTCAGCTCCTCCCACGAGCACATCAACCGCTACCACCGCGTCCTCGGCCGCGTCATATACACCCTCGTCATCATCCACGTCGTCCTGTACAACGTCTTCTTCGTCCTGTCCGGCATCTGGCTCAAGCGCTTCTTCGCCCCCGTCGTCTTCTGCGGCGTGGTAGCCATGCTTGGCTTTGACGGCCTGATGGCCACCGCCATACGCCGCGTGAGGAGGTACTCGTATCGCATCTTCTTCATCACTCATCTGGCCGTTGCGCTGCTTGCTCCCGTGCTGCTGTTTTTCCACGCTCATTCTGCCCGCGTGTACGCTGCCGAGAGCATCATTGTATTTCTTGTCGATCTTGCGGTTCGAAGAGCAGGCATGACGCATACGGCGTCAACGTTTGAGGCAATCCCAGGAACAAGCCTCATCAAGATCTCCGCTCCTATGCCATCTCAGAAGATTGAACAGTTCCGCTCCCAACCAGGCTCTCACATATATCTCAGTCTCCCTCCCGAAGGAAGGACTACAAACTACCCAGCCTCTCAATCGCTCCTCTTCGACTTGGTCTTCAACCCCTTTACGGTTGCTTCCGCCAGCGAAGACAGCCAAAGCATTACACTAGTCGCGAGAAAGCGATCTGGCCCCATGACGAATATCCTCTCACAATTTGCCTCCTCGACCTCGTCCCTCTCCTCCGAGGGCGACAACAAAATCACACTCGCCATAGAAGGACCGCATGGTGCTGTAGGCAAGCACTTTCAGCATCTTCTCACCTGGGGCGCCTCCCGCATCCTCCTTATAGCCGGCGGCGTGGGAGCAACTTTCATCGTTCCGTTATATCATGCTCTCCAGCGAGAGCTGCCATTAGCTCATGCCCAGTTCATCTGGGCCATCCGCTCAGCTGGCGATGCAACGTGGGCATCAATTGAAAACGGCTTCGAGAAGTCTCTACTTGACGATGACAATGTTCATCTCTATCTCACGGAGAATATCAATGTTTTCCACAACGACGACCATGGCCATAACGGGTCTATTGAGCTCGGAAACATGAGCCGAGCATCATCGCGCCAGCAGCGTTCTGCTGCAAGTAGCCACAACAGCAGGCGTCCCAACATTCAAAAGATTGTAGACGATGTATTCCGCCACAGCGTAGACGAAAAGGTTGCCATTCTAGTCTGCGGCCCAGAAGAAATGAGCAAAGAAGTACGGCGGCGAGTAGGGCCGTGGGCGACAAAGGGCCGCGAGATATGGTGGCATAATGAAAGCTTTGGATGGTAACGACATTGTTCTATTATAAATGCGGTTGGTGTGTATATAGATATAGACAAATCTATTGAACATAGAGAACAAGCAACGAATATCAAACAAAGTAATTGACGATTATTTACATGGCACAGAAGTTGAGTGGGGTTTTGACAGTTTTTATTTCTAGGCAGTTTATACCTCTTCACATATTGGTCGTTAAACCCCCTGCAGGGCCATCATACCTTGGTCCTGGTAAACAAAACCAAGTCAGTAGATGAAAGTGCTGGCAAATCCAACAAGGTATGCCGAGCCCAATCTCCAGCAGTGTATATCTATCTGTTTTGGACGTTATTCTCAAAACTCCACAATGCCATCGTCATAAGTAAAAAGGAATTGTGCTAGGCCTCCATGTGGTATCAGAATCTGCAAATTACGCAATCATCAAGAATCATTCACGCAGCTTCGATCTCCAGAACCTCAAGGGAGGAAGCCGCAGAAAAAGCAAAGAATTAAAAAGAACAGAAAAAAAACCAAGAAAGACAGAGGCTACATCACTGCCGGTAACGAGCCAACTGAGCCATGATATTCTGCACCTGGGCCGCCGCATCGCCTGTGCCTGCTGGCTGCGCAACAACCGCAGGCTGACCGCTGTATGGACCGCCGTACTGCATCTGAGGATGAGCTCCATGGTGTTGTTGATGTGGTGGAGGCGCAAGTGGTGCCGCTGTACCCCCATTGAGAGACCCTAATATTGCTTGGATATCAACTTGTGGTGCATTAGCAGCTGGCGCTGCAGGATTGGTGCCGCCATGAAGACCGCCAGGTATGGCTCCCGGAGACCCCGCCTGGATGGATGATAGAAGTCTTTGTAGCGTATTATTATCAACCTGCCCTATGAGATTCGCGATGTCGGCGGCAGACGGCATAGACGGCATAGCTGGTGCAGCTGGTGCGGGTTGCGGTGGATACGAGCCGGGCTGCTGCATGCCAGGATACGCAGCAACATGATGAGGTTGCGGGGCCTGTGCAGCGTACTGCATGGGATATCCACCGGCACCGCCATAAGGTTGACCATAGCCTGAACTGCCAGAGGCCTTTGCTCGCAATATGACTTCTGCTGCCGTGCTTGGCTCCAGGTCGACATATTGCTCGAAGCGAACATTGTGGATGCCTCCAGATCGGTCAAATGAGTGAACTGGGATTTTGGCCGTGCCCTGAGCGCGAAGATCCAGGTCTACAACTCCGTGCACGCCTTCGGCAGCCTGTCGTTGGATGACTTGGTCCTTTGGAAACCGCGGGTGGAGGTACATGACGTTGGTTCTCAATCCTTTGGCCTTGAAGGCGCCTTCAACCCAAGTGCCAAAGTCTGGGCTGACATCTGGTTGCATGACGATTTGCACATCGGGAACATCCGCGCCATACCGACGAGGTAGATCAAGCTCTGGTTCATGTCGCGATCTACCGTAGGGACTGGGGCTTCTCCTGCGATAGGAGTCCTTTTCGTTTCTGCCATATCCACCTGGAGATCGCGAGCGACCGCGGCCTCTGCCTGAGTCATAGTAGCCTCGATCTCGGCCGCTGTAGCTATCAGTCCTATCGACTCTGTCGGCTCTATCATTCCGGTCGTTTCTATCGTTCCGGCCATAGTAGTCATTACGACGAGGCGATTGATTGCGTGCGGGTCGGTTATCGTCGCGATACTTTTCTCCCCTACGACCGCCTTCGCCACGACCGCCTTCGCCACGGCCGCCACGAGCTCGCTCAGGACTGCGGTTTCTCTCCTTCTTAGATTTATCTTGAAGGCGAGAGATTTCCAAATCTACAGATTGTCAGTACTGGTCTCAACTTGGAGAACAAAAGTTGTATGTTTGAATGTTGACGTATTTTAGAAAAGTGACTTACGGATGCGCCGTCCTTTCACCTCCATGCCCTGAAGATTCTCCAGAGCACTATGACCTTCCTCGACTGTGTGATACTGCACAAAGCCATATGCCGACTTGAGGGAGATCTGGGCCAGCCTGCCAAATCTGTGAAAAATGTCGAAAACATCACGCTTAGACACTTTGTCGCTTGAGAGATTCCCTACGTCAAGGAAAGAAAAAATCACATTAGCACGCATGCACCGTGTAAGTTGGGGGAGCTGGAGTATGAGTCTAAGGCAAAGCCACTAACCAATGAAAATGCGTGAGCCTTCGGGGAATCTATCCCACTTGGCCTCCGACATGTACTGTCGCTCATCGGCCATGAATTGGTCCCACTGGTGCTGATATTCGGCATCATGGGCTCGGTCAACAGGATGTCCGGGCGGATTGGAAGCATATGAAGGGTTTATGGACGCGGCAGCAGCCGATGGATTCATAGCTGTGGCAGGAGGGGGTGGAAGAGTCCCTAGAGCTTCAGTCGAGGTTCCAGGGGCACCGGCAATAGCAAAACTAGAGGGCTGTCCCGGCGCGGGTGGCACCCCGGTACTTCCTGAGACATTGGAATTGGTTCCGGGAGGATGGTGCTGAGAAGCATACGATTGGGGAGCGACCTGGGGCTGCGGAGGACGCGGTGGAAGAGAGGAAGACAGTGGCAGAGCAGTGGTAGTGGTGGCGGTAGTGGTGATGTTGGAGGAAGGAGCAGAAGTAGTGGGGGAAAAGGGGTTGGATGAAGCCGCCGGGACATTGGCTGGCGACGCAGAAGCTGGCGTTGGGTCAGGGTTTCCGGGTTTAGGCTCAGCGGGATGGGCAGTGAGGTCAGCCACGAGTTGTTGGATGTCAACAGATGAAGAGTTTTCGGATTCTTGCTTGCTGGGGTCAGCTCCGGGCAGCGTGGGCTGGGCCACTGGCGGGATGGAAGCCGCTTGCGCATCGCCAGGCTGAGATGGAGCTGCGCTGGCAGGCTCAGGGACAGCCTCGGGCTGAAGAGTAGAGACAGATGGGTTCTGAGCACCTGGGGCAGATGCGGATGAATCAGCAGCGACAGGAGAGACGTCTGATGGGCGACTAGTCAAGTGATCGGATAAAAGTGATGGATTCTCGTTGGATTCTCGCGGTACTGATGATACATGCTCGGGTTCCTGGTCTTCTTCCCCTTCCTCAGGACCGATAGGAGAGTCAAACGTCTTGGCGTAGTCGTCGTTGTTGTCGACCATCTCCTGCCGAGGGGGCTCTACGGCCATTTCCTCCGTGTCTTCGCCGTAAGCGTCGCTGAAGCTGTCATCATCTACAACATCGTCGGTTTCACCAGCAGTCGCGAGGGATGGGTCGACAACAGGGGCGTCAGCGACCCCGTTGGGAAGAGCGGCAGTGGCAGCAACCATGGCGTCGATGGTATCGACGGTCTGCTGGAGCGCTGGCACCACGAGAGACGCGGCCGTGTGGACGGGCGAAGGAGAGACGGGAGAGAGATTGGCTGTAGCCTGCAGAGCTGCTTCGGGCTCTGGCTCTGGCTCTGGCATGAAGCTGGGCTGGCGGGCTAGAGAAGATCTAAGGGGTAGAGACTGGGCAGTAGCATCCGCGCAGAGGCTACTATGGAGTACCTGCTGCCGTCGGCGGTTGAGGCGAGAGAGGGATTATTATAAGCTGTTGTCGAGGATGGTTCGATGTGGGGCCGGCTGTAGTGGGCGCGCAAGGATGCTTTGATGCTGCAAGTAATAGGTAGTAGCGGTAGTAGTAGTAGTAGTAGCAGTAGTATAGGAACGCAGATAGGTGGACGATGGCGCTCGCGACACGAAAAGCTACGAGAGAAGTGGCAGTTGCCTTGATGGCGGAACAGGCAGCACAGCCGAACTGCAGCCCGTAAAAAATGCGCCGTCGCGTGCTGCTCTGTGTGGCTGAGGCTACGTTGAAAAGAGATTTCGAGGTTGAGAGCAGACGGGACTGGGAGTGTTGGTTGGAAGAGCAAAGAAGAGGCAGAAAGGCTGGCGAGCTCAACTGCTCAAGGCAGGCGGAAGCCGCCTCAAATTCTGTCATGGGGCTAGTCCCGTTTGGGCCGCGGCAGGACTCGGCGCGGGGCCAAGAAAACTCGGTAAGGCAACCAGCCCGCTAATTTAGGGACGCTCAGCAGGTCTGGACCTATAACGACCTGTATTCCATGCCACCTTATCTACCACCAGTTGACCTGTATTCTACCTATCCGACCCATCTGCTGATGCATGTACGTATGTTGGGCGGCACAGGACATCGGCACTGAGCTGATGTGATTAGCGCCTGACAGGTCCTGGGTAATTTTGCCGGCGAATGAGAAAAGGCTTCGGTGAAGGGGGGCAAAGCTTCTTGGGGCATGCTCGGGCCAACATGCGGCTTGTATAGCGAAGAGAAGGGATAATATTGCGAGTGCATACCAGAAATCGCTACCAGCATACCTCGCTATACGCCATGCTACTGTCTTATCTGCGAAGAAGAGCAGTGCTATCAGCAGCCGCGCCAAGGCAGCCGAGGCCTCTGCTATCTCAGTCGATAAGATTCAAACGCTACGAAGCATTCGACGCTCGATTGGACCAGGATGCCTTGGCCGAGGCGCGGCTCTGGTATAACTCGTTTGATGCATCACAGCTGCCCAAGGGTAGCACAACATACGCAAGATCCAGCGGCCCTGGAGGCCAACACGTCAACAAGTATGGAATCTCGTCATCTTTCCGACGGAGCCAACTACAGCTAACATCAGCCGGTTAAAGAACCGAGACCAAGGCAATCACGGTATATCCCGTGAACGAGCTACTTGGCGCTCTCCCTAAATTTCTCCATCCCGCAATCCGGTCTTCCAAGTATTACACCACCGGCAATGACTCGCTCACGTTTGCAGCGCAGACTCACCGGTCAAGGTCTGCCAATCTCGATGAGAACAGGAGGAAGCTTATAGATGAAGTCATGAGCATCTATCGTGACATGACTCCTGCCGAAACAAGCTCTGACAAGAAGAAGAAATTCCAGGAGGTGTATGTATACATCATAATGGGGGCGGTTGAAAACATCGAGCTGACGTTGAGCAGAGAGAAGCGATTTCACGAAGCACGAGTCCAGGACAAAAAATTCAATAGCGCCAAGAAGCAATCGCGGCGGGGACCACCGCAGTAGAAAAGACTGCGGCAGACTTCACATTTCACCCGATTATTCTTGGTTATTCTAGAGCCCAGATGGCACCACGAGCTACCTGTTTAGATAGCAGTCGCCAATCGGCTCAGCATGTTGCTCAACCCTGCAGTGGCCTTCTTGGCCATTGGCTATTTGAGAGAACGGCATCGTTGCTAGTTGCCATGTAAGCTTACCCTCTCTCTGCAGCCGCTTAGCTCTGAAACCCGAGCCTCGGCGTAAATCCTCACAAGGAAGGGAAGAAACAGGTGCGACAAGGCAAGCATTTGTTAAACATACCAACAGAAATATGCGTTTTATTAGAGTAGAGCCAAAAAAAGGAGGTGATGGGATCAAGAGAGCCGCTGATACCTATCCGGTACTCTTAAGCTGGCTATCCGGCACTTGGCGGGATCTTCTCCATCTGCAGCTAAAACCACCAGACAATAACAAGCACCAGCACCAACACCATGCTGTGAATCATTACTCGATGTCGTTTCTTGTTTGTTCTTTCGTTTCTAAATAAAGCTCCTCGGCAAAGTCCATTACCCATTCACTGCGTAAAGAAAGAGGCCGAAAAGACAAAGAAAGGCCGGCAAACATGAGGTGCTACGCGGTAATACACAGCAACTTGATCCTCTATTACTAAAAATACAGACCCGGCTGCCTCTGCTAGCCCCCAGAATCTCGGGCATGATAGGCTGATCGAGCCTCCCAGGCTGGGATCCCCCTTTGGGCCCCTCCCCCACCTGGTTTCTGTTTTGAAGACCGCCATAAACTCCCCTTAAGCCGTACCAGCTCGCAAATGCCCAAAATCCTCTTTCCTCCAACCCAAAGTCGCAAGAACCCATCTTCTTAAGCGGCTCTTCTTCTCTTTTATTTTTTGTGGCGCATCAATACAAAAAGCCTTGTGTCGTGTATACCCGCCACGTTTTTTTTCGCAGCTCAGCTGAACGCCCTCCGCCACCTTTTCTCAGCTCTCAACCTCTTGTCTCTTGCTCAGATCCGGGCTTCCACGGGCTCTTCAGCCATCCACGACGGCCCACGATGAGCCGCCAGCAGCCACAGCAGCAGCCCCAGGTCCAGCCTTGCAGATACAAGGTTGGCAAGACTCTGGGAGCTGGCTCATACTCGGTCGTCAAGGAATGCGTCCATATCGATACCGGGCGCTACTATGCCGCCAAGGTTATCAATAAGCGACTGATGGCGGGGCGAGAACACATGGTATGCAAGCACCTCTCTTTCTTCACTTTCTTCAGTTCTCCGTCTAGAAAGAAGTCTGCCGCTATGCCTTAATGGAGAATACATGCTGATCTATTCTGGGAGTGGAAAACAGGTCCGAAATGAAATCGCCGTCCTGAAAAAGGTGTCCATGGGCCACCAGAACATCCTGACGCTGGTCGACTACTTCGAGACAATGAACAACCTCTACCTCGTCACAGACCTGGCTCTCGGAGGCGAGCTATTTGACCGCATCTGCAGAAAGGGCTCATACTACGAATCCGATGCGGCGGATCTGATCCGGGCGACTCTTTCTGCCGTCGCATACCTCCACGACCACGGCATCGTCCACCGTGACTTGAAGCCCGAGAACCTGCTCTTCCGCACCCCCGAGGACAATGCAGACCTGCTCATCGCCGACTTTGGCCTGTCTCGCATCATGGACGAAGAGCAGTTCCATGTCCTCACCACGACCTGTGGTACTCCTGGCTACATGGCTCCCGAGATTTTTAAGAAGACGGGCCATGGTAAGCCCGTTGACCTGTGGGCCATCGGTGTCATCACCTACTTCCTTCTCTGCGGCTACACCCCCTTCGACCGAGACTCCGACTTTGAGGAGATGCAGGCCATTCTCAATGCCGACTACAGCTTCACTCCGGTCGAGTACTGGCGCGGCGTCTCCTCTCACGCAAAGGACTTTATCCGGCGATGCCTCACCATCGACCAGGACAAGCGCATCACCGCCCACGAGGCCCTTCAGCATGCCTTTGTCGCCGGTCTCGCCCCTTCAGACGGCGCCGGCGAGAACTTGCTGCCCACGATCAAGAAGAACTTCAACGCGCGGCGCACGCTCCACGCGGCCATCGATACCGTCCGCGCCATCAACAAGCTACGCGAGGCTCAAAATCTCATGATGGACGGCGCTCGTTCCCAAGAGCCTACACGCAACCGCGGCGCTGGCCCGAACATCCCTGCTCCTGTCAACGGCGTTCGTAAAGACGACAGCGCCATATCCATGGGCTCCAGCCAGGGTAATGACAGCGAATCCAGCGCAAACAGGCCAACCGACGATGTAGTCATGGGCAACACAACTCCTGCCTCTGACGTGCCTGCAGCACTACAACCGGGCAACATGGCGAACCGTCTCGTGCAAACAAGCAAGGGCCTCTGGAACCCCGAGGTTGCCAGGTAGCTTACCTCTGCCATATAGATATGGCAACACGCATTTCTTTTTGGCATGCCAGCGACAAGTAGCGAGAGAGAGAAAATATCTCTAAAGGGAGAACATGAGTATGTGTGCACCGGCGCTGGCAGCCCACTTGATACCCAACCATGTTTCTCATAGAATCTACTTGAGGGGGGAAGAAGGTTTCTCTATTTTGTGCTTTCCCAACTATGAGAGAATGAGGTGATGGATTTGATATATCGCTTTTTTTTTCTTCTTTTCTTTTCTGGAATGTTCCCTATTGCCTCCATCATATGCCTGCAACAAAAAAAAACTGAATTTGAACATTTCTCCCTTCCATTTTATATTCGTTTCTCTTCTTTCTTTATACTATGCTCGGTTTTCATCCTTGTTTGTCAAAGTCATGGGAATATAATGGGACTCTATTTTTTCTTCTTCTTTCTTTTATATATAACGCCTGTCGTCTCTGAGTAGTAGAAACCAAAGACAAAGTTAGTCAAGTGAGAAGGGAGAGAGAGAGAAAGGGGAGAAGGCATAAGGGAACATATATGGGCTATATGTAGCAATGGAATTGAACGCCTAATTTTGAGTAACGAGTGGAAAATATATAACAACACTGCTTATCTGAAACTACTTGGTGACTCTTATCTAGAGAAAATATCGTGGTTTGAAACAGACTTACGTACAACGTGATGAATTGTCACGCCATGGTTTGAGACTCATGATTGATCGATATCGAGGCACATTTTACTCCATTCAGTTCATTTGATATCATTCATATCGTTAGTATCGTTTGATTTCTTTTCACTCGGTATCATTCATCACGCAGAAATTGAAATTTGGCTTTCATCTTTTTTTTATTCATTTGTTCATTTGTGCCTTTTGTTCAAAAGGTTGAGCGAGCGGCATCTTTGGTATCTTCTTCGCCATAGGCCTAGTGTAACTCTTTCCCAAGACCGCCCCCTCCTTCGTGTCTGAAAGCCATACCCATTATCATCGATACGGATGCGTCTCTCCCAGCTCATTGCTTTCGTCAGTGGCCATCCCATCCTCATGGCTCACTTAGCGAGCGTTCAGTGCATGTACTCAATCCTATCCATCCTCCATGCACGGATTATCCACTTGGTATGTATACATTACGTACTCTATCATTTGAAGTAGTAGTACCCTTTCCTTTGTCGAATATATGCAGTCGAATCATTTGACAGGTTCGAATGGAAAATAAGAATATCCTTTTCTTTCCCGTGATTCCCCGATCCAGACTCCCATCCCTCCAGTATTAAATATTCGGTATCCGGTTTGGTAATAACGAAACCGGATTTGACCCCCCACCCTTTCACCAAGAATAAGAAAAAAAAAAGCCAACACCACATTGCGCCATTTCGCTGTGCCGATGAATGCCAAAGATGTTTAGAAAAAAGGCTGTGCTGCCAAATATTAATTACGAATTTTGAATTGAATCATAAGCAGGTTCGTAACGCTCAGACATCCCGTCGTATTAGGTGCCGAGTTGAGAGATATAAGAGATGGAAGTAGTGAAAAAATTTGTATCGTCGAGTAAAGTGAATTTCCGACGGGATCGGATGTCAAAAATTATTACCGCGAAATGACAACCTCGCTTAAATCAACGTCCCGTGGTGGGATATGTCCATCCCAATTCTGCCCGTCGCCGGTCAGATCCATGATTCCGGGAGTAGAAGCTTCGGAAGTGGTAGGGCTGAGAGTGCCGCTGCTGGAGCTGCTGGCGACAGTCCATCCGTCGCTGGAGTTGGAGCGATGGTGGTCGATGAATCCAAGGCTAAAGTATCGGCCAGTCTCCTCGTCTTGGACCTTGTGGCGGTCGCCGACTTCGACGTAATCGTACTCCCATCGGGTAAGCTTGTCGGCCTGGCGTTGCGGCAGCCACCTAGCACGGCAGTAGTAGTAAAACGCAGAAGCGATAAGACCACCAGTCACCAGATCGATGGCATAGTGGTGGCTCAGGTACATGGTTGCCCACCAAACCCAGCCGGCGTAAGCTGCAAAGAAGAACTTGAACTGAGGGAAGCAGTGGCTCATGAACAGGGCCTCGAGAACGGCGTTGGCAGCGTGGAGAGAGGGGAAAGCACCAAATGGTAGAGGGGCGTTGGTGAAGTTGGTAGTGTAGAGGTCGATACCAAAAATCGCGTCAACACGAGCCAATCCAGCGGGCGATCCATGCATGCCGTAGGCGGCGGGAACAAGCCCGTTTTCATTCTCATACCACGGCGGCGTGCAGGGAAAGATGAGCTGGATGGAGACGCCGAGGATGCTCATCCAGCCGAAAGCGCGAGCAAAGACAGGAGTGCTGCCGGGAGCTGAGAAGACGAAGATGATTGCGGAGCACACAGCAGGGGCTCCGAAATGCATGATGCCATATGGAAGCCAAGCCAGAATATCGAGAATAGCATGCTTGTGAGCCGAGAGAATGTTGGAAAGGTTCGCGCCATAGAGAACGTTTTCCAAAGCAGGCAGGATTCGGACCCAGATATGAGGGCGATACTCGGTAGGAATAAATCTGAGGGGAGGAAATGAGATGCGATTAGCGAGCCGATTCACCACCAGGGCCACCATCAATGGCGGGTCATGGGGGGAAAAAAACTTACCGACTACAGAAAAAGTAAACGAGCCAGACCCAGATTGGCAGCGACGGAAGGAAGAATTGGCGAGTGGCAGGCATGCAGAGAAGCCAGGCAGCGCCCATGAGGGCAAACAGCTTCAATGCCGCGGCCGGGGGAGCGATCCAGAGCGAAAAGAGCGTCAAGCCAAGAAGCACGGGGTACTGCAGGTCGGAGAATCGCCAGTGGTGCTTCTGCAGGTCTCGCAGGCCGTCCCAGAAGTTGAAGGACGTCTGCAGGCTCGTGATGTCCTCGCCGCGATGCGTCGTGTTGGACTTTGCCCGGGGGCGCCGGCGAGCGTAGCGGGCGGGAAGACGGTTGAGGAACGCCAAGTTGACGTGCTCGGTGAGGAGCGCCGGCAACTTGGGCTTTCCCGATCCAAGATCCATCGTAACTTTGTTTTTTCTTTTTTTACAATCTGTCCCAAAAAAAAGATGTTCAAGAAGATGAAAGCGAAAAAACTCGTCGTCGTAGAAATGCGATGCGAGGAAGCTGTCGCGATTCTTTGTAGCAAAAAAAGCAACGGTTGTGGAGACAAAAAAGGAGTCGATGCTCGTCGGCTCGAGTCCGGCAAGGTAGGAATACAGCAGATTGTCCCAAACGCTACCTCATAATACCCAAGGACAATCCCAAAGAGCCAGGAAATTCCGCGCGAGAGCGTGTTCGAATGAGAGATGCAACGAGCACGTGCAGAGCTGGTCAAAAAAAAAGTCGTCGGCGACGGGGTCGAAGGGACGACGAGCAGCAAGGTCCACAGGCCGAATTAACGGGAGTCGGAGGCTCAGCAGAGGGGCTTGCGAAGGAACAGAACCGGCGGCGGGCTGTTGTTCTTCCAAGAGACTGCGGGCGGGAAAGGCCAGGAGCGCCAGAGGGGACGGCGAGGGAAGAGACGAGCGACGAGGCGTTGGGGATAGGAGAGGACAAAGGAGAATGAAGCCAAGCGGAGGAGGAGGGGACAAGTCTAGTATGTAAAGGCTCAGCAAAAGGCAGCACGAGAGGGTCTTGGTTCGTAAGTGGCAGCAGAGGTGAGGTAAGACAGGGCAATGATGACAAGGTGCAGCTGGCGCTGAAGGTACCTCCGACGGTGCGGATGGGCGTGTGTGTGGCGCTGGAGCCCGGCAAGAACCTTGTATCTCGGGCTTGGGCCAAGGCACTTTGTACCGGGCGGAGAGCGAAATCTGCACGAGGCGCCGCGGGTAGCGGTACAAGCACTAACTCGGTGCAGTAAGACTGCCAGGCTACGGTGGTGCGCAGAAAGAGCTGGCGCCTCTTTTTTTTTTTTTTTTTTTTCTTCTCTCTTTTGCTGGTTTTTCTCTCGCACGCCGCCTTTTCTTCCTTGGAGTCAAGACGCTCGTCTAAACCAGCGCCGCTCCCTCCTTAGCGCGCTTCAGCGGGCACCCGGACTCTTTTCGCTCAGCGACGAGCAAGCACAGCAGCGCGCAGATGGCGTCGGGCTCAGGCGCTATCTTAGACACACAGGGCCTGGGCTAATTTGGGGGACGTGGCCCCGGAAGCTGCGGCCCACGAGTACCGGTACCTCCACGGCCAGTGCCTGTGCACGGCTAAGGTAGCGATACCTGGGGCTCTGCGCTGACGCCCCGTATCAGCTCGCATCTTGCAGGTATCTGTACGTAGCGCGCGTTGTGTGTGAACTGCTGCTCCGTTGGCCAGCCACTCCAAGGCCGCTTCGCAGCAACATCCAAATTCTCACCTCGCACAAGCGCAAGGTCGCTGCCAATCCCTCAATCCCTGGAACCTCTTAGCGGCTTTGGCCCTGGGCGCCTGATGGTGAAATTGCACAGGGTCGATGAGTGGCTGCGGCTGCCTCTCGGTGGGGAGCGCAGACTTTTGGGCGTTGCGCGCCGAGAATGCCGGCATGGGATGGGGGAGCATTAGAAAATGCGCACAATCAATTCATGCAGCTACCAGCCAAGACGTTGAGGTTATGCTCGGCGTTGACGGTACCGTCTCGCGAGTGGTTTTTTTTTTCTGCTTTTTTTCTTACGAGCTCCGGTAAACTTGAACAAGGGCCACTTGGCATCTCCTATGTACAAGAGTCAGGATACGCGTACCCTTTTGCTTTCTGATCTGAACAGTAACAAACTCCGCTCTGCAACTTGAACTTTGTTCGCACACCGACTATGGTATCAGTACAAGAGCCGCGACGCTACTATCACCGAGAAACTGTGGGTGCCAGTAATTAAGGGCTTGCGCTAAAAAGCGTTTTTGACTTCTTTGAGGAATCGGGCCAACTTGTGTAGATGCGGACAAGACATTCATCCCATCGGGGCAAAAGTTTCTTTCCGTCGACATATAAATAAGCCAAGCCTCATGGAATCATCGATGCAGCGCTGTTGTTGCTGACAGCGTACTTGCAGCTCTATTGTTTTGTCCCAAGCACTCATCATCATCTGCTAGCTCTGAGCAATTGCGGGCATCGTGACAGATACAAGGCCTTCTCTCTGATAGTGCCCCCCAGTCGGGCTACCGGAGGTTGGTAAATGCCGATGAGTTAAATAAAGTGCTGTGGGTTATCACTGCGGCATCAAAGAGGAAAGGCGGACGTTTCGGTGCAGGGTCCCCCGATCTTCAGCTCAACCGAAACCTGCCCATTGGGAGCGGATGGACAAGAGGATTTGCGGGAAATGGCGGCAGCAGCAAGATTCGGATACTTTAGCTGACAACTCTATAGTAATTATTAGCCCAAACCTGGAGAAATCCAGGCCATGGCACAAATTAGTAAACCACTGCAGACATGTGCATGTTGGCTGCAACATGACGATGACGCCGTTACAATGGGACAAGAGCCGAGCCCGAAAGAGGAAGACGCCAAAGAATGAAAAAACGACGAGAAAGCAAAACCCGGTCACGCGATGGAAGCCAATGGACGATGCAGAGATGCCACAGCTGCCGGCGATGCAGCCAGTTCCCACGACGATGCCTCGAATCCAGTTAAAGCGCCAAGAAGTGACCATTCGGCTAGCGCATGACAGCCACTTTTTTTTTTTTTCCCTCTTTTCCTTCTAATCGTCCAATGTACTCCATCACTAATTTTTTTCTTTCTTCGCGGTGAGCGTGCCGCCGCCTCGGCATGGCGGTCCCCCCATTTGCCCCGTAGTCCGTAGCCCAATCAATCGTCCGGAAAACATGCGATCCGGCAAGGGACTGTACTTGGCCCGCCCAGCAATTAGACGACGATGCAAAATTGAAGAGTTAAAAACATTAGTTCGGTGCGATGCCGCTAGGCTGCTCATCGTAATACTGCTAGTATAATTGCTCGTGCAAGGACAAGGTGGAACACATCAGGCAATGTATATACTTGTCTGGCTCAGACGATTCCGGGCGCTTATTCGTTGTACCAAGCCCGTGAAATAAGGATCGATGGGTTGGCCAAGCCGTGCCTTCACACTACCCCTGTCTGCTCTAGCAGAGCTCCAGGCGCTTGATGAGAAGGGCAAAAACCACCAGGCCGTTTCAAACGGGGCCAAAAACGCTCGAGACCCCTCCTCGAGAACGGCTCTCCGGCAGCGTTAGCGGAGTCACAAGCACAAGGTCGCACAGCTACGGAGCGCTTATATGGAACACGGCCACGTATATGGCTTCGTTCAGGGAGAGGCAGATGAGTGGACGGGATGGCATCAATCGTGAGGGTACATGGTCACAGGCTCCATGTGCTGCTTCTATTTTTCTTTCTCGATCCCCGTTGTCTTTTTACACCGGCTCAAGTGACTGGTTTCGGCCGCATCTGTCCCGTCACAGCCCGACATATCATCGCCTCGGAGCGTGCTGTGGAGTTGGACATGCGGGTTTTCGGCACCGCGTCACTGCACCTCCGCTATCAACCATCACATCACGCCAGATGCATCTCGAGCACACGGCTAAAGCGAGACGAACGCACACGAGCGATCATGCATGGCATGGATGAAGTGCTTGATAACGGTGGAGAAGAACGAGTGTTGCAAATCGGTCACAAGGAAACGGAATTACAAACATACAGTAGCACCAATGCAAATACATAGCTACGATCGCCAGCTGCTGAGTTGCAGCGGCACTACTGCCGATGGAGCCATTGCCAAACGCAGTAATCGCTGCTCTTCTCGACGAATGTTGCAAAATAGCATCGAGGTGAGAAAAAAGCTTGGCCGCACTAAGTGGTCTCGACTCTCGTTCCATCTCACTCTCAAGTACAGTACAACCTCGTCTCAGACAAACAAATTCGCACGCATTGCGCTGCATTGTAAGCATTTTGATTTGAGACGAGGTGTTGGTGCACGTTTCGTTTCAAGCTACTTTTTATGCCTTTTTCTTCTTCTACCCCAGCATATAAGCTGTGTTCTAAAACCCGGGAGCATAAATCAACATCGTCTGGCGTACATGTAGGTAGTATGTGTGTAAATATAGAACAAAGGAAAAAAAAAACGCAATCCCCATGTTTTTCAAAACGGCAGCTGCCTTATCAGACAATGCGCCTCTATCTCCGGAGAAGCGCAAGAATAGTTACATACACATGGTCGCGTGGTCCCCTAGTCCGCTCGATGATGCGAGAATGAGAGAGATACGTGTATCAAGCTGGCCACTTGACTCGCCGCATCCGGCTCACGGAACAATGCAAAGATCAAAAAGAAGCTGAGTCGCGCAGAGCTTTCCCGTTCAGAGAAGTCAGCCAGCTGAAAAAAAAAAAAAAAAAAAAAAGCACATGTCCATGGAACAATGAATATGTCATGCCCACCACACTCTTTTGGCGCTTTCTCACGAAAAAAACAAACCCCCTGCTGGAAACGCGGGAATCTCGGGCGGGCATGCAGCTCCCAGCATCTGCGCCTAGACTCAAAGCAGTTCGACCTGCTGCTGCAGCGGGCTTGTCCACCTGGTGCCAATTCGCAACAAAAAGACAAATATACATTGAACAAGGCATCAGGGTCGAGCTACTGTAAAGATTTCTAACACTAGCCGCGGCTACTGCGCGCGCGGGCTGAGCGAAGAGAGACAACCGAGAGGGAAGAGGCTATGACGACATCGAGCAGCTAACGCACCGATGCGTAGAATTCCAGCCAGCTTCTTCTACCAACTACTTTTTTGCCCCGTGGACGCTGGGCGACGAATGAGAGTCCGCGGAGTCGGGCGGATCTTCTTCTCCCCCAAGACCCTTTTTCCTTCACGGCCCGGGGCAAAGATGGCATCCCGCGGCGCAGAGTCCTGATGGATGGATGATGCGCTTTGTGATGCACATCGGGTAACCAGCCAAGATCGGGATTTTCGCCCTCGTTTTAACGAGATTTGCTGCTTTGTACTGTACTTTGCATGGTCGGGCTTGAGCTTCAGTTGCTCTCCAGGTTCTTTTAGCGAGCGCATCCCTTGTCTCTGCTCCGCAACTCATCAAAACACAGACAGACAGCTTAAACGAGCGCTACAAGAATCCCATTTTCGATAAAAGTGACGACACAACAGCTCTGTAACTTGTCCACCATCACGTCAGCTCAGCTCAGCAGGATCGGGGGAAGCCTCTATTTGCGCCTCGCCCAGCCAGCCCAAATGCAGCGAACTCTATACGCTGCGCTGCGCCTCGTGGTTTTGCCATCGCCGTCTCTCTTTACCCAATTGCGTATTCTGCTAGCTCTAGTCATGCGGCGTAGCTTATTTTGAGCTATGGCTTAGCCTTGTATGCTGCAACACTATTTTTCTACACATTCAAGTGTCGACGATTTCAAGCATCGTGAGCACCAGTTTCTGCTTTTTCCGTGTTGGATTTTAAGCAGGGAGATTGGTAAATTTCTTTTGACCCCATGTCCGATCACATCACACCACCTGCCAATAGCTAGAAATGGCCAGATCCGCCCGCTCCGATAGGCTAGGAGCCATTTTAGTCAAGAAAGAAAAAAAAAAGAGAGGAGGGAAGCGAAGCGGGCCAGTCTAAAGTCTCCGATGGAGACGATGGCTCGCTTCGTCCTTGAACTAAAGAGAGAGAAAATCCATCTTGATCGGTCGGTCAACGCTTGAAGTTTTGCGATGGCAGCAATTCAATGGTTCGGTCCAGACCCATAAGCCGAAATTGTCCCTCTGGAGGATAAGAAGAAGAAGAAAAAGAGGCTCTAGGTATTTTCTGTGCCGTTGCCGCTGCTTGCTGCATGTACATGCAAGGAGAATCGCCACACGAATCACACCACGATCCATGCGCTTTGTATTCCCCCAGGCCTGTACTCGGCTTACACGTGTAATTTGTTGGAGTGTAGCGCCATTCTAATGAAAGGGTTCACTTCCTTAATTTCTTGGCAAGGGAACAAGCAAAGAAATGATACTAACCAACAAAAAATACCACAAGTACGTACTTGCATGCGCCGCGATCTCAAAACCCCCATCGCCGCGCCAAAAGCCACGATCCTTGCTCAAAGCCTGGCCCCCCCTTACCTTGTTGCCGTGTCTGCTTTCAGTATAGAGCAGCGCTTTGGTTAATTGCGTTTCTGGGTACTATTTGCTGGGCCAGTTTCACGAGACCCTAAATGCTGATGGCCTCGTAAGATGTTTCCTTATTCGAACCTCGCAACCCCATCTCAATCGAGACTATTGCCACAAAATAGCATCACAGAGTATAACGCCTAATAAGATACAGAGTAATTAATAGAACCGCCCGCTTCCCTGGTCGTTAAAATGACTAGAACTCTCCCTCTACGGGAAGCGCCTCAGCCCAACACCTTGCATATCGCACACCCCCCACGACCAACCAGCTTAAAATTGCATGTAGCTCTTTTGTCTCACCTCCACGAAATGAGCCACGTAAAAAGCTCCGTTCAGATGACGAGGACTCATCCAAGTATAGGTACAGACTGGCACATTGGAGACATAAAAAGTCTCAAAAGTGGTACACGCAAGAAACAGAAATCAGCCCAACGAGCAGCCGCCAGCACAGCCCAAAACCAAGAGGATCAACCAGCCACGTTTAACGCGTACACACTGTAGATCTAGAACCTCTACGGCAGCAGCATCCGGTAGGAATCGCAGGATAGCAGCTACTATAGCTTATACCACGTATACTATGCCGTCAATGGATATAACAGCTATCTATACCGCACTCTGCCCAGTCAATCTTCTTTCTGCGTACCAAAGTCCAGTTGGCTGCCCCTGCATCGAAATGCCGCGGCTCCAGTACCCTTCGTCCACGTATATGCAGGCATCTTGACCTTCCCGGGGCCTTGTTTTTTCCCCTTGTACAACAAACAAAACAAAGCCTCATTTGTGAGTCCGAAAGCATCAACCGGACCGGGCCACCACCTCTTCTTCATTCCCGTTGTAATATCCATACTTTAGCCACTCCGTAAGCCTCCCTAAAAGGGCCGCGCCGTACCTCGCATATACGGGACGAACGGTAGGCATCTATCTGCATGCATGCATGCACGTACAGCTCTCCCCTTTTTCCTCATCCACCGGACACATCACCGCCTTGTCTAAGCCTCACCCGCTTTTCCTTTTTTCCTAGAAGCCTCTCACCGATGGGTTATCCGATCGAGTGGTCAGCACGTGTCAAAGTCCGCGTCTGTATCCACTCCGCGAATCGGTTGACCGATCTTGTCCATCTCAGCCTCCCAACATCCAGGTCGAAGAGGGGGGGCTCGCCCAGGGTCTTTTGCGAGCCAGGGGGCGATGGATATATCACGTATAGAAGAGCGGTGGTGAAAAATAGTACCCGGTAGTAGGTAGTAAACGTAGGACAGATAGCTCCGGCTTCTGCATAACAATCATGAGTATTCTGTCGTGATACTGTTGTGAGATATGAGTGTGTAACAGGCAATTTGTCCACGTGCTCTTCGAACTGATATGTGCTACTGCTTCATACAACACTTGTTTGGAGTTGGTACAACATGTTCAATTCCAATAAATTAGATTGATACGTGTGTAAGACGAATCCTTACCCTATGCGTGGCTAGTTAAAGGACCGCCATCCTCTTGAAAGCCCAGTCGTTCCAAGGAATAGTCTAGTTGCATCAGTATTATGTTCGCGAGATACATGACAAATGCACCGCATTGCCTTCTGCCATGTTTATAAGGAGAAGTTATCCACCACCTCAATTTCATTGTCAAACACCCCAGCTGTTGCTCAACAAGGCAGCCAGTCCACATGTAAAAGTAGCAGTAGTAGTAGCAGCAGTAGTAGTACTAGATAGTAGTATTAATATGTGAAAGGTACTATGAGTAACTTCTCAGCACAAGCTCCCTAAATATCCTTCTCTCCAATATCCAGGCCTCGTCCTCTATCTACAACCGCGCATCCCCATCCTCTCTCTCCTTTTTATTTTTGATAGCAAAGCAAACAGCTTTCCCCTGAACGCCAATATCCCCTAATCATGACAAAGCTCTGATTCCATGCAATCCAGAGCTGGTAGAAATCATCCACCTGCAAGCAATGCTTCATGAACCGCATAGTTCCTGTGTCAAGTTGAAATACATCGATTCCATCCCATGCTCGTTTAGGTACCGCTATGAATGTGATTACCATAGCCGTACATCTTTTGAGACGCAGGCCATAGCTAGCTGCGTCTCAAAGCCACCTGAACGATCTGGGGCTCTAGCCCATATTGCCGGCTTTGCGGCCAGACTTTTTCTTATCGCCACCCTGAGCACTTGGTGGGGGGCTCTGTTGTGAAGACCCGGTGGCGGTTACCTCGTCCTTGCTCTTCTTGCTCTTCTTGCTTTTTGACTTCAGAGGCGTTGAAGCTGCGAGGCTAGAGGACGGCGGGAGGGGAACTGGAGATTCCTTGGGTCGGGAAGTAAGCGGGATGTTGGGAAGTGGAACAGCCGTTTGCCGCGGCGCAGGGACAGGAGTCTCAGGCTTCGCCTTCTTGGAAGACTTCTTCACTGCGCTAGGAGTGGCAGCTGCTGGTTTTGAAGGAGTGGCAATAGTGGTAGCTGATGATGAGAATGCTGATGAGGGGATAGCTGGTGGTACAATTGGTGTCTGTTTCTTGCTGAGCGTGGGCAGTTCTGTTCCAAGATCAGGACTAGAGGCCCGAGCCACCTTCTGTTTCTTGGGTTTTGTCTCTGCAGACTTATTCTCCTCTGCTAGCTGCTGTGCAGCGGCCGAGGCATCATCTTCTGAAACATTGTGCTTTCTCTTGCCTTTGCGGTCGGCTTTGGCGGCTTCATCGGTGCCCTTCTTCGTATCTTTGCTCTTTGACTTCTTGGCTGCTTTTGGAGTCGCCACCGTCTGGGGTGCCTCCTCCATCTCGACATCTTCATCCTCAGGCGTATCTGCTCCAATATTGCCCATCGGAGTGTTCACGCCAAAGGGCTGGTACCTGGCCCTGAGGCCCTTTGGCTGAGGTCTAGGCGCACGACGAGGCGCAGGGCCAGTAGTAGACGCGCCAGCACCACCAAGGCTTGTAATTCTCTTAACATGCATAGTCTGATCAATCTGTTGGCCAGCTAGAAATGAGTTAGCAACTGATGGGTAACCTAGTTAAAAGTAGCTACTAACCCGAACGGTAATTGGAATCGCCGGAAGAAGGAATCAAGATCTGAATCGAGCTTCTAGGCGTTATCGCGTCAAAGGTGGCGCCATAGTCTTGGCCATCATGAGAAAAGACAGGGCCACCGAACTGCGATCGGTCCATAGGGATCTCCATATTTTGGATGACAGAGATGGGGACATTGGAAGGAACTGTAAAGTACCAGACTTGCTTGCCTTGCAAGTTTGCTTCGTTGCAGATTCGAGCTACATCTTGTCCATTGGCTCCGTCATCTCCCTTGCGAAGGGTAAAGTCGGGAGTGATGAATTTCGGAACTCCAAGTTGCTTGTCCATCTCGCGGTCAGAAATTTGCATAGATTCATCAACCTGATCGTCACTCTCTTCTGCTTCAGAAGCCTCAGCCTCAGCTTCAGATTCGGATTCGGATTCGGATTCAGTGTCCATTGACGAATCTTTTAATGCTTTCCTTATAGCTTCGGGATCTGTAGCCTTGGGTGTTGCAGGTACAGGCTTTAGGGTTTTAGGCGTCGCGGCTACGGGCTTTGCAGCTTTGGGTGTTGCGGCTACGGGTTTTGTGACTTCGGGCTTTGTAGATTCCTCTTCGTTGTCGCTTGATTCCTCTTCGCTGCTCTCTTCACTGCTCTCCTCTTCGCTAGAGCTGCTTGACTCGTCTTGCTTGGTGACAGGCTTGGTACTCTCTTTGGCGGTGGCCTTGGTGCTTTCTTTGGCGACGTTCTTGGTATTTGCTTTGGCGGCGGCCTTGGCACCCTTCAGAGCAGCAGGTATGGTGAGCATCTTGGCGACAGCTTTAGATGTCTCATCATCATCACTAGAGTCGTCTTCGCTCTCCTCTTCAGAGCTGCTGCTGGACGAATCCTGGGCGGCGGCAGCTGGCTTTGCACTGACTCCGTTTGTCTTCGCTTTCGGCTCACTTTCTTCTGACTCTGATTCGCTGGACGAGTCGCTCGAGGATTCAGACGAGGACTCTTCCTTCTTCAGGAGCTTTTCTTTCTTGGCGGCAGCGGCTTTCTTGGCAGAAGCAGTGCGCTCGACGTCGCTATCGGCGATTTCTTCGTCCCTGCTGCGCCGCTTGGGAGTGGGAGTTGCGGAAGGCTTCGTGCCATTGGCGCCAATCTTCTTTATGAAATTCGTGCTGTTGTCTTCATCGCTGTCACTATCGCTGCTGTCGCTAGACTCGTCGCTGTCGTCATTGTTTCCGAAAAGGCTGGCATTGGCAAGGCCAGGCTCCTTCTTGACAGGCACAGCAGCCGCTTTGGAACCAGGCCGCCGGTTGTACTGGGCAGAGGCGCTGAGGCCCTTGTTGGTGTCCTCGACATGCTTGGCCAAGGAATGAACCTTGAAGGGCTCTTTGGGCGCCATTTTGGTTGAATTTGTAGTGCAATGCGCCTGGCAGGATGCTCAATGGGAGAAGTTCGAGGGTTTGCTGAACTTTTTTTCTGCGAGGCTCAGATAAATTTTGAGATGCTCTAGATAAGCCCCACCTGACGCGACCGAATCGGGGAAAGTTTGCTCTTAGGTGCGCGCTGATGGCGGGACGTGTTTGGAGCTCGGAAAAGTTTTGGCATTTTAGTGCGCTAGAGATCTTATCGATAAGCCCAATTTCAGCAGCTTCGGGGTGCCTATCACAAGGATCCATGGCTTACACTGGAATCTAATCTTTATCATGCTACTGGCCAAATTAATCTCACAAATCTACATTTTTTAATTGAGACTCGTTCACACGGTGCACGTATGCTTATTTTTGCCTCACTAACGAGTCTCGTTTGATTCAATCCATTCTCAGTTGCCCCTTTCTGAGGCCACCTCAGCATGTCTTCAAACAAGCGTCGTAAAGTCGATACTCCAACTGCTCCTTCATGTAAGTCTGCCGAATATCGTCGTGAGAGGCATTTTCAGACTGTTATAAGTAGCCTCGCCTACTAAGATTAGTTTATAGCAGCAGTAAGCGCCATAAGCGCACTTGCAGCTCGTCGTCGTTTGGTTGCCAGCACACCCGTCAAAGAGCCCAGCTCCTCTCCTGAGCCTGAAGAACGAGCATCGGCCAGGACGAATTCCTTCAACGTCTTGCAAAAATTGAAGAGCCAAAGTGAGCCGCCAAAGCCGCCGCCCAAAAGAAACGGGCCAAAAGGTACCCGTGGCGAGCCGAGGGCTACGGCACAGGGCAGTAAGCTCGGGTAGGTCGATTGTTATTCAAATCGCCCTTCTAATGACATATCCGCGAACTAATTAACGAGTTTTAATGCAAAAGGGATTCATCTATACAAGAGACGACTGCGACAATTTCTCGAACTACATTCTCATCCTTCTTACTAAGTAAGAATAATTGCCGTGTGACACCACAGGGCACTATTGCGTTGAAACTAAGAGACAGCGAGGTATGTTTGAACTCATTCAGTTTCATACTCAAATAGCGACTAAGAAGTTGCATCTAGAGATTTATTGTCATTGGAAGCTTTGGAATTAAGGTCATAGCTGGTGAGGTGACTGTTTTTGGAGCGACTCTCCGGCCATCAGACCCCATACACTGGATCCACGCACCTCATTGTCACGCAATTCCCGTTCTCAGAACCTCGGAAAAGGTCAGCCTCGAGCTTCACAATGACCCAAATGCCGACTCTCTACGGCGACTGAGCCGTTTATCCCCCCTATTCAAAGGCATATGGAGCGAATCAAAGGATGGATCTACAGAAACAAGCCCGGGAAGGGGGCGCACGTTCCAGATTGTATGTTAAGAACCTCGCATGCTCATCTATATACTTGGATGCTAACTCTTTACAGGTATGCAGCTCCGATGATGCTCCTAAGAAATGTATCATACAAGAGCTCTCATCCCCTCCAGCATGGAACAAAAAGCTAGCCGACCTCGTGTCAGTAGCCAAAGGCGGTCCTTTCACGACCCTCGTATGTGGTCCTAAATCTGCTGGAAAATCAACCTTCTCCAAGATGCTTGTAAATCGCATCTTGACGAGCGATACATCCACGGCTGCACGAACGGGTGTCGCTGTTCTGGATCTGGATCCTGGGCAACCTGAATATGCGCCTTGCGGGACAATATCTTTAGTTCAAGTGATCCGGCCCAACTTGAGTGCTGCCTTTACACATCCAGATCTCGAAGATGACTCGTACAAAGTCATTCGATGCCATGCTTTGGCGTCCATAACACCAGCCGCAGCTCCGGAGCACTACCTAGAATGCGTGCTGGACCTTCTTGACAGCTACCGAAGACAACTCCGTAATTGCCATCTTCTCATCAACACCCCGGGCTGGATTCTGGGCACTGGCCAAGACTTGCTGGTTGAAATCATCACTCGAGTCAACCCGCCCGAGGTCGTCTACATGTCTGAAGATGGCCCTGCGGACGTTGTCGAAGTTCTGCGCGGTGCAACAAAGAAGACCTTTACTACACTTCCCTCACAGCCATCTGAATTTGCTTCTCGAACCGCCGCTCACCTACGAGCCATGCAAGCCATGTCATATTTCCACTTGCAAGGCCAGGGCAGCCCGAGTTCTGGGCAACGGTCAAGCTGGAATTCTTCGCCATTGACGTCTATTCCCCCTTGGCAAGTCCGGTACTCGGGCCCGGAGCGAGGAGTTTTTGGCATTTTACTATACGACTACCAGGCTCCGTCTGAGCTGCTTTCGGAAGCCATCAATGGCATGATCCTTGCAGCTGTTGACATTGAAGACCCTAAAGCATTCCGCAACCTCGCCGAAACAGCGCAGTCACCAACGGATGGCATGGATGTAGATGGCTACTCTGCTATAAATACCGTCATCTCAAACACGGCTGAAGGGCTACCATACATCTCAAACACAAACGACAGCACGCTCAATCCTCGCTTCTCTCAAACCGTCGGCCTCGTTCTCGTCCGAGGCATCGACGTCGCCACCAAAACGCTCCATATCCTCACTCCCATCCCACCCCAGAGAATAGAGCAGATACGACTGCAGGGCCGACAAATCGTGCTGGTTCACGGGAAATTCGATGCGCCTACCTGGGCTTACACAGAGGACTCCTACGAGCGCACGCGGCAAGACGACACCAATACTGACAAGCCCCTCGAGATTACAAACGAAGACACAAGCGAGGACGAGGACGAAGATGACGTTGGTGATGACGATGGAGAGGACGCCACAATGGCTGATATGCCGCTGGGTCAAAATGCCGGCACTTCAACCGCCCTGCCGTGGGTAGAGGTTCTACGGGGAAATCAGAAGCGGCCAGTCGGGTCGCGTGTGTGGAGAGTGCGGAGAGACCTGGGCCGCAATACCGGTGGTGACTGAGCATAGGGGGCGAATGAGTCGGGCAAGAACATTTCTCATGAGCCAAGTATTGGCATCAAGGGAGAAAGGGGAAAAAATTGCGGGTGCTGCGGGGGATTGACCAATGAGCTTTGGATACAGTGTCTAGAGCGCACAAGGTACGAGTCGCGTCCTTGTTGTAAGACAGAACGTTGGTCAGAAATGACCCATGATTACTTAGGCCGAACGTGGGGAAAGCTTTGAACTTCAAAGGTTTGTCATGGCTTCGTAAACGCAACACAAGAGCCTTGATATATATACCACCAGCGCTGGTCGTTTAAGAAATGAATATGAGGACGTAGAATGCGAATATACACAACGACAGAGCAATTGTAACAAATAAACCTCTTGACTTTATTACCGCCGATTCTTTTTTTTTCCTAGTCAAACTACAAGGCGTCTACATCGCGCACTGCCAACATGGAAGCATCCAAGGTCGATGTACTCATTGTCGGCGCTGGTCCAGCCGGTCTCATGCTCTCTCTTTGGATGGCCAAGCTGGGCATCAAGACGAGAGTAGTGGACAAACGAACGGGCAAGATTGTCTCTGGCCAAGCTGATGGGTAAATAAGTCATTTCTCTTTCTCCTCTCATGCAAGAGTGAATGAAGATGGAGGGGTAGAACAACTGCTTGTACTAGGAACTAATGCACGCAAACATCACAGCTTTCAGTGTCGTACCCTAGAGATTTTTGACAGCTTCGGAATTGGCCAGAAAGTATGGCAAGAGTCGAATCACATGCTAGGTGAGAGATACGCATTATCCATACTGCCCATTCACTGGTGGTGGATGCATGTAAGCTAATTCAACTTGACGAATTACAGAGGTCAGTTTTTGGAACCCAGGCGAGGATGGCAAAATTCGACGCCACCACCGCGGCCCCAACACGCAGCCGAATCTCTCACGATTCACCGAGTCTGTGCTGCAGCAAGGCAGGGTCGAAAGCTTCCTCATCGACACGATCCGAGCATCTACCTCCCCGAAACACCCACTTGTTGAGATTGAGCGGAGTGTTATGCCGGTAGCATTGAGCATTGACGAAAGCTGTGTGAATGATGAAGACGCTTACCCCGTGGAGGTTACGCTGCGGCATCTAACCGAGGAAGAAGCTACTCCAACGCAGAGGCTAAGCAATTTGCAAGATGGGCTGTACAGAAGCAACCTTGCCGAGGATGACACGGATAAGCTTATTGCCACTACACAGGGCGTCAGAGAGGAAAAGGTGCGGGCCAAATACGTGGTGGGATGTGATGGAGCGCATTCATGGGTAAGAAAGACACTGGGCGAAGGATTTGAGATGAAGGGCGAATCAACAGACGCTATCTGGTGAGTTCCTTTGGTCCAAGGCGTACAACAATAGCAACGCTAACAACTTGCCAAAAGGGGAGTGTTGGACATCGTCCCCATCACAGATTTTCGTAAGAGCTTTCTCTGGAGCTGGCTGTGGCCCATTAAGAGAGAGACTAACAGGAGACGGCAGCGGACATCAGAAGCAGATGCATGATCCATAGTGCCGAGTTCGGAGCGATCATGATCATTCCGAGAGAAAACAAGCTTGTTCGAGTGTACACGCAGCTCAAGGAAGTATCCACAGGCACTGGTCGAGTCGATAGATCACAAATCACGCCCGAGCTAATCTTGCAAACGGCGAGAAAGATCCTGAGTCCATATACCCTTGACTACCATTACATTGACTGGTAAGTCTCGCCTGTCCGAACGGCGTTTGATTACGCCGACTAGAGGAGCCTATCAGGCAGATACACGAAGTGCTGCATGCTAAATGAAACATTGCCAGGTGGACCGCATATCAAATCGGGCAGCGAGTGGGCGACCGTTTCAGCAAACACAATCGAGTTTTCCTTGCAGGAGGTGAGCAGAGCGACCTCCTATTGCGTGAGAGAGGGCGGAGCCATCAGGTTTGCTAACACACACGACCCAGATGCGGTGCACACGCACTCCCCCAAGGCCGGCCAGGGTATGAACGTCTCGATGGGAGACACGTACAATCTTGGATGGAAGCTGGGCCTCGTCTGCAAGAAATTGCTGCGGCCGGAAGTCCTAGACACATACGAGTTGGAGCGGAGGCAGATTGCCAGGCAGCTCATTGCGTTTGATCACAAGTTTTCTAGACTCTTCTCGGGACGGCCTGTCACAGATGACTCTAGCGAGGGGTCATCCATGAGCGAATTCCAAGAGGCGTTCCGGGAAGCACAATTGGTAAGCGGAGCCTTTCTTTGCCTGGCGGATACTGGTTGGAATCTCCCCGGTCCTGAGTCGTGGCGAATGGGCTGTCCAGCTGGATGGTGTTGTCCAGATTTGGGCAATAGAAGCAGGCTGCTACTGGCTGCAAGCCTTGTTTTCCTCCTCTTGCTAATCTGGACCATAGTTTATCACGGGCGTGGGTATCCGCTACCAACCCAGTCTCCTCGTATGCAGGGAAGACGGCGACACTGGAGGAGACTTGGGAGGAGGCCTTCAGGCTGAGACAGCGCCCCAGAGCTCGGCGGCAAGCACAGGCGGGCTGGCCACAAACTGCAAGCCGGGCACACGGTTTGCATCGCAAAAGGTCATGGCCCAGTCCGACGCTCGGCCGTGGGAGCTCCAGCTGCAGATGCCGTCGGATGGACGCTTCCGCATCGTCGTCTTTGGCGGCGACATCTCCCAGGCCACGCAGCTGGCCACGGTCAACGAGCTCGGCGCCTGGCTGCAGGCCAATCTGCTGTCGCCAGCAAAGTCGCCGCGCATCAGCCTCGCCCCCGGTCCAGACCCGCGGGGAGGATCAGGCTCGTCGCAGTGGATGACGGATCAGGACCCGTCCATTGTGGACGTGCTGCTGGTGCACGCGGCGCCGCGAGAGAAGATTGAGCTACTGCAGGACTTGCACCAGGTCTACCATCCCTTTGACAAGAAGCTCGGCTGGGACTATGGCAAGGTGTTTGTCGACGGCCAGACGCATCACGAGGGCCACGGCAGGGCGTACGAGCAGTTTGGCATTGATCCGGCCCGCGGCGCCGTTGTTGCGGTGCGTCCCGACGGCTACATCGGGCTTGTGACGGCGCTGCAGGGAGAAGAGGGCTGGAAGCAGCTGCAGGCGTGGTTTGGAGGATTGCTGAGGTCGGTCTGAGTTGGAGGGGAGATTGAAGTCGGTGGTGGAGAATGGATGGAGCTGAGGCCAATGCTAAATTGCGAGTCCGAGATCAACAATGGGATTTCTGACCGATTTCTGGCGCTGGATTGCCTTTTTTACGGGGGCTAAGAGCGCTATAATGGCACTGGGTTTAGCGTTCTAGGGCCATCGGCGTACGCTTTGCCCGATTTGTAACTGAGAGCCGAGACGAAGGCAACGTCATGTGAAGGCAGCAAACGTGCGGCTGAAGGCCTGGAGCACACGGGGGGCTTTGTCCAGAACGAGGAGAAGCTGTAGAGGTATGCAGGCGGGTAGGTAATCTTAGGCAGCCGTTGGGCTGAATGAGTAAATCAATGTTTGTGCGTGGCATGGTTGTTTTCTCGTTTGCTTTGCGAGCACTTTGTACGTGGAGCAGTAATGGGTGCTTTCTGTTTCCCGTTTGGGCTATATAAGCGTTGTTTGATTGGTGCACACAAGTACATGCATGTGGTTTGAAGCCGGGAGGAATCATCTGAGCCATGATACAAGTAGCAGTAGCAGCAGCAGTAGCAGCAGTAGCAGCAGTACGAGTCCCGTCCTCTGCTGGGCGAGACATGCGTCTGCTCCATCCCCACTGCACCGATAGCCTGGCACGCACTTCGGAAAGTGAGCGAGCAAAAAGCAAGATCAGGGGTTGCATTATTCTAGACTCTGGCACGGTGTTGAATCCTCCGAGATCTTGTCGTACTACTCTGTAGGCCGCCCAAGTCGGTACATGTAGTGGTGCTTTCTGTTATAGGTTGGTACCATGTCATTATATTGACCATGAGGTCTACATGCATGTGGCCATGCCTCTGTCTCCCATCGAGCACCTTTCACTCACAGTATCCGACGTCCTGTTTTGCATAATGGGCTGGCTACATGTGCATATGCCCGACTAGCGAGAGTAGCATGGGCTGGACCAAGTTCTAACGGTCCTGCAAGTGCATGGAGCAAATACGACGCTGTAAGTGAGGCTGGCCAGGATCTTGTGCGCTAGCAAGTGCGCAACTCCACAAGAGACAAAGACCCAATTCTAGCTGCCCCTCACACAGGAGATGATCTCGGAGGATCAAAGAGAAAAATAACGGCGAGGCCCCTCCCATGCCAACAATAGATGGACTGCATCCGTGTGCGCCATTGGCTGTTGCGGACAGGGGGTCTCTCTAGCTTCAACCGTCTTGCATCTTGCAGCGGAGTCTGATGCGTCTGGACTGCGCTCGAGTCGAGCCACGACTGCTTCTGCTACTGGCAACAGGGATGGGAGCTGTAGACGTGCATCCATATTGGGGGGCCGTCATGGCGAAAACAATAGTTTTCAAGGACAACTGCGCTGTAAGAGGGGAGCATCGAACCAGAGTTGCCACCGGCCTGGACAGTCACCGAAGGACATGGGCTGGACGAAGGGGCCCGCTGCGGGACTGGAAACGGTGCGATAGAGGAGTTGAGCAATCACCGTATTATGAGACCCTCCGAGTTGTCTGCTGCTGCTGTTTATCTCTGCTGGTAGGGGGTAGATTGTTGACTTTCCTGCGTCTTATTTCCCTCACCAAGGCTGAGATCGAGCCCGGGCTCTTTGGATACCTGTATCAGTATATATATTGAGCGAGTTGCCCGGCCACAAGATGCAGAATCACAACCACACTCCACTTCGCCTCATCTCGTTTGATCTCATCTCATCTCACTCCCCCCGGAATACACTCGGTATTGCCATACGTTGCCATACTATCTACTGCTAGTCCCTGCACTAAGACAAATCCCCCGCTGAGCGTTGCCACCGACCATCCACCAGCTCCACCGGCCAACAGGCTTTCGGTTCAACTACCGAGACGCCCGTGTGTTGGCACCAGCTTTAGAGCTGCCCTCCGCCCGCTGCCGTTCAGTTGTTGGCCGTATCTCCCCCCCTTTTTGCTTTCTTTATGTAAGAATATTTTCCTTCTTATTGGAAAAAATTCTTCGTCGACATGCCGGATGCGGTTGCAGAGACAGCTCCGTGCATCCAAGCACAGAATGCCTTGATGGCTGGGGACTTTCAGAGCGAGACCCAAACCTTCATTCGCTCCGCCTGTACGGAGTGTAAACGCCGGAAACAAAAGGTGCGTGAATTTTAATGCCGTGTCCTATCTAATAATACTGTTTGTCAATGATTCTACCTACCCTCGCTCTCAATCATCAAAGATTTGCCGTCGTCTGTTGTCTAACATGCTTTATAGTGTCTCCGGCACTGGCCATGCCAACACTGCGGCACTAGACGAGTTGGAAATCAATGCATCTTCCGCACAGTTCTTGATGTTCAATCTGTTGATGAACGCAAGGCTCAGATAGATGATTTCCTATCACGGATGAAGGGAAAATGCTGCTTTTCGCATCCCCCTGATGGAGAAGAAGTAGACGATAATGATGACAGTACTGAGAAGGACCTTGAGCAGTTTGGATACGCCCCTACCATGAATTCGGAGATACGCGGGTCTTGATCGATGCCATCAAGGTAAATTTTATATATGGGACATGTATTTTACTAGAAGGCGTTATAACACAATGTACAAATACCTTGGAGACCTGCTAACTTTCGGCAGTTGCAAACTTACTCTTGTGATTCAGCTGCTATATTCTGAAAGTATTGAGGCAAAAATGTCCATGAATCAGTATGATAGGTCTATATGAGAAGCAGTAGTAGCAATAGTAGCAGTAGTAGCAGTAGTAGCAGTAGTAGCAGTAGTAGCAGTAGTAGCAGTAGTAGCAGTAGTAGCAGTAGTAGCAGTAGTAGCAGTAGTAGCAGTAGTAGCAGTAGTAGCAGTAGTAGCAGTAGTAGCAGTAGTAGCAGTAGTAGCAGTAGTCGCAGTAGTCGCAGTATATACCTACCTAGTAGGTAGGCTTTAGATCTATACCTAAGGAAAGGGGAAAAAAAGACTTCCCTTTTAATATGCCTACGTAATAGCATATATTATAAGAAATAATTATAAGAACTAGTAGATTTTTAAGAAAGTCTATAATAAATTGGAACTGGTCTTGTTGTCCCAGATTGCGGTGTGCTTCTCTTGCATACAGTGCCAGGGTGGAGGGCTTGGATGGTGCCGAATACATGTATATTATCATGGAAATCTAGCTAATCAGTTTATCTGTGATGCACATTCACAGCTTGAATTGAAACAAATAAGGGCTCCCCTGTTTGCAGCGATATGTCAGATCTGCTGATAAAACTCTACGACAGGGAGACTTACAGGGCCGCCTGGCATCCCCGCATTGACTACGGGAGGATCGATGCAGATTCCATCTCTAGATCGTAGATAGTGCTGTGGGGGCCACGAAGCTTGAGTTGGTAGGCACCTAGATGGAAAGAATGGATAGCTCCTTTACGGGATACCTTGTGCCAACTATCTGAGTACATTGTTGTATCTCTATGAGAAACAAATTCTCTTAGTTCTCTGTCATTATTACACAACCAATATTGTTGTCTTTTTCCATGTGGGAATGGTAGTAGCGTTTGATAGGGCATTATTAAGCACCTTCTTATATTTGAAGAACATTTTATTCGCCTTTGTACGCATTGTCTGCACGGAGCTTTGTATGACTTTGCGTGAAGATTCGGCTAAATGGCTGTCTTATTCATACTATTCACAGTGTAAGCAGAGATCAAGCAGGGCATGGAGCATAGGCGAATACATGAAAGATACTTGTGCTGCATGTTTAATGTTAGTAGAGGAGAGAAAAATAGTAGCAATAGATGTCAAGGAGAGACAACTGTCTTGTCGATAGAAAGATATGGATTCGTTCTCGAGCTGTTGGTCTGGCTCGTCGTGGGAAGCGTGCTGAGCTTTTATGTATCGAGTGTCTTAGAGATTTGTAAAGCTACACGTAGTTATGATAAAGACTGAGCCCTCGTTGCTACGTTGTCATGGCTCACGATGCCTTGTGTAGCGGTTGATCGAGCCAAGTTGGGGGAGCTGTCAGACTTGCCAGACTTATGATTGACAAAACAGTATGAAAGAGCTTTTTTCTTCACTCTCTTCTTACCGCCACGTGATTGCATGAATCTCATACTAGATACTCAGAGAATTGTTGAGCCCCTGTAGCATCCCCCCTGCCAATCCTGTGCTACCACTCTGCTGTTTTTTCCCAGCTTTTTTTCTCGGTAATCAGACATGGAGGAAAACAAAAATGAGAAAAGAAATGAGAGGAAGCGGAACGGCAGTGTCAGTAACAAGGGTTTGCTCAAGTAGCCATGCCAATGCACAACGCGTTCGTGTTCCGTGTTTAAAAAAAAAAAAAAAAAGCAAAGAAAAGGGAAAGGGGGCGAGATTACGGGGCTACCACTAATTAGAGAAAAATCTGCTCTTTTCTTTTCTTTTTCCACATGTCGGATGAACGCCGCCGCTCCAATAAGCTGCCAGAAACCAAAGACCTCCATAGCTACTTCGTATAGAGGACATGCAAGCATATCGAAAGGAGTAGGGGTGGCAATCCATATACATGTACCCTGTACACGAGACGAGCGGGAGGGGTGAAGATGTCGGAAGTATGAAGGAAATCGTGGGTAGAGGGGCGTACGCCGGATGCCGAGTACGTGCATTCACCTGCGTGGATGTCGTAGAGGCGCGAAATATGCGCATTCGATACGCTATGCGCGGCATTATGAGTGGTGAAAGCAGCGCTTTAGACCACATGTAGGCTTTGAGGCGTGCGTATTCAAGCAAGAGACAAAAGCACCCTGACGGAGGGATTCACCCCTTGACGGAAGCCGAGGCAACTTGACAGTCTGGTAGGTGTCTCTATTCCCGCTTGCCAAATACTGCGTTGAGCGTGCCCTCTGAGCTTCGAATTCTCATATACTCAAGGTCTCTATCAGTAAGGGTGAAAACGAAGGGAACTACTGGGAATGTAAAGAAAGGGTAGTGTTGATCTTGAGGGTAACACAGGTGCGCGTAGTAGACAAGGGTGTCGGAGGGTGTCGGAGGGTTATGGGAATTAAAATGCCTAATAAAAAGTAATAAGACTGAAGCGAGTAGAGCTCGGCTTATTTTTTTTTTTAAGAAGATCAATGCTGATGTCTATGTGGTATGTGTTAAAAGAAACAGGTGCTGCGCTGAAACATTGTAACAAGAAACAAGAACTAAGGCATGCTTTTTTTCTCGCCCTTTTAACTCGCTTTTAATATTTTTTTTCCCAGTCTATAACCCTTTTACCCAAGATTTCCAGACTTTGGCCTTGTAAACACAGAATATCCTTGAGTCCAGTATCGCATTGTTTGATCGTGAAATTGTTACCGTCGTAGTAGCCGCTTCTGGAGCGACGCCGTCCAACCAATCTAAATGTCGCTCATTTCAACGTCTTCCGTATCTGACTTGTTGTATCCTCCCTCTTTGAGTTTATCACGGCGGCTCCGTTCCTTATCTATTCGCTCGATCTGCCGGGTGACGACTTGTTGAAGTCGTTGGAGCTGTTGTTCCAGTTCCAGTTGATGAAAGGGTTGTTGAGACTGATGGAAGCACTGCTGGAGCTTCTGAATGGACTCATCAAGATGCTGGAAGTTCTGTTGGAGCTTCTGGAAGGGCTGTTGTAGTTCCTGAATAGATTGCTGGATCTGGTGGATCGACTGTTGAACGTGCTGAAACGGCTGCTCGATTTGTTGGAAGGACGGTCCAAGCTGTTGGACGGACCTAAAACATGAAGATTAGATGATATCCAGCAACCGAAACAGAACAGCTCCACCAACCAGTTTATGTTATCCAACAATGGAAGTATCGCCAGGAAGTATTCCATTTGGCTATCGACGATGTGCTCAGACATGATAAAAACTGGACAGCTTGTTGACTGATGTCGTTTTTTTTAGACCAAGTTAAACTAGGATAGACGAGGATATAAACGCGGTAGCAGACTGAGTTCTAGAGACTGTCCAACGTTTAAAGGTATGGGGCTCGAGGTAGTTTATATACATGTAATGAAAAGCTGAATCTGTATTCATCGCGACGATTGAGCCACCGCACTCGCGCTTGCACATACTTGCATAGCGACTACATAAACCCCGGGCACGTTTGCAAACTGGGCCCCAGAGCTATGCTCCGCAGAAGAGCATGGTAGAAAAAGGAAGAGGAGAAATGTGCATCGGCATGGGGGGGTCGAGTTAGGTCGGCATCATTGGCACTCGCGTAACCAGCTTGTCGCGAGTGTCCGTTTCCACGATGCTACTATCTTCGTCTTGTGCCAAATTTGATCCTGCATATCAATTATACAGCTTGTGCTATTCTTGAGGCTATTGAGAACGAGGGTCTGATAGTCTGATACGGTGCTAGAACTAGAGTGTATTGGCTACGCGCATGACGGCCTGGAGAGCGGACTTACGTGCGGGCTCATATTAAGGCTAAGCCGTAGAAAAAGGCAACACTGGAGGCGTAGGTTACCGGGGTGAATCCCAAGATGCCAATATTCTGTTGATGTGCGGGCGTCATAGGACAGTCGGACGCCTTCTTGTCGCCTCGTTTGCCGCTGCTTTAATTTGCTGTGTTGATCGGCACAGCCGTTTCCGCCAATCAAAGAGAGCAAGCATGTTTTTTCATACATCAAAAACACCAGTTATTCACCGCTTCTTTGCTCTTTTACCTACAAACCCGTTTTAGTATGAATTCTTTTGATTCGGCACACTCTATGTTTTGGTCTCGACGCTTGTCGCTTTGTACATGCAAGGGCGATGGGAGGTTCTGAGTGTAGGATTGCCTAGGTAGTGACTCATTTGCTGCACAAATGAGACTATATGCACGTGCAGCTCTCACGCTGTGTCATTCCCATGTGGCTGAAATGCTGACATACATGTGTTTATTTTCCAATGATTGGTCCGGAATCATGCTCCGTTCGAATTATAAACGATGGAGTAGTATATAAACGAGTCGTTCCTCTGGCAGGCCTGAGTAAAACGGGGCCGCAAAGCGCAGTAAAGGGGGAGAATCTGAAAGGTATTGCCTGCTATGGACTAGTACGAGAGAAGTACGTTAAAGAAAGGCTTTCCCAACAGCGTCTTGCAGCATTTATTACGGATGGGTATTACGGTGCCGGTTTCGCACAATGCCAAGGAGAGTGGCCTCACAGTGGCGCCCTGATACAGCTTCATTCCACACTCAGCCCTACAATCCACTAGACCACTATAGCCAAGGAAAGCAGTGGCTTGTAACTAGCCAAGAAAAGGAGTGCTATTCGGCATAAGAAGCTGAAGGACGATAAACCCTGCAAAGGGCAGTGGTAATAGCTTATAGGAAACCCCCCCTTGTAAGAGACACGAGGTAGTGCCGTGGTAATACGTCTATGAGTTATTTGTTGTTATCGAGACATCGTAAAGTATCATCCGGTAGCAGCAGCATTGACCCCAATATGGCGATGCTTGCTTTTGTATATATCTGGGTACATGCATATACAAAGAGCTTAGGAGACGCTGCTCCATAACACAGGGTATAACCGGTAATACTTGATCTAGATATTGAGACCGGAATTCAACCCAGGAACCTAATCTCTCTTGAATCTCTGCAGCTCCAATGCTTCACGTAAATGAGAATGATAGAAGCACCCCAGGGAGCGACACTCATGGTCACTTGGATCCATAAGACTATGCTTATTCTGATATGAACTCGCAACTTGCAAGTTCATATCAGGGTAGGACTAGTGTTATGGATCTTTATGGATCTTTATTTGCAATTTCATGGTAGGATAGGAATAGCGTTATTGATCTCGGTAACTGGGAGTGTGGCTCCTAGGGGTGCTTCTATCATTCCCATCCTTATGTCTACCTATATTGTTGCGCCCATCGGTTCAGGTCATATCCAGCCGACCGGATGCAGTACCCTGTTTCCCCGGCCGCTTAATAAAACCCAGAAGACAAGGCTAGAGTGTCAAATTGCTATTTCTGCTTAAATGGCAAGGCGCTCTGCGGTAGTCAGGATTTCTTTATTCTCAGGCTCGTTCTGCTTTGGGCTCCTATTGTCTACTCACTTCGGTTGGTTCTAGAGTATATTTTCCCAAGTACGAAACTAACTGCTACCTAGTACCTACCTACGTACTAGGTACCTGTTTGATAGCCGGGTACGTACACAGGTTCCTAGCAGGTATGCCAACAAGATCGAAACTCCGTGTGTGGGGACCATTTACACCAACCCCCCTGGACTTTTGCAGTAGCTGCTTCTTTTTCCGCCTGCCAAGTCTTTTTCGAAGTCCGTCATAGCCGGTCTGGCAATGAACTGATAACTGGCAGTGATTTTATCCTATTGGAAGTGAAGCTACAAATCCGAATAGATGTAATCAAGGAGGTGGGCAATCGGAGCTGTCAGTGCTGCTCTCTCGGACTGGAGGTACCGAATAGACACCAGTACACATTTGTATGCTCCATCCTTACCTGCTTTTACCCCAACTGTTACTCCAGGTCCGTATGACCTTTCGTGAGTTGAGAGGCGAAATCAACGAAGAACTGCTCGTGGCCCACTTCTAATACTGCATGTTACAATAGTCGTGGTTGGAGCGGAGACTGGCGTGCGGCCTGTTTCAGGTACCAATAATTGCTGTAAGGGGTGCGCAGGAGGCAGAGACCGGATGCTGCCTGGTATTAGCTACCGCAAAATTAACAGTCATTGAGTGTCGGTAGGTAAAATGCGAGTCAGAATCCGGACCAATTGAGTGAGTGAAAGTACCTGTACATGTGTGACTGTACCAGTGGAAGCTTTGCTCTCCTTCCTACAGTCATAATGTGCCGTGTCTCGTACTCTGGCAGCTAGCCCGGTATTTGGATTAGATTGCAGGTGTATTCTGTTCAATCGGATTTGGCCATGAAAAACGAGCTTTCTTGTCTCTGGTTCCCACCGAATCGTTGCTCCACGCGCCTTCGTACCGCCTCGCGTCGCGTACACGACAGATTGCGCAATCCGCATAGCACCTTGCCCGCAAAAGAATGCCGTGCCCGGAATAGAATACGATTACGAGACATGAGTTGTGATTTTAATAAAAACAGTCCATCTGTTGCCTTGGGCTTGTAGCGTCTGCGGCCTAACCCGTGGCGGCCCGTCCGTAATTTCCGCTCTGCGAAAACCAGCCTAGTTGTCGGTTCACGTTGTTGGCCGTCGAGAGCTGATAAGGGCCGCAGTGGTGGCCACACACAAGCCCACGGGCATCTAGACCGGGCTCAGCAAACCGTGAATAAGTGCACAAAGTCGGGCTTCAAGATTTGGAAAAAAAGGGGGTGTGTGTTTTGGTTACAATTGCGCCGGCCAGATGAACAATCCCATCATTCTGCGGGCATCGCTTTCTCCTCGTTCTGCTTCACTCTTTAATAACTTTGAATTCCCCACAATTCCATCTTCTTTTTATCTTTTCAGCCAAATTGTTGAGTCACTAATAGTCACTAGTGCTTACGGTTATTTAATCTATGTTTCAGGTGCCTTGTGTCGAATATTGTTGAGGCACATCTATACCTGAAAGGGACCTTTCCACCTAGGGCGTGAACAACGCTCCCAGAAAAGCTGTTCGCTGCGTTTTTTTCACCGGGTGAATGGGAAAGGAGCAGTATTTCACTCGGGTTACATATTCGTATTAGCTAATGCCAAACCCTTTCCGTATCGCCAGGGTTCTCTATATCCATGGTATAATAATACCTGTAATCTGATGGTTTCGAGAATAAATGTGAGCATCAAGAAACAGATTGAACAAAACATCTCCAGTCTCTCTTTCCGCTAGTTAGACTTATTCCTCAGTGAGTCTAGCAAAGCGCCCGCGGTTAGGTCTTCCATTGAAAGTACACGATTACTTGGTAACAACGAGATTGGAGCTATAGGAGAGGAATTAGACAAATTAAATTAATATAGGTGGTTTTAATAGCAATACGCGAGGCATTCTACATTTTAACAATTATAAAGTCGTAAACTATTGTAAATAAACGGAAACGGGGGGTAAAAAGAGAGTCGGAGAGCTACCGATACTTACCTACATACCGCTTTGTAATACATATAGGAGACGAGTCTTGTATATCCATCTGCTACGTCCTCACCAACTTGTTCCCTGTTCCTATGCCCCAAGTTTCGATCATTCCATGTTATTTTAACTTTCTTTCCTCTCTATGACTTTTTCTTTTGGTTGCATTAAGAAATGATGCCACTGAGCTTTATCTTTCTCCTTGATACCTAGCCACGACACTGCATTTTCTCAAACGAGTCGTGTGAGTTTTCTTAATACCAACTTACGCACCTAACGCTTGCTAGAGCACTTCAAAGTTCTTCAAAGTTTGGTTCGAATAGAAAGACCACGCTTATTCGGACCATCAATGGAGTCTAGGGAAGCTGATTTTGTCGGAATACATTGGAATAGAGTTGTCGCAAATGAATCACTAATATGTACCTATAAATGCTTCAGGGCAAAAATGCGGTGACAAGCTGACTGGAAGCGTTTTGGCCTTCAACTCAGGAAGTGAGGATAATGAAGTCGATATAAAGTGTGGCTCCGCAAACTAACGTTATCCACCAGTCGCATACCGACGGCAAATGGAACGGCGTATGAGTAGTATTTCGTGCGGTGCTACGCAATCGCGGCCCACTTACAAGATCTGCGAAGTTTTAGCGATCCATACTATGGATTACTCCATGACTTGCCCCGTATTACAATCGTTTCTCAATAATTACAGAGTAAACTCGTAAACGCAGCGAAGCGTCAAGATGGATTCGTGCTGAACCTGGCGTGAACTAAGCTTTTCGCTTGAATCCTGGGCAAGATTGGCGAAAATTGGGGTCTGGTCGTAAGATCCCCGTGTATTGAATCTTCAGTATGGCCTTGCTCCACGGGTCAAAAACAGAAAG